CCAAAGCAACATACACTTCACAAATTAAATCAGAAAGTTCAAAAAGTATTAAGGCTATATTAAAGCATTAAGAGTGTTATTAGAGGGTTATTAAAGTATCTAAGAGTATTACGTGTCTTTCATCCAATTGGACATCTAATTAAGTGAGGAGGAATAAAGCGCTTCCAGGGACAACTCAGCGTTACACATCGGGGCGCTTCTAGCAGTGCCCATTTCTGCCCTTCCCACACCGCCTATCTTTCGGTACCGCCCGTATCTCGAAAACCGAGGATGCTGCTGATAAAAAGCCTCTTTTGTCTGAGCAAACCCTTTGTAGAGAACCCGAGTACCTTAAGATGGTAAAATGCAATTGTAAACCATAAAAATTGGCAGGGACATTCAAGTGCAGATGCGGCATCTGCATACGGGAAGTGTAAAAGGGTCCCAAATGGTGCCCATAAACCCGGGCAGGGACCGGCTCCGGGGCCGAGCCGAGACACCCGCGGGGCACCGGGAGCAGCCGCGGGGCACGGCCGGGACACGGCGCCGGTACCGGGACCGGGGCAGCCCCGCGCGCCCGGCCCGAGCCGGCAGCGGCCCCGCTCCGCCGCACGCTCCCCGCGGGCCCCGGAGCACCGGGGCGAAGGCGATTCCCGCGGGGCGGGCGAGATCCGCGGGGCACGCCGCCCCGGCCCCGGGCACCGCTGCGGGCGGCGACCCCCGCGTGTCCCCGAGCGGGTCCCGGCCCCGGCCCGGGTACCGGGCACCGGGCAGGGCGGGCACGGCCCTTTGTTGCGCCCCGCGGCCGCGGAAAGTTGCGGGCCCGCATCGGGCGGGCGGAGCCCCCGGTACCGCCGGCCCCGAACCCCGGCCCGCCCGGACCCCTCGCTCTGCACTCACCGCTGCGGGGCGGCCCCTTGCTGGCGGCGCGGGGCTCCGGCAGCTCCGCGGGCGGCTCCAGCTCCATGGCGGCGCCGGGGCCGCGCCGGGCCGGGCCGGGCCGGGGCTCGGCGGTCTCAGCGGCCCCGGCGGCCGCGCTGCCCCATGGCCGCTCGGGCGCTGCTGACAGCCAGGGCCGCGCCGCGCTCGGCCGGGCCGGCCGCGCCCCGCCCCCCCGGGGCACCACGGGAGCCGTAGTCCGAGCGCCGCCCGCGGGGAGCCGGGCCCGGCCCCGACGGCCGCGCCCCCGGCCCGCCCCGCCCCGCGGGCTGCCCCGGGCCGGTGCACCGGGAGCGGCGGGGCGCCAGGGGGCACCCGGCGGCCGAGCCCCGAGCGCTGCCCGCGGCACCGGGAGAGGGGAACCGGGCACCGGGCACGGGCCACCGCGAGAGGGGCGAAACCGGGCACGGGGCATAGCCTGGGGAAAGCGCACAGCCCCGGCGGGGGTCCGGGCGGGCTGCCCGGGGACACCGCCTCCCGCTCGGAGGGGGGGACCGGCCAGCCCGGGGAGGGACGGGCAGCCCCGGTGCGGCGGCAGCCCCGGGGCGGGCACGGCCGGCTCCACCCGGGGGAACGCGCCGCCCCCGCGCCGCTGCTGGGGCCGGTGCCGCCGGCGGGACGGGGCGGGGCGGGACGGGACGGACGGGCGGACGGGACGGGCGGCTCCTCCCCGCCGCCGGGACGGGACGGGCCGGGCCGGGCGGAGCGGCGCTCGGTGCGGGCGGTCACCGCCGCTCTCGCCATGCGGGCGCTGCTGCTCCCCGCGCTCCTGCTCCCGGCGCTGGCCGCGGTGCGCGGCGCCGCCACGGTAAGGACGGGCCGGACCGGCACCGGCACCGACTGGGGTCGGGATCGCGATCGGGAGCGGTCACGGCGGTGGTCGGAGCGGACAGGGGCAGCCCCGTCGCTGCGGGACCGGCCCGGTGCCCCGGCGGTCGCTGCTCTCTGTGCCCGGGCGGAGCGGCGGGGGCGCGGCCCGACACGGGCGGCGGGCGGGGGTCCCGGGAGGGGTCCCGGTTCGGGTGCCGGCGCTCCCAGCGGGCGGGGGTTCGGCGCCGGCAGTGACCCGGGCTGCGGGCGCGTTCAGCGGCTGGAAGGTGCCCAAGCCCCGGCGCTGCGGTGATGGGCGCTGCAATGAGCGACTCCGTGCCAGAGGGAGCAGCCCAGACAAGCCTTCCCCGCGGGGATGGGGAGCGGGAGCGGGAGCGGGAGCGGGACCGGCAGCGGGGGGAACCCGCCTCCCCCGTGCCTCAGGAGCCCTCGGTTCCAGCTGGAAGACGTCTCCCACGGGGTCAGTGGCCGTAGCGGGGCCGGGACACCGGGATCCAGCCCAGACCAATGGTGGTGGGAGCAGCTACTGCTAGGATCACCGAATGTCAAAAAGACAGGACTTTCCAAGACATTTGGTGGGAAACGACGTTAGCGCAGCTGTTGTCGGGCAGCACTTAGCTTGGAACAGATATCCAAAGCCTGGAATGCCCTGTTGCTGGGGTTCCCGGCGGGGTGCCAGGGGTGATGCTGGCAGGACTCGGCGATCCACGCGGTGCCGTCTCCCTGCCCGCAGGTGCTGCCTGCTGTGCTCAGAGGTGTTTTCCCGATGAGATCCCATCGGCGGGCATGCGTGTGCCACACAAACGCTTGGCACGGCTGTGTCCCCATGACTGACACGGGACGCCCAAGCAGCGCCAGCGCCCGGGCCTGGCCCCCGTCAGCCACGGCCCAGCCCTGCCAGCCCCGTTCTGCCTCAGCTGCGGGACGTGTTTGACACCTTGTGCCAAGCCTGGGAGGAGGAGGAAGAGGAGGGTGACATGGTTTCCCTCCCGTGACGGGGACATGCCTCCCGGCAGCTGTGCCAGAGGCGTGCGGTGCCGCAGCTTATCAACACAGCGTGTTTTCCTCCGAGACGAGTCCTCTGGCAGCAGCCAAGGGACAGCTTTAAAGCTGGCCAAGGGTCATTGTCAAAGGTCCCGCTTTCTCCAAATAATGTCACAAACTCTGTGCTCACATGGATGCTCTTGCAAGAGGTCCCGGAAGCCGGGAAAATTACCCAGCTCATAAAACTCGCAGTGAGGAAACCCTCAGCAAAGTGCAGGGACACTCTCCCACAGCAGCCACGGGTGTGCAGCCCCGGGGACAGGGACCCGCTGGGAGGAGAGGCAGCAGCAGCCTGGGCTGGGGTCTGCAGCGAGTGGGGGACCCAGGGAAGGAATCAGCAGAGCCCTGCAGGGCTGCATCAGCCCCATCGTGGGGAGCTCACAGATTCCCACCTGGAGAAAGCAGAGCAGCACGGGCTGCCCTCTGCACCCACATCCCCAACCACCTGTGCGCTGCTGGGAGAGGGTCTGTGGTGCCCTGGCATGGGCTGTCCCTGCGGAGCCGGGCACAGCCGGGCACGGGCTGACAGGGGGCACCGGCCGAGGTACCGCGGACCCTCACAGAGGCTCCCCGCGTGGGAGCCTGGTTTTAATACTTCCTCGCTTACGGGCTTTTCTGTATAAATAGAGCATGCAGTTCCTGTTTAGGGAAGCTGGCAGACGGCGCAGCGAGGTTTAGCGTTACGGCCCCGCTGGAGGTGGGCGGCGGCCCGGGCTCGGTGCGGACCCCGCAGCGCGTTTGCCCCCGCGGCCGGAGCCGGGCGGGTCTCGGGGGAGGGGCTGGCCCTTCGTGCCCTGGAGAGGTTCTGTGCCTCGGACACCTCCCCGCTGTCAGTGTCACAGGAGGGGATGCACAGCCAGGGTGCCCTGCTCCCGCAGAACGAGCTGCCTGCAGCGCTGCCCTGCAGAAGGCGCTGGGAGCAGGGGGGTCACAGCCGGCGGGGTCACAGCTGGGCCGGGGTCGGGATGGGCTCCAGCGCCTTCACCGGGGGCTGCTGCTCTGGAACGGGGGAGCCCAGCTCGGAACTGAAGCGGGCCTGCCGTGGGGAGCATCTCCCAGGGATTCCCGCAGGGATGTGTGCTCGGCGGGCAGCACACGGATGGACACTGCCCCCTAGGACAGCCCGGGCGCTGCGGGGTGTGGGGCCGGGCCGGGAGCCGTCCTGCCTGTTTGCACAAGCGCCAGTGGCCGTGGGGGAGGTCAGGGGCCCCGGGGACGTGCGAGCCTGGCGAGGTGGCGTTTGGGGAGGGGTCCCTGCCCCGCTCCCTGCTGAGAGCTTGATTAGATCCTGCTCAATTTACAGCCCTTTGGCGTCCTGGTGTTCCCTTCAGCCAGCAGGACCTGGTTTCCCTTTGAACGAAAGAGGGTTTTTTGAAATGTAAAATGTGTGAGGGTTTGCAGCCCTTCAGAAAGGGGCGGAAGCCCCTGGCCCTGTGGGCTGTGGGGAGCCGGGGTCCGTGCCCAGCTCAGGGAGCCCCGGTGCCACAGCACAGCAGGAGGATCCATCCCTGTGCGGCCCTGGGCGCTGCCTTGGGGCAGGACATGGAGCCCATGGGCCTCTGCCCTTTCCCACGCCGCTCTGTGCTCCGCTGCGGTCCGGGGAGCACCGGGAGCCAGAGCTCAGCTCGTTTCCCAGCTCTGCCACCGTTCTGTTTCCCAGGATGAGTCAGAGTCCCTGTGGGCAGAGCCCTCTCCCTGCGGGGTCACCGCTCTGCCTCTCCCTGCTCTCCCACCCTCCTTGGAGCAGGCACATCCCCGCCCGTGGGACACCCAGAGCGGCCTGGCCACGCTCCTGCCAGCCCTGGGGTCCCCGCAGGTGCACGGCCGGTGGCAGGGGCTGGGAGGGACTCAGCTCCCCTGTTCCTGAGCACAGCGGGAGAAATGAGCTAAACCGGCCGAAAAGCACCCTGGGCTCTGCAGCGTGAATCAGGGCCGTGTGTGGAAACAAGGGAGTCCTTGAGCCCGTGCCTCGGGCCATCGCGGCAGACTGAGGGGCCGAGCTCACCCCGAGGTGGCTGCATGTCACCACAAACAAGGGACCCTGTGTGGGCTCCGAGCCGCCGTGGGGGCACAGGGGCACTGCTGGGTGTTCCTGCCGCCACATCTGCTCGCTGAGGCACTGCTGGGTGTTCTTGCCACCATCCCTGCTCACTGAGGCACTGCTGGGTGTTCTTGTCACCATCCCTGATCTCTGAGGCACTGCTGGGTGTTCTTGCCACCATCCCTGATCTCTGAGGCACTGCTGGGTGTTCTTGCCACCATCCCTGCTCACTGAGGTCTTGCTGGAGGCTGAGAAGCAGCCATGGAAATGAGACTGAAGTACCTGGGCCACAAAGCACCGCAGGGATGAGCAGGTCCCTGGGCTTTGTCACTGCCAGCCCGGCTGCAGAGCGGTGGGACAGGGTGCTCTGGCCTAGGCAGTGCCTCTCTCCTTTGGGCACAGCCAGGGGCACTGGGAGATCTGTGGGCAAGCACAGTGAGGGGTTGGCCGTGTTGCTCCGCTGGGGTTGGCCCTGCGGGACACCCAGGCGGGCACCGGGCTCACGGCGTGTCCCGCAGGCTCTGGGGGACGTGGACCAGGTCCGGATGACGTCCGAGGGCTCCGACTGCCGCTGCAAGTGCATCCTGCGGCCGCTGAGCAGGGACGCCTGCAGCCGCGTCCGGAGCGGCAGCGCGCGCGTGGAGGATTTCTACACCGTGGAGACGGTGAGCTCGGGGGCTGACTGCCGGTGCTCCTGCACCGCGCCGCCCTCCTCGCTCAACCCCTGCGAGAACGAGTGGAAGATGGAGAAGCTGAAGAAGCAGGCCCCCGAGCTCTTCAAGGTATCTGTGCTGTGGTGGGACTGGGGCCAGGCCCCCTCTCCATGCTGTGCCATCATTCCCTGTGCCCCGTGCCCTGTGCCCCATGCCCCTGCCCCTGCCCTGTGCCCCGTGCCCCAGCCCTTACCCCAGGCCCCATCCCTGTGTCCCCCTGCAGCTGCAGGCCATGGTGGACCTGCTGGAGGGAACGCTGTACAGCATGGACCTGATGAAGGTGCACTCCTACATCAGCAAGGTGGTGGCGCAGATGAACACGCTGGAGGAGGTGAGCGAGCTCCAGCAGCCCCGTGCCCGCAGTGCTCCCCCCTGCACAGCTCAGGAGCTCTGTGAGCCTCTGAGTGGGGCTCCAGCCTCTCCTCTCCTCTCCTGCAGACCATCAAGACCAACCTGAGCAGGGAGAATGACTTCATGAAGGAGAGTGTCCAGCACCTCACTGACCAGATGAAACGCTACGAGAACTACTCTGACATCATGATCAGCATCAAGAAGGAGATCTCCAACCTGGGCTACCAGCTGCTGCAGAAGGATGCAGCTGCCATCCCCGACAGCAAGGCACAGGTACCCCAAGGCACAGGAACCCCAAGGCACAGGTACCCCCGGGCACATGCAGGCACAGCGGGTGCTGCCACGCAGGGCCAGGCTCCCCCAGGCTGGTGGAGGATCCTTGGGGTAATCCCTGGGCGAGTGCCTGTGTCCCCTGCCTGGCACGGAGGTGGCAGAGAAGAGGAGGGCATGGGAGGGCAGGGGGTCTGACCGGGCTGTGCCCCCCAGGACACGACAGGAGGCCGGGAGAAGGAGGCAGGACGGTACCCCAGCCCCCGCAAGGCCCTGGGGGACAGGGCAGCCCCCAGAGCGCCCAAGGAGAAGCCGCTGAAGCCCGAAAAGCCCAAAAAGGAGAACACCAAGGCCAAGGCGGGGTCACAGCCCACGGCCAAGCCCAAGCCCCTGGCGCAGCAGCAGACTGTGGTCCGGGGCATCACCTACTACAAGGTCGGGCAGGGAGCGGCGGAGGGTCCGGCCGGGAGCCGCGGTGAGTCTGGAGCAGGGCAGGGATGCGGGCTGGGAGGGCACCACTCACCGAGGGGGGGCCAGGGTGTGCCCCTGCACACGCACTGACCCCCGGCCCCACAAACACACTGACCCCCGGCCCTGCACCCACACTGACCCCCGGCCCCACAAACACACTGACCCCCGGCCCCACAAACACACTGACCCCCAGCCCCACAAACACACTGACCCCCGGCCCTGCACACACACTGACCCCCAGCCCCACGAACACACTGACCCCCGGCCCTGCACACACACTGACCCCCAGCCCCACATACACACTGACCCCCGGCCCCACAAACACACTGACCCCCGGCCCTGCACACGCACTGACCCCCGTCCCCACAAACACACTGACCCCCGGCCCTGCACACACACTGACCCCCAGCCCCACAAACACACTGACCCCCGGCCCCACGAACACACTGACCCCTGGCCCTGCACACACACTGACCCCCGGCCCCACAAACACACTGACCCCCGGCCCTGCACACACACTGACCCCTGGCCCTGCACCCACACTGACCCCCGGCCCCACAAACACACTGACCCCCGGCCCCACAAACACACTGACCCCCAGCCCTGCACACGCACTGACCCCCGGCCCCACAAACACACTGACCCCCGGCCCCACAAACACACTGACCCCTGGCCCCACAAACACACTGACCCGCGGCCCCACAAAGACACTGACCCCTGGTCCTGCACACGCACTGACCCCCGGCCCCGCACACGCGCTGACCCCCGGCCCTGCAAACACACTGACCCTCGGCCCTGCACCCACACTGACCCCCAGCCCTGCACACACACTGACCCCCGGCCCTGCACCCACACTGACCCCCAGCCCTGCACACACACTGACCCCCGGCCCTGCACCCACACTGACCCCCAGCCCTGCACACACACTGACCCCCGGCCCTGCACACACACTGACCCCTGGCCCTGCACACGCACTGACCCCCGGCCCTGCACACACACTGACCCTCGGCTTGTCCCCCCACAGAGGGTCCTGTGAGAGGGGCGGCCGTGCCGGAGCAGCAGGAGGACAGGGGCCCCCCGCCCGCCCCAGCCGAGGGCACCCCTGCCCACGCTGTTGCACAGGCGGAGAGCACCGTGCCCGGCAGCACGGCCGTGCCCAGCACCGCCCCGGTGCCCCGCAGCACCGCCCGCAGCGCCCCCGGGCAGGGCACCGACAGCACCGGGGACCCCGAGACACCCAACAGAGGTGGGTGAGAGGGGCGGCTGGCAGGGGGCACCCAGCCTGGAGGGCACCCAGCCCCGCGTTCCCGGTGCCCTGCCAACCTAAGCCAGCAGGAATCTGCCGGAGGGAAGGAGCAGGGGTCGGGTGCCAGGGCAGGGCTAAGCCTTCCTCTTCCTCCCCCTCGCACTCAGTGAAGGAGGCGGAGTGCGAAGGCACCATCGAGGCCGTGCAGCCCCCCAGGGAGCACCACAGCTACGGGCGCAACGAGGGGGCCTGGATGAAGGACCCGGCAGCCAAGGATGACCGCATCTACGTCACCAACTACTACTATGGCAACAGCCTGGTGGAGTTCAGGAGCCTCGACAGCTTCAAGCAGGGTGAGGGGCGAGCGGCCGAGTGGGCACAGGGGCCCTGGCTGCCCCTAGGTGGGTGACACCAGCTGTGCTGGGCCCTGGGGCGGTGGGCAGCTGAGGGGAGCATCCAGAGGGCAGCAAGGGTGACGCAAGGCCCCTTCTGCTGCCAGCATGCTCTGGCCGTCGTGCATGGGACCCCTGTGCTGTGGAGGGTCCCAACACCTCTCCCACCCACCCACAGGCCGCTGGAGCAACCTCTACAAGCTGCCCTACAACTGGATTGGCACGGGGCACGTGGTGTACAGGGGGGCCTTCTACTACAACCGTGCCTTCACCAAGAACATCATCAAGTACGACCTGAAGGAGCGCTACGTGGCGGGCTGGGCGCAGCTCCACGACGTGGTGTACGAGGACACCACGCCCTGGAAGTGGAGGGGCCACTCGGACATCGACTTCGCCGTGGATGAGAGCGGGCTCTGGGTCATCTACCCCTCGGTGGACTACGACTACTCCCAGCAGGAGGTGATCGTCCTCAGCCGGCTGGACCCCGTGGACCTCTCGGTGCGCAAGGAAACCACCTGGAAGACGGGGCTGAAGCGCAACACCTACGGGAACTGCTTCATCATCTGTGGCATCCTCTATGCTGTGGACACCTACAGCCAGAAGGAAGGGCAGATCTCCTATGCCTTCGACACGCACACAGACACGGAGGCAGAGCTCCGGCTGCCCTTCCTCAACCACTACTCCTTCACCACGCAGGTCGACTACAACCCCAAGGAGAAGGTGCTCTATGCCTGGGACAACGGCCATCAGATGACCTACGGGCTCAGCTTCGTGGTCTGAGTGCCCGGGCGGGTCCCTCTGCGCTCCTGCACCCACCCTGCCTGGGGCACCCTGACGCAGCCTGGCCCTGGCACCCCCACTCCAGCCAGGGCTGTGGCAAGAGCTCAGCTTCCCCCTCAAAACCTTCCCCATCTGCTCTGGCCACCCACCACCTGCCCCGTGCCCACCGTGCTGCAGGGCATGGGCAGCCCGTCAGAGCAGCCCCCAGCAGCAGACACCCACCCCTGTGACAACGTGGCCCCGGGGCCGTGGCAGCTCGGCCAGCATCGCCTTCCCGGGGACGCGGAGAGAGCCCAGCCCCGCACGGCTCTGCCGCTGCTGGCACCGCCCGCCCGCCCTGCAGCAGCGCCCCGGGCGCCTCCTGCGCTGCCCCCGGCCCGGGCACCGCGTGTGCCATCCAGCGCTGCCAGCCGTGCCAGGGCCAGTGCCAGCCCCGTGCCCCGCCCGCGCCCCGCCCCGCGGGCCCCTCACTGCCCGGCGCCCGGAACAGGTGCCAGTCGCTATTTTAGGAAGTGTGGTTAAGACGCCTTTGCTTTTGCTGATCATGAGTTTGTTATTTAAATGCATTCACTGGAGCCGTGCAAGTCCCCTTCGGCAGCAGGCGTGGAGGAGCCTGCCTGGGGTGTCCTGCCTGCACAGCCACCCGCACACCTGCCCTCACACCTGCCCTCACCCCTGCCTTCTCACCTGCCCTCTCACCTGCCCTCTCACCTGCCATTACACCTGCCCTCTCACCTGCCCTCTCACCTGCTCTCACCTGCCATTACACCTGCCCTCACCCCTGCTCTCACACCTGCCTTCTCACCTGCCATTACACCTGCCCTCTCACCTGCCCTCTCACCTGCTCTCACCTGCCCTCTCACCTGCCCTCACACCTGCCCTCACCCCTGCTCTCACCTGCCCTCTCACCTGCCCTCTCACCTGCCTTCTCACTTGCCCTCTCACCTGCCCTCTCACCTGCTCTCACCTGCCCTCTCACCTGCCCTCACACCTGCCCTCTCACCTGCTCTCACCTGCCTTCTCACCTGCCCTCACACCTGCCCACACCCCTGCCCGCACCCAGCACTGGCCAGGGCACCCTCGGGGCTCTCACTCGGTGTGAGGCAGAGCGAGGGGCTGTGAGCGCTTGGCTTGGTTTTGGTCATTTTAGACATGAGCAGTACTAAAACATAACAGATGTGAGAGCGGGCTGCGTGTGTTGTCGTTTGTCCTGGAGCTGGGCAGGGTGGGTGCTCACCGTCCCCATCCCTCCCTGTCCCTGCCCCTGCCCCTGTCCCTTCTCATGCCCCTTCTTCCCCTGTCCCTTCTCCTTCCCCTGCCCTGCCCCTGCCCTGCCCCGAGCCCCCACGCTGGCCAGGCGCTGTCCCCTCTCTCGGCCGTGGGTTCTCGCCACCAAAAAGGAGCCGGCCGACTTTTCCCCCCGACTGGTCCCTGCCAGGCTTTTATCTAGCGATCCCCAGCAAATCCCTGTACAAACAATACGGATTTCTGACATTTTTTTGTGGTAAAGTAAACTCCCAGCACATCTCTAATTCCAGGGCTTTGTTGTTCTTCCGCAGGGGCTGCCGCGGCTCCGCGCTGTGCTGGGCTGGGCTGCGGACACCCCTCCGCTCCCCTCGCTCAGAAAACACGGTCAGAGCGCTCGTTGTGTTGGGTCCTTGGGGCTGCGGTGGGGAGCTCCAGTCCCAGCAGCTCTTTGTGAGCTGATCCTGCTCTGGCACGGGCCCCAGGCTGGTCCTGGTCTCTGGTCCCAGCTCAGCCGCAGGACAAGCCGGGCTGGGGAGGACAGGGGTCCCCAAGTGGGGACGTGTGGGTGGGGGCAGGATGGGCTCCCGCTGCGACAGGAGCTGCTGACTTCCAGACATTCCTCCTGTGCGCGGCCGGCACCACCTCGGCTCATAACGTGATTAAAAGATTAAAATCTCTCAGTTCAGCAGCAAGCAGCAAATGAAGCTTGAGACGGGGATGCTGGGGGGCTGTGGTGCTCGAAGCCCCCGTGACAGCGATGTGGCGCCTGGGGAAGGGCAGCTGAGGCCATGTGGGCAGGTGGCTCTGGTGCCCAAAATCTCCTCCTGTGCTCGGTGCAGCCGGGCAGCGAGCCCTGATCCCCCCGCCCCTTCTCAGTTACTGGCCGGGCTGGTTTGTTTGTGGTGGTTTTGCCTCCTTGCTGGCGTCCTGCTCTCCCCACGGTGCCAGCCCAGTGCTGAGCTGAGCCGGGGCTGGCCAGTCTTTGGGTGGGCAGGATGTGCAGTGGGCAGGTGGCATCCTGGCCATGGTTGCAGTCTGTTGGCACCACTGAGGGTGCACCAAAACTTCAGTCCTTGTTCCACCCCGGGAGCTGCCTCTGCCTGGATCCCCCGCAGCTCAGCTGTCTGGGCACTGCCAGGCTCCAGGACCAGGGGCTTGGCAGAGGGCTCTGCCTGGGACATGGTGCCCAGCCACGCCAGTAGCCCCCGGGTCATCCCCGGGGAGCAGAATGCTCGGTGCCAGCACCACAGCCCTCTTGCTGTGCCCCCACCCATCCGCTGCCCGTGCTGGGACATGTTTGGTGGGAGAACGTCGGTGCCACCAGGGCCTCTGGTCAGTCTCCAGGAGCTGCGGGGAGGTGCAGGGACGTGGTGTGACATGGGGACGCAGGTGCCAAGGCTGACGATCCCGAGCAGCTGTGGGAAGGGCTGGGCAGCGGGTGGTGGCCGGAGGGAAGGGAGGGGAGCCACGGCCTTGGCGGTGCCGCCGCTGACTCACTCACCAGTGGAAACAGAAACCTTTCCCAGGCTTGCAGCACCAGCTCCCCAGCACCCACCTCGCCATGTCAGCCCCTGGGGCTGGCAGGGTGCACCTGCACACACCCCTTCCCTGGCACGGCACGGCACGGCATGGCACGGCACAGAGCAGGGGCTCTCGTGGCCGGGCTCTGCTCAGCCTGCTGCAGGGGCTGTCTCCATCTCCCCAGGGATGCTCAGCCAGGCTGCCTGGGAGCCAGGAGCCAGCAGGCAGCAGCCCCCAGCCCTGGGTGCCCCCGGGCCGGCGGGAGCCGTGTCTGTGTGCACACACTGCCCGCATTCATGGAACAGCGGGACCAGGGCAGCGCGGGGCAAGTCCTCCCCCAGAGTGGCCAACAAAACGGGCATTCAGGCATTCAGGGCCAGCGCGGGCGGCTGCCCCGGGCAGACCCGGGCCATCTGTGAGGCCAGCGGGGCACGGCATTTTCCTGCCAGGCCTCACAGCCCGGGGCTTGTGGTCCCAGCTGCCCCAGACACGCTGCTCGCACGCAGCCACGCGGGGCCAGCTCCCCCAGCACGCTGTGCCAGGCATGGCACACCGAGGGCACTGGAGTGGGCACGGCACACCGAGGGCACTGGAGTGGGCACGGCACACCGAGGGCACCGGGGCGGGCACGGCACACCGAGGGCACCGGGGTGGGCACAGGTGGTCGCTCCCAAGCTCCCTGCCCACAAAGCCCTTGTCATGTCCCTCCGTGTCCCGCTGTGTGCAGAAACCAGGGCCAGCCCTGTGGCAGCGCTCGGGGCAGCAGCCAAGGACTGTCCTGGAGGAGGAAGGTGACAGTAGCAGTGACAGGAGCAATGCCAGGAGCGTTAGGAGACCTGGGGATTGTCCATCGCAGCCAGCACCAGCCAAGGGAGGTGGGTCCTAGGCATTCCTCAGCAGTATTTGGTTCACAGTTGGACTCAATCTTGAGGGTGTTTTCCATCCTAAAGGACAGTGATGATACAGCTCACATCTGCCTCTGCCCCTGTGCAGCCCCTCCTCCCCAGCCCCCAGAGGCAGAATGGGGTCCAGGCGTGGGTGCTGCCAGCTCCCACCGACACCATCCGCTCCAGGCCGGTCCTGCTGTGCTGGGCACAAACATCTGGTCCTGCTGGAGGTGTTCCAGGGCACAGGGCCAGGGCTCCCTCTGCAGCAGCACCAGCCCTGGGCCGTGCCCTGCAGCCAGCCAGCAGCTGCTCCTCCGTCCGCATCCCCACCCGGGAAATCATTTGTTTGTTGAAGAACGTCTTTTCCCAGGAAACCTCTGCAGTGCTGAGGGACATCTTCAGTTACAAGGAGCAAATAAACAGTTTGAGTTTCTGAGGCTCGGCAAACACCCGTGTTAACCCAGGGCTGGCATGGGCAGCTGGGGGGTCAGCGCTGCAGCATGGCGGGGTCCCACACCGACCCCAGAGCCTGCGGGGACACAGGGACAGAGGGGACAGACACACAGCCTGCAGGGACACAGGGGCCACACGGCCTGCAGGGACACAGGACACAGGGGACACACAGTCTGCAGGGACACAGGACACAGGGGACACACAGTCTGCAGGGACACAGGGGCCACACGGCCTGCAGGGACACAGGACACAGGGGACACACAGTCTGCAGGGACACAGGGGCCACACGGCCTGCAGGGACACAGGGGCCACACAGCCTGCAGGGTCACAGAGGACACGCTGTGGTCCCCACAGAGGCAGTGTGACACTGGGGTGCTCTGGGGAGTGGGTGGCCCTTCCCTGGGGGTTCCTGTCCCTGGGCTCCCTCCTCTGGGGACCAGCAAGGCCAGAGAGTTCACTCAGTGCTGCCAGCAGTGGCTTCTGCCAGGGAGCTGGGGCACCAAGGGCACCCTCTGGGACTGGCTGGCAAAGAGGGAACCAGCACAGACCGCCGAGACCCCAGCCAGGACAGGCCTTGCTCTCACAGCAGGAACAAGAGTGTTCTCCACCAGTGCCCTGGAGGAAGCTCATCATTTCACCTCTGTGTCCTCTCAATCACTCTGTTGTTCCTGGTCACTTAAAGGGCTGCTTGTCTGCAGGACATCTCCTGTGACAGGACAGGGCAGCTCTGATGGAAGGGCCAGACTGGTTGGTTTTGTCACACAGCTATGGGTGGATGGAGTAATTCAGCCCCAGGATTTAGTGCAGTGCCAGAAACATGTTCACCTCCTCAAATGGCTGCTGGGGGCTGTGCCCAAACTGAAGCCTGAGCTGTTCTCCAGTACTGCCTCCCACTCAGCATGGAGATGGCTCCTGGACGTTCAGAGCCTGCTCAGTTGGGGTTTTTCCCCATTTTTGTGTTCCCCACCCTCTTGATTGGCATGCCAGTGATCTGCACTGACTGGATCCTTGAGACAGCAGATCCTTTCTCAGCAGTGCTCCTGTGGCTGGGGTGGAAGGTGACACCTGGAGCACACCCTGGCACTCACCCGTCTCTGCAGGCAGAGTTTGGGCCGTGCTTGCTTTGCCGAGCTGCCAGGCTCCCCGAGCCGTGCTGCTGGAGCAGCACAGGGCACACAGCTCTCCCAAGAGAAGCCCGAATGCAGCCAGGCACGATCTGGCAGCACCACCTGCCCCAGCCTGCCCTGCTCCCAGCACAGGGACCAGCCCCTCTCTCTGTCTCCAGCATCAGCTCCTGGGATGGCAGAGAGCAGATCTGGGATCCTCACAGGGTGCCCCTGCTCCTGGGGGACAAGCAGCTCTGAGGCCCAGCAGGACACACGGACACGGACGCGGCCCTGTGAGCCTGCCTGGGAGCAGAGCCCAGCCCAGGAGCCGTTCCCACACGCAGCCTGCCCGGCCCAGCGCCGTGCCAGCCCCGCTCCTCTCCTGCCAGACACGTCCCACGCACCCCATCCAAACAGGGACAGAGCCAGCACAGCCCGGGTGACATCACAGCGCAGCCACCCTCGCAATGCCGCCATGTAGGGAAAACTCCCTGCACCGCACGGGATCGGGCCTCTCTGGATAAAACTAGCTTGAGGCTTAAAAAGCCTTAATTGAGGCAGCAGAATTAAGACATTTTTCCTAAACAGAATCTGGATCCAATCTAGGAACTCCCTAATGGATAGGCAATTTTTTATGTTCGAATGCATTGGCCGCACTAATTCAAACCATGAGTGCTGCAGCCCTCACGCTCCAGCAGCACTGTGGAACTCTTGCTCACAATCAGAACCAAAAAAGGCTTTTGGAATTGCAGCTCCATCTCTGAGTCCCAAAGAACTCCATGGGGGACAAACCATTTAACCCGTGCTGTGCTTTGCAGGTATAAGGAAGTGTGGAATTGTGAAGCCACGGACGCCCTGGGAGTTCAGTTCTTTTTCATACCCCGAGCTCATGTGCCCACAGAAGCACCCAGACCCACAGAGAACACCTGATCTGACACTATCCCTCCCCCACAGGGTTGTCAGTGGAGTTAGGAGCTTCCCAGGGATCTGAACCAAGTGCTGACAAGTTTCCATGATGTCCCATGAAATCCCTCAGCTAATTAATTTTTTTCTATTAACCCTTCAATACAGGCACAAGATAAAATTTTAAACTGTTATAGTGATAAATATCGACTGACTACCAACATTTGTGAAAAGCTTCCGTTCTAGATCAATACCCGTTTGGATGAAGCAGCCTCATAGATCTGTACCCATTCACTGCCTGTTCCTCAGAGGCAAATAATCTGCCAGGTCTGTATTTCCATTAGCAGTCGCACACTTTCTGTGAACCCTCCCATTTCCCTCCATTAGGCTGACTCCTTTATGGGCCCTTTACCCACCACCCCCAAATAAACCACCAGTGACACTTGCAAAGCAAACTGCATTTAATGAGCCTTCCTGCGAGTGCAGCTGGCCCGGGGCTATGCCTTGATGGCGAATTTCCGGGCTGGGTATAAACGTTCCTTTCTCTGCTGCTTCTTGGTCTTCAGGTTCTCCTCGTGCTTGTTGAGCCTGCGCCGCATGGCCCTCGTCTTCTTGGGTCGCAGATCCAGGGGCTTGTACTTCTTGCCCTGTTTGCAAAGACACCCAGCAGCTGAGCTCAGGAGACTCCTCTCCACTGGGAATCACAAGTGCATTGTGACTTTTGCAGCAGCTCTGATTCAGGTTTAAGTAAGGCCTAATCTTACAAGCCCCACTTATCCAGCATCCCTTGAAAAGATCTTTTTTCCCCAACCAATATGATCTAACTCAAACTCCAGGAAGTGATAGTCTAAAAATTACAGAACCATATAGAATTTCTTGGTCACCTGTGAGATGATTAAATTGAAAATAAGAAGAGTATCTGAATTTCTGCAAACCACATCTCCCAGCAAGTCCACCCCACAGAAGGGATGCTGCCAGAGGACTCTCTTGCAAAGCAGACTCACACCAAGCCTGCAGAACTCTTGCACCAATATTTAAAAAGCAACCATGACCACAGAACTTTAATCTTAACATAAATTATAGTTTTTCATTGAGTTTTAAGCTTTTAAGTAGCAATCCTTCCCAGAAACTTTGTAATTGTGAACGGCAAGAGTGTAAATGCCACTTACAGAAAACGCCTGTCCTTACCTTGTAGAACTTCCTCAAGTTCTCCTTCTGGGTCTGGTTGATGACGGTCAACACTCTGGCAATGGATTTGCGCACCACTCGGCTACAGGTGGGAAAGAGAGGGATGTGAGCACACCGTGCAGGGGCAGCTCCATGGGGCGAACCCGGGCTACAGAACCCAGCAGCTCCAGGGCCGAACCCCAGGTACAGAACCCAGCAGCTCCAGGGCCGAACCCGGGCTACAGAAGCCGGAGCCCTCACACTGAGCCCCGCTACAGCCAACACCGGCAGCGCCCGGCCCAGCCCCCCGAGCACAGACACGCACCGGCCCTCAGGCCTAGGGAGATGCGCTCCTCTCCCACGCGCGATTTCAGGTTTTCCTTTTCCAGAGCACGCAGCCAGCACAGCCTGCGGGAGCGGCTCAGGCACGGTGCCCCGGACTCGGGGGCCCTGCCCGGCTGCACTCGGCCCCGGCCCCACTCACATCTTGGACAGCTTGGAGGCGGCCCCGCCGGTCACTTTGGCCACGCGCAGCTGCGACAGCTCCACCTTGAGATCCTCCAGCTGCTTCAGCAGCTCCTCCTTCTTCTTCCCGCGCAGGTCTCGGGCCTTGATCTTGGCCTGCGGGCGGCGGACAGGCCGTCAGTGCCCCCGCCCGACCCCCGGGCCCGCGTCCCGCCCGCCCTCAGCCCCCGCGGCGCGAATGTGCGGGCCCAGGGCCCGGTGGGATGTGGGCGGACGGCCGGGATTCCCGGGCCCGGTGGGACGGGGGGGATGCCCGGGTGCCGTTCCCGCGGGATGCCCAAGTGCCGTTCCCGCGGGATGCCCAAGGATGCCCGGCGGCCGTTCCCGCGGGATGCCGGTGCATCCCGGTGCCGTTGCCGCGGGATCCCGGTAGATCCCGGAGCCTTTCCCGGGGGATGCCGGCGGATTCCCGACGCGCGGCCCGGTTCTCTCACCATGGCGGGCGGCGCGGGGCGGAAAGGCGGAAGCGGCGCGGGAGAGGGGCGGTGCCGCGGCCGGACCGTACCAACGCGTGCAGGGCGGGGGGAGGAGCCTGCGCCGCGCGCCCCCCGCGGGAGGCAGGGTGGTCCCGGCCGGGGCGCTGACAAGCAGGGCGGGAGGCACGGCCGGCCCCGGGCTCTGGGGCTGCAGCCCCGCGGGAGCCGCTCGGTGCTGCGGCCGCCGCCCCCGCTCTCTGGCAGCCGCCGGAGCCCGGTCAGAGCGCAGCCGGTGTTCTCACGCTGGCCGAGGTGCGGCACTCTTACACCGGCAGTGATGGGGACGTGATGGGGACGTGATGGCGGGCGGGGCGAGAGCGGACGCCGCGGCACCGCGGAGCAGGGACAGCGGCAGGGGCAGGGCCGTGCGCGCAGGCGGCCGCGCGGGACGGACAGACGGACAGACAGACGGGCCGGTCTCGCTCCCCGCGGCGCCGCCGCCGCCGTATCCAAGCAGCCGCCGCGCCTCACCGGCAGCGCGCCGGAGGGCGGAGCCTCTCGATTGACGGCCGGCGCAGCCAATGAGAACGCAATCTCGCCGTTAGCCTGGGCGCGCGGCCAATAGGAGCGCACGGGGGCGGGGCTGGCCGGCGCGGACCGGCGCGAGGCGGCAGCCGCGCTCCGCGAACCTCGGCGGCGCTGCGGCCGCGCCCGGACCGGGACCGTGATCGGGACCGGCGGGTGCGGACGGTGAGCGGGACCGCCCGGCAGCGCCTGCCCCGCTCCGGCCCGGCCTCCAGGTGCGGGGGGCGGAGCGGCGGCGCGGGCGGACGCGGGCGGGGCGTCGGCGGGGGCGGGCGGGAGCGGCGGCGGCTGCGGGCGCCTCGGGGCAGGCCCGGTGGCGGCGCGCCCCTCACCGCGGTCTCGCCCCCGCAGAGCTCCGGGCCCGGCGGAAGAGCCCCGCCGCGCGTGGGAGCCCAGGTAAGGCGGCAGGTGCGGACGGGGGCCCCCGGAGCATCCCCCGGCGGCGCGGCGGGGCCGTGCCCGGTGCCGCGGTGAGGGGCGGCGGGGGCGGGAGCTGCCGAGGCCCGGCGGCGGCACGGGGCCGTGCTGGCCGCTGTCGTTGCTGCTAACGGAGGGGAGGAACGCGATGTGACACGTCTAACGCTTAGGCCTGGGCTGGCAGCGCAGCCGGGATAATCACCCTCCCGACCCCCGGTATTAACTTGGCCGCTGGCCGCGCTCCCTTCCCGCCCGCAGCCGCGGGGCCGCCGGTGCCGAGCGGCCGCTGACAGGTAGCGGCGATCGGCGTCGCCGGGCGAGCCCGCTGGGATGGAACGCTGCGGGATTTTACGGGAGCAGTCTGTGCGGGGCTGGGTATCCAAGCTGCCAGACTATCCAAGGTTTGCTGGAATCGTCGTGGGTTCGTTCTGATTTTAAACTTCCATCGCAGCACCAGCTTCCCTTGTCACCAATTTTTATTTGTTTTTGTACAGAGAGGTGTCTGGGACAATAGGTGACGTGAAATGCCCTTGGGGACAGAAGCTGGATGGTTGTTATATTGTGTCATCCCCTCAAATTTCTTGTCTTATAAAAATGTGCATAACCTGTTAAAACATTCAAGATCAAGACTGCAGGTTTTCAGCTCTAGATCTAATCTCCCACCACAGAACAGGACCTGTTTTCATCAATGTCTGAGCTGCACGTCTCTCATTTAATAACCAGACTCCAAGCTTCTACGCTTTATCTGGGCCAAGCATTTCTGGTCCTCCAACCTGTAAAATGGACCCTTTTAATATAAACAAAAAAATCTGGATTTTGCACAATCTATCCAAATGCAACCTGTAATTCATGGCATCTTGTCCAGCTGATGCAGAGCAGCGCTGTGGGCCCATATGAAGACTGAAATGTGAGTGAGTCTCCCAGAATGTGTGTGCTTCCCTCTGCTCCTGCGGGCAGCGGGACTGCTGTGGCGGTAGCAGTCTTTGCAAATTGTAGAAATTCATCCTGTGTGGGTTTTGCTGTGGGATCTGCAGGTGCAGCTCCTGCCTGGGGTCTCTCACCCCGCCTGACCCCGTGGTGTGGTGGCTGTGCTGTCCCTGCAGGGTGGAGGAAGCACTCTGGGAGCCTGGTGCCCTGCTGGGGACCATGTGTGTAGAAAAGAGGCTTCATTTTCAAATCAGATTAATACAGTCTCATTCAAGATGTTTGAATAAATTGGACCACGATTTATGTTAAATGAAAGAGTGAGTCACTTCACCATGAGCAGAGAGCTTTATTCTCCAGTCATCCTAGGCTGCCAGAGCAATACAGGCAGTCATGAATGTGATGGCCAGGTCCTTTACTGCAGGAAATAGAAAAACCATTCACAGAAACTATATGGAGAGAGGGAATATTTTGTTGTTCTACAGAGGAGAATGTGATCATTGTTCTGTCTTGCAATGTAGCTGCAATAAACTATCAGAATTCAGCTGGCAATCCATTACAAGGCAAGTCCCTTACAAACAAGGGAATATTTTATCACAACCGTGTCTAGCTGGGCTTTGCTCTACGTGTAAGTATGATACCGTGTTCTGTGCTCTTTTGAGAAAGTCGATCTACAAGTGATAAAGATGCTGAAAGTGCATTCCAGCGGGAGCAACACGAAGCTCATTGTTAATCATTCCTGTGTCCCTGTTTTATTTTGTGGAGGGGAGTGATAAAAATGGAGCGTAGCGATTCCAAACGTCGAGAAGGTTCTGCCCTGGATCAGGTGGGGCTGTCGGTGGCCTGCAGGGAGGGCACAGGTGGGCAGTGGGAGCCGGGCTGGGCAGTGGGAGCCGGGGGCTGCAGCTCTCCCTCTGTGCTGCTCCCGTCACATGATGCTCTGCACAGGGCCCTGCTCGCGCTGCAGCTGCCTGGCTGCCTGCACTCACATCTCACATCTCACATCTCCCCTCTTCTTGCATCGCTTTCATTCTGCTTTGGCTCTGTCGGTGTTAAATGGAGCTGTTGGTGATCTGCTGCGGCACAGATGGATAATGGGAATTCATTGGGTTATCTGGGCACGTTACTTTGTTGGTTTATCTTTTATTGTGCTTGGTGTGCTTTGGGTAAGGAAAGGAGATCTCTGGTGTGGAAGTCTGTTCTGAGGTGGTGTTACTGCCTAAAGAGCTGCAGTGGAGCTGATACTAAACAAAAACCCCCAACAGCCCCGCTAGTCCCCTAAAGCACAGTACAGCTATTGGATTCTGACCACAAAAACCTGGATGTTGATGTCTTTTTATACAGAACTTTACACAGTTCTCATTTTTTCATAAAAATGATTGCTTCCATTTTGGAGCAATCCTGGGAGAAGGACAACCAAGACCTGTACATGCAGATTTTATAATAATTTTGTTTGGTGTTCTTGCATAAGAATGTTCTGCAGGCTCGGCTTTTATAGCTAAGGTGCACTGTTGAAGCACAAAAGCTCTGTTCAAGCTGTGTAATTTTTAAACAGGCTGGAAGCAGAGGTATGGTATGGAGCATGTGTTGCAGCAAGAGGAGACAGTTCAAAGGAGTGGACCAAGTTGTGTGTGGGAGCTGCACTGAGGGTCAAATGGAGGTCTGGTTCTGTAAAGTATGTAAGGAAGTTGCCAACACAAATATTACCTTGCAGCTTACATGAGCTGAGAGAACGCAGCACAGCCCTGCAGCAGGGATGGAGCTCAGTAACCATCAATCTGGTTCCCTGAGGATGTCAGTCAGGAAAGGAAGTGTGTGCTGCCAGACGGCCTGGATGGAGCTGCAGGTTTAGAGGGCTTGTTGTTTGAAGTATTTTTAATTATTGCTATTAATATAATGGAACACGGACTAGAAGCTGAGTTTTTGAAGTATAATTAAAGCAGGAGTGAGCAGAGGGATTTCTGTGCTGTGAGGCAGAGGCACGGCTCAGGAGCAGTACCTGCTGAGGAAGGTGAATTCCCAGAGTGGTGATGCTCTCCATGCAATTCCCAAACGTGCTGGCAGCTCCCACCAAATGCTGGATTGGAGGGAAGAGCTGAACCGAAGGGATCAGAAAGCTTTCCCAAGCTTGTCCTGCACTCCCTTTTGTCAGAGTACAGTTCCAGTTGGAAGGCAGCCACTGGCACCTTGGCTGAGGATGGGAGCAGGCTGCAGAGTGTGACGATAGCTGCCCTCCAGATCGGGCACTGGCCTCAGCTGCCATTTGGGCCAGCCAGTAAATCATTTGGCTGGCTGGAAGGGAGCCTCTCCATCTCTCCATCCCACTGCTGTACAATGCAGCTCCGTGCTAGCTGTTTCATTTCGAATCAATGAGTGTACATAAAAGAGTTAAAGCATCAGTTGTTGTCAGACGAAAGAAAGAAAAACCTTTCTTGTGACTGGGATGCTTTTCAGGAACTTGGCTGCTGGGAAGGCGAGAGGCATGTGCTTTTCCACCCTGCTTTAGGTGATGGCTTAGTTCAAGGGGGCCCAGATTTGGCTCAGTCAACAGTTGTGTTGGCGTCTTGCCATCAAATGTGCATAAAATGGAGCTGACTGCAATTCCCTGCTCACTCTAACATGGAGGGGCAGCGGAGGGACCCGAGGCTGCCGTGCCGTGCCGTGGGTTGCCGTGGCTGTGAGGGTTTCCCTGGGGTGTGCCATCCCTGCAGCACGAGCCCTTGCTTTGTGACTGGCTCGTTGCTTTCCCGTCCCTGGGTCGTATTTTGGTGGCTTGTCATAACTAATGCATCTCAGCCCTCGTTGTGCCTGTGCTCCCAAAATCTCTCTCCTTTCTCACAGTGGCTCATGTGCTGTTCCAGATGTAGGAGCTTGGTCTCTCGCTTGCAGACTCTTGCTGTGGTTCTGTGGCTTATGCGCATTGCCACAAAATCGAGATAAAACACAACTGGCATTTTAGCTGCTCCAAGAACATTGTGTGTAAATAAACCACTAAATAGTTCAGCCTGTGAAATGTAAATACACACAGCTCACTGCCACAGCTGATGGTGTTTTTCTGTCTCCCTTCTACCCTCCCACCCCTGCCAAGAGTGGGCCAGCCTGATGGTTTTTTCTCTTGCTCTTTCATACAAAGCAAATGACTGTTAAGTACATGTAGGTGGTATGCAGGCACCACCACAGATTCATGATTTGAATTTGGATGAAAAGAAACGCTTATGTCCTCTTCCACATTGCTTCTGCACCATCTTCTGGAGATTCCTAGATTCTGATGACCCAGAAATTCTTCTTTGGTCTGACTTTGAGCTTGAGCCTGTTTTTAATAGCAAACCAGTGAAGTCAGTAGAAGAGCAGAGGCCCAACTGTGATGACATTTTTAGCCTGTGCCCTTTGTTCATCCTATACACAAAAGGTCGTGAGCTGCAGTGAAAGAGGGATCACAGAGGGCGCAGAACAGACAAAGCTGGAACAAATTGTCAGTGGCAGAAACACAAAGAAGAGAAGCAAAAGTTTTGTGTTCTGAAGGCGATGGAAGGCCACGTGCGTCCCACGGTGAGATCATGTCTCCTGTGTTCAGAGTGATCCGCCCAGAGAGGATCCAGAGGAGGCTGCTGGTGAGGTGTGGCTCCCGTGATCTCAGTGTAGGAGGCAGGAAGGGACTGCACGGTTTCCATGGCACGATGTTAATGAGCACCTCCGCGCGTTTCTGAGGGGAAGGATGCCAAAACTGCAGTTCTGGATGCACACAGGTGTGCTTCCTAGCAAGAAAAGGATTTTTGAATACGTCTGAAACATGCAAAAATGGGATTCTACAGGCCTTGAAATTAAAGTAATGGGATTGACACTGCATGTTGTATTTTCCAACTCATTTGACTCAGAATGGAGTTGAATGTGTGGTGCTGCCTATTTCCCTACAGGAAGTTATGACCCTGTTCCTGACGAGATTTCACAGGTAATACAGAGGTGGCAGTTCCCCTTAAATCTGAGCTCTTATCTTCTCATCCTCTGATGTGCTGAGGAAGGAATGATGCATTCATGTGAGAGCATAAACTTCCAGTTTGCAGTAATAAAATTTGTGTAACTTGTATAACAGTTCTTGTGTAACTGAGTGCCTGCTCTGTGCCACTTCCACTGGCCACAGCAGCGTGCAGCTGGGGAATGTGTGCGTGGGTTTATCTTGTTTTCTTATTTATCCCCTGCCCACTCCTTTCCCTTTTTTAGGAATGCAATTGCACGATCAGGCTTCCTCTTTTTTCTTCTTCTCCAAGCAGCTTTTCAATCCCTTGTCTAATGTAACTGTTGTTGTTGTAGGGGGAAAGGTCCTGAAGATTATCTAGTGAGTAGTTTTCACAAAATTGAAAAGAAGTTGAAGTAATGTGTTTAGTGCATCTATGAAAGGGAAGGACAGACAGAAGGAAGCATCTGGCCAGCCCCTCAGAACGTGTGGAGCCCCAGGGCAGTGGCAGCTTGCCCTGTGCTGCGGAGAGCTGGATTTAATGGGATGCAGAGGGAAGGATCAATCCAGGTCGATGTGGGACCAGGCTCCCTGTGCCTGTAGGGGCAACTGCTGGCCCTGACTGCTCGTGCACTGGGGTGTGGGTGTGTTCACACTCAGGCTCACTGGGGTTTGTGTCTTTTTATTATTTACTTTAAGTGACTTCCCTATTTCCTGATCTTTAGAGGTAACAATATTTTTGCAAGTTAGCTCTAAAAATGTGTATTTTAGTAGGAAAACCAGTTTCTTGGAGAATTGTAAGTACGTACCTCCAATAGGAGGTACTTGCTAGACATAGTTACATCTGCAGGTGATTTTGTCTGCCACGCTGTAATTTGTACACGAAGTCAGTAATTAATTTATCCTTAGTGCTCTTCGAAGTAAACAAACATCCAGGCAGAGAGAACATGATTTGACCAACATTATCAGTGAGATACAAGTGCTGCTTGTTTCTGTTTCCTAAGTTAAAGCTGCTTTTCACTGTGGCAGTCAGACAGAAGTGTCCCCAAGCCCAGGCCGTGTCGTTTTCCTCGTGCATGTGCACAGAGCACTGAGCAGAGCGGGACACAACGCTCGGGTTGTTCCGTGAGCTGGCCCTGGGCATTGCTGTCCCCAGGGACTGAGCCTTGCCAGGAGCTCAGGTGTGGGCTCAGCCTGCTCCCAGATGCTCCTGCAGCATCCAGCCAGCTGCTGGAACAGGAGCTGATGTGTCTGGAAGAGCTGCAGCCTCTGCAGTGCAGACGTGCCCTGAGGTGAACAGTGGTTGGGGTGAGGAATGTCTGTGATCGCTTCCAAATTTTACTAAAAACCTTGGAATCATAAAGAAATCTTCCCCCCCCCGCCTGCATTTTGTGAAGAAATGGTTTGATGTATAACTGCTCATTGCCATTCCTTCTCAATTCCTGACTCCAGCAGGCTGTGAGGTTTTCAGTACCTGTTGGGGGGAATTGCTAATTATTTATTTCAGTGTTTCTTGGGCAGAACTGAGTGGTGTCTTGGGAACTTCAGGGCAGTGGCTGTTGATGGAGAGTTAGGTATTCTGGCAGGAGGCATGAATTTGGTTTCTAATGCATTTTGTGTTGTCTGAGGCTCTGTCAGGACTAGCACTCTGAGCAGATCACATGGAAACACACAGATGGTTTTCCCAAAACGTGCAGTATAGCGTTGAAAGAAAACATGAGACACGAGTGTGCCAGTCTGCAGAAGAAAGGGACAGGCAAATAGGGTGCCAAGGTAGGCATTCTGCATGGTGAAGGTAAGATTGGCTGGTTTTTGGTAGAGTTTTGGGACATGATGGTTGCAGGCTTTGTGTGTGGACGATCAGGAGGTTGGTTTTATCTGTGCTGGTAATTTGCAGATAAGGAATAGATACCAGCTGGGCGCCTGGCTTTGTGTCACATCCCCTTTTGGCAGTGATGCTGTGGGAGATGTGTCAGCATGGAAAGTGGAAAGAGAGCTGGTCTCTCACTCAAGGTTTGACAGCTTTAAAATCCTGATAGACTGGAATGTGTTTTCCACCATTGGGTTCTGTAGAGAGCAGCTCTAGGAACATCTTAGTTTGGGGAAAATCCTGTATCAACAAGATAGATGAACAAAGTGTGTTTGCTTTTGGTTTTTGGTTACTACTTGTGCCTCTAAGCAGGGAGTGGGAAGCATTTGAAAGCCAGTCAAGGTTCCATAACTGAGAAGTGATGGCTTAGAAAAGGGCAGTTGAGTTGTACAAGTGCTCTGTCAGGAGGTCCACGTGCCACATCCAGGAGACTGCTCCTGATTCTGTCTGTCCTCACTGATACGTGAGCTGACAGAGCCCTGACATCCTCCTGTGCCCTGTGCCCTCAGGTTACACCAGGGCTGCACCTTCAGTGTGCGAGCTTTCCTTTGCTGTACACGTGGGGTGGGGAGCTGTGACCCTCCCCTTCCAGCAGGCACTGAATGGCAGCTCACAGTGCTGCTGGCTGTGGAGCAAATCTGAGAGGATGTAATGCACTTATTGAACATATCCGTGCTGGGCTTGCATTGTCAGCTGCATTTCCCTGACCCAGAGCGTTCCCTCATGGCTCACGAAGCCTGCCTTGCTTTGCAGGCCTGGGTCCCAGGGCAGGGCCAGGGGGGAGTGCGTACCATTAACTGCAGCACTCTTTTTCCCTTCCAGTTAAGCCTGGAAAACCTTAGCCAAAAGACAGCAAACCACAGGGAAGTGGAGACGTGTGTGATGTAAGTGACATGTGACTTTAAAAATGCTGCCCAGCACCATGAAACCCCTGTCCCTTGTCCCTCCTCCGCTGCCCTTCAGCTCCAGCTGCCATCCTCTGGGGTGGCTGTGAAGCTCTGCTACCCTGGCTGCTGCAGTGGGATGAATTTGTCAAATCCAGTCATGTGTTGCATTAAGCAAACCTGGAATGGTGTGTTCTGAGAGCTTGTAGGGAAGAACCTGGCACACCAAGTGTGGGGCTTGGCGAGCACGGCTTTCCTGCCTTGTATGGCCTGAGGAGTTGGCAAAATCTTTGAGAGAATAATAACTTCTGCTGGAAGCCACCATTTTCTGACTTATTTTAACAGTCTTTTAAACCAATGTTTCAATGTCTCCTTCTGCAGACTCTGGAGAGCATTTTTTAATGTGTTACTTAAGAAAAAATTGTCATTCAAAACATCCCAACAGTTTCTTTTGCACGCAAGAAAGCAAAAAGCATCAAGCAGAGAACAAGAAATGAAGTAGGTGATATTCCTGGTATAGTTGGGCTGTCAAAACTGGGAGAACTGTCTGTCTGCAGATGATCCATGTGATAACTTCTAGTATCAAAGGGAAGGAGAGGTCCCTGTTGTGGATGTGCTCCTGGTTGCTTTTTATTTACATTGTTCATTTGGAGCTGAGCAGTCCCTTAGGAAAGGGCCATGTCAGGAGCTGTATTCCTCCCTTTGCTGTGCCCACTTGCTGTTCTAATAATAATTCTCCCTCCTGTCTGTACTGCTGCTGCATTACAACACAGTCCTTAGTGCAGGAGCACCTCCTCCTCTCCCGAGCTGCTCCTGATAGTAGCTCTTCCTTTGTACAGCACCAAATACCACCCTCTCCAGAGCATGATAAGCCAAAACCAGTGCATGAAATAACTAATTTTATTTTCCTTCTCTGTCAGCTGGAAAAGCCAGCTTCATATATTTTTCCGGCCTTCTGATAGCTTTCACATTGGCAGGCTATGGATTTTCTGGTGTATCTTTTATTGATTGCATAAATGGCCTCTTCACAGTGGGTCTGGTGAACTCCTTGCATGTGAGAAGTACTTGGTTTTAAAAAACAACCCAAAGCCTAGCTGGTTTTATTTGCCTGTGCCAAGGCTGGCACAGGTTATGTTGGCAGTGGTTGGGGTTGTTGGGTAGTATAATTTTAGGGTGATGTAAAATAAAATTCGCTGCCATGAAATGAAAAGACTGATATCTAGATTGTCTGAAACATACTTTGCAACTTAAGCAAGCTCCTCAATTTTTGCAAAAGTGTCTGAAGCTGCTCTGGAGTGCCTGGACTGCCACGGTGGAGCGCAGAACCTACGGGCTCGCTGCAGGATTTAGGTCACCCTTGCTGTGGAGCACACAGGACCTGGGGTATTGTCCCTCTTGCTGGAATTCCTGAATCACCTCCTGGCTACTTCTGACATTTGTTTTTCAGGTCTCGCTGTTCACTCCAATCTCATGTGTCGGTGCTCTGGTACTTGGTGTTGTTTGTTCTGTGCTGTGTAAATGTGAATGCTCGGAGGTTTCAGGCCCAGCCTGGGGCTCACAGTACTGATGTCCTTCTTGCCAGGCTCACGCCAAAGCTCGTGGCATCTGGGTGCTATGTTTTGGACTCTGGCACCCGTATTGCAGTTACCTGACAATACAGAGACACTTTTAACCTTTTTCTGGAGCTCTTCAGCAAGTGGTTTGTGCAATGCCCCCACGGCCTGGCTCTGGTGGGCTGTCACGTGGGTGTGTAAAAACAAGTCTGTGTGGGCTGCCTCTTGTCTAAACTGGGGAATCATGAGACTGCTTGGTTGGCAGGGTGGCCCTCTAACTTACCCCAAAAGCTGGGTGGAAGCTGCCAGTTCCTCCTGCGTTTGTTAGGCATGAAGTGTTTGTTCAGGGAAGCATTTCTGAAGCCTCTTCAGTTATTGTGAAGGATTTTTTTGTGCCAGTTGCTGAAAGATGCTTCTGGGTGCTCCCTGATGGCTGGAAAGAGTGAGCTTTGCCATTTCCTGGCTTGGACTGGGACATGTAGGCAATTACTTGTGCAAATAGCATCCAAACAGAGGTGCTGCACAAATGGAAACCTGTTGCTTACCAGAAACACACCAGAACTGGCAGGGAAGCTGCTGGCAGTAAAAGCCCTGCATGTGCCCAGTTAGAGGTGTGTTTATCCTGCACAAAAATCCTGAGCACCTAGCAGCCATTTCCAGAGATGTTTTGTTGCTGTTTCTGCTGCAAAGTCTGTAGCTCGTCTGTGTATGCTCAAAAGGGTAATTTGATATCTGTGGCTGTTTGGAGTAAGATTTTTAAATGCCACTCTGCCTCTGTAAGCTTTCATATTCCCTTACTCACTCAATGCTGCAATTATCTACATTATATCTTAGTTTTTTGTTCGGGTGATTATTGTACAATATAACATTTGACTCATGTGAAGAATAAAAACAGATCTGCAGGTATCTTTGTGGGCAATGCAGGCCATGGAATTAAACAGTCATGAGCATGCAGAGAGGAAGGATGGTAGGGTACTTTTCAGCATTCTGGCTAAATTTGCCTTTTTTCAGCAATAGGAGCCATTGAGCTACAGTTTTCACAGCAACAGAAGAAAATGAAATGTAAAGAGAGCTGAGGCTAGTCTCTAAATACAACTGCAGGATAAATACCTCTGCAGAAGGCAAATTTGGAGAGGATTTCTTTGTCCAAGTGTGAAACCCAAGTGCTGTTTGTGCTACAGTCCTTTCATTGTCAGTTTTGTGTTTGTGAAGACAGTCTTCAGAGTTATTTTATTTTGTGACTATTGTACCACTGTTACTTTTAATTTTGCTCTGTTAACTAGTGCATTGTTCAGTAATTAGTCCCATGCCTTGATTCTCAGCTGTTTTTTTTTAATGAGTCTTGAGAAGAGTAACCTGTGGAGAACTGCATGCTCTGTGTTGCATCCCCATGGAACTGAACATGCACCTCAGTCTGGATGAGTTCATAGCAGCCGTTGATTTTTGAGTAATTATGGCTGTTTTTATCTTCATAGGACTGAGCTTGCCCTAAAAGAAACCATGTCATCAGGGGGAGCTGAAGATGATATTCCTCAAGCAGAGAGAAAAACGGTGACAGACTTTTGCTACTTATTGGATAAATCTAAGCAGCTCTTCAATGGCTTAAGGTTAGTGGATTTCTGACAGTATTCCTTCAGAAAAGCCTCAGAACACACACTGCAGTATGTGATGCTGGAGTCAGTACAGTGACCATTTCAAACCCAAAACCAGTATGTTTAGGAGAGAGTAATGCACCCCTCTATGGGTACTTTTGGACCATGTGTGTAAGAATGTTTGTAGGAGCAGAGGTTCCAGTTTATAGTAAACTAGGATTTGGAAATCCCATTAAATTGATGTGATTATTGCTGAAATTGTGTGTCTGAGGGCCACAATTAGATGTGACTGTGTGCAGACCACAATATGCAAGTGCAAACCACTACTGTCTCTGTGGAAAAAGAAGGAAATGAGGAGGATTTTTCTGGATGGGAGGAAAGTAGGAAAGGGAATATCTTTGGGGAAGAAATTTAGTAATAAGCAGAAACATCAAAACCATAGCCTGTATGTGTCTGCTGAAACAAGTGCTTCATCTGAACTGTGGAGAAAGGTAAAATCTACATTTATCTACTAAGCAGCTCCAACAACAGCTGGAAAGTCCAACTGGTTTGTCTGCAGGGGAATACACGTTTGGACAGTAATATGGATATCCTGTTTATGTCAATATATGCTGAGTTAAACAGCATGTATCCAAAGCTGCTTTATTTCTAAGCTTTGCTGTAGAGTCTCTTAAGTAACAGGGGTTTGAGCTCATATCTGGTTGGCAGTTCAGCCTCTTACTGGTCTCTGAGTAATGCTGTATGTTTGGGCCCTTATAGCTTGCTGTTAGTCAAACACAGATGGTTAGCAAAGATGCTTTTAATTCCTCCACCCCCCGCTATTGATAATCCTTTCATGTGCTTTAGAAGTTGATTACCAAGTCCAAAACAAACATTTTGTGCTCCAAAATCTGAATGGCAAATGGGCAGTAGAGACAAGGAGTTCTTGGTGATTGTGTTTGACCCCCCATGAAAGGCAGTCTAAAGCAAAAGGGCTGAGATTTTGAGACCAGGATTTCCAGGACTGTATATGACATTACACTGGCTTTCTGATAGAATTTGCTTGAAATTTTGGCCTGAAATGAGCACAGTTGATGTGTGGCTGTGTGCTGCTCCAGTTCAGATCAGAGGGTGGCAGAGAGCCTCCAGCCATTCTGTGCCTCCTGTGCCATGGAGGGAGGTAGGGCTTGTGTCTGATTTCGAGATGAGAGATGGAGTTTCTCAGTGTATCCATGGTACTTTTCCAGAAAGAAACCTTCTTGTCCAGCTAAATGAAAAGAAAATGGAGAATACCTTTGGATGAAGTATGGCAAATAAAAATAGAGATGGGATTAAGCAGCCAGTGGTGCTGTGTGAAAATAGGAATATTGCAGAACAGGAACCCCTGTCCTCACTGTAACCTGCCACTGTTACTTCTTACACTTGACCCCCATTTCACCTCTGAGACTTGTGATTCCCGTGGGCATAATGACAGGATAAAGCAACATTATAATTCTCAGGTATCTGCTGTGTTAGTGCTTGTTCTCTGGGGAGTTCACCTGGAAATGTCTTGGCAAGCATCCCAATTCTTGGTCCAGTTGCTTCATAATAAATGCGTTTGATTCATGCCTGACACCTTCTGTTTTGAAGATGATGACAGCCTTTGCTGCTGTGTTTTTTGCTATTCTCTTGCCCCTACCACATTTCATAGAAAAAAAGAGATGGGGAGGGAGGAGAGCAATGATTTCCTCCCCAAAACCTCCTCTGGGCACTTCAGCTACAGGGAGCTGAGCCTATAGCTGTGTTGGCAGCTGCTTAGCTGTTGCTGCTGCCAAAAATTGCAAGGGCTCAGCCTGCCACGTCTTTGTTTCAGTAGCATTTCCTTCCTCTCTTCCCCATACAGATGCCAAATACAGCATTTGAGGAAAACATATGATGCTCTGCCAAGGTGGCTGCTCGAAAGTGCTCCCAGTGATAGCATCTCCTGTGGCCATGCTGCCAGGGTGACCCTGGGGGCTGTCATCCTGGGCTCTACCCTGGGCTATAGGCTAGAATAAACTGTTGATGAAGTGTGCTGCAATGGCTCTCTTCTCCCCTTTCCCCGCTCCCACTTGGTTTTTTCTTGGAAAAGGCTGGGAAGAGGGAGGCTGTAAGGAAGCAGTTTGTCATGGTCTATTGTCACTGGTATTATTTTCTTTTAAATGTTAAAAAGTGCTTAAATGTGTTCAGTATCACAAAGAAGCCTGGAACTTCAAGGAATTAAAAGACTTTCAGCAACTGTATTGAACTGTATTTTAGGGAAGTGATTGTCCCTTTGTACTGGGCACTGGTGAGGCCCCTCGTGGCAAGAGAGACACTGAGGGGCTGGAGCGTGTCCAGGGATGGGAACACAGCTGGGAGAAGGTCTGGAACACCAGGAGCAGCAGAGGGAGCTGGGGGGCTCAGCCTGGAGAAAAGGAGGCTCAGGAGGTACCTTCTGGCTCTGTGCCACAGCATTTCTATCCCACTGCTGCTCAGGTTCTGGGAACAGGAGCCTCTAATTACTACAAGCCCATGAACATAAAAGGAAATTGTCTCTTTTTATCACCTGTCAAAACTGTGAATGTCTTTAAAGCTTTGAATGTTAAACTTACAGTTATTGTAGCCTTCCTCTTTGAAGCATGCTGCTGAGTCTCTGGGACTTTCTCAGCATCTTTAATGTCCCTGTGTGACAACTTCCATGTGGTGCTGGCCAAGCACACCTCAGCACCTTTAATTGGGCTTCAGCCAGTATTATCTGGCAGCATGGCTGAAATGAACTCCTGACAGAGAATTAATTATGAGCACATAAGTAGTGCTGGCCTTTGTGGAGACAAAGAGTACAGCAAGAATTGGATAAAATCCTGGTCTGTCTGTGAAATTTGTCCACCAGCCACACTAGTGCAGCAAGAGAACCAGTCTTGTGTGCCCAGTGTGAGAAACCCATCATTCTAGAACATCAGAGTTTGTGTGTTCACATCCCATTTGGAATGTTCTAAAAGCCAAGGAACTGGAAATGGTTTCCACTTGTTGTTGCAGGCTATTGTGCTGTCCTAAATCAAATCTCCAGTCCCTCCTCTGCATTTGGATTGGTTTGGTCGCCCCTTTTCCCCTCCTGTAGTGGTGTTCAGCCAGAGCGGTGCTGAGCCAGCAGCCTGGGCTGGGCACACCCCACAGGAGAACCTGCTGCCTTTGTCTCTCCTCACTGCCCTGGTGTCCTCCTGTAGATCTGGAGGCAGCAATAAGTCTTGCTATAGCATAGCTCTTGAGCTCTCACCTTGGGTGTATAATTGCTTCTGGGCCATGTATTCCCTGTCTCCTTTGGTGGGAGGAGCTGTGCTAAAAGCTCTCTCTGCAATCAGCCGAGGCTTTGGGATTCTTTTGGGCTAATTCTCACCAAATAATGCACATCCCCATGTTCTGTTAGAAAACTGCACTAAATGGCCTCTTCTGCTTATGCATCCGTCTTCTCATGGCAGAATTTCTCGGTACACAGGAGCAGCACGTGTGATGTTCAGCACGGAGCAGTAGAGGGGTGGCAGGAAGGGCAGCTCTTGTCTGCGAAAAGCAGTAGTGAAAGCACAGTAATGTATTGTCATAAATGAAGTTTTATTACAGCCATGTCAGAATACTATCAAAAGAACAAGTGCTACTGTCTGTTTCCATGGAGATCCTTGCCGTTCCCCGGGGAGCCGAGGAATCCGCGGTGTTGTGCAGCTATGCCAGCTGCAATTAGGCAGGCAGGCTGCAGGAGGAATATCCGTGTGGACAGGCAGCAGGGGCTGCAGCCAGCAGTGCCAGGCACGGGGGCACTGCCCTGGCAGGGGCTTCTGCAGGCACACTCAGTGCCACACACTCACATCTAGTGCTGCACACCAATCGAGCTGGGCTTTGTGTTTGGGGTACCTTAGAGTGTTTAGGATGTGCAGAGCAAGGTGTGGAGGGGGAGGTGAAGGTGAGTGTGTTAATTAGCTCACTGATGAGGGATAGATGCATGAGCATCATCAGCCCATACCTGCACAAAACCCTACGTGCTTAATGCTTAGTTTGTGCAGGTACCAGTGTTTGAGAGAAGGGTGCTTTCTTGGGTTGGGGTTCTTCAAGTCAGCTTGTTAATTCAGGCATTCTATAGGTTAGTGCCAGGGAACTTTGATTTGTATGTTTTTTTAAAAAAATTATCCATTTCAGTGTTGGTTTCTAATTAAATATTTTTTAATATATACTTTAACATTGATTCTTGTGGATGTGCTAATTAAATTAAATTAAAGCTACCTCTTGCTGGGTCAGAGTCTGTGCTGTATCTTGGGTGTGTGTTTGAATAGTGCCTTAGCTTCTTTTGTTTAGCTAAAATGTTTACATCTATTACGAGGACAGAAGGTGGTGAATTGTTCCTTGCAGAAAATGCTTTAAATTTGCATGTGTTTGTATCAAGCTGTATTTGAATGAAGATGTTGGTACCCTGAAGCACATATTTATATTCCTGTTTACCCCTTGCTACACAACGTACATTGCAAGATTTTGAGCAGCCCATTGCAAGTTTGAAGGGATCTTTTTGTTTTTTAATTTGGTAAAATCCTGCCCAGATTCCTTGGCATCTTCATGGAGTATCAGCACCAAGTTCTGGAATGCTTTTCCAGGCTGGTAAGGGATTCATTTTACTTGTAGTAGCTGAGCTAGGTCCCTTCAAGCTGTGTGGGAAGTACAGTTGGCTGACGAGCAGAAGAATATTAATTTCCTTTCCTACCTCGGGTGCCGTTAAAGCAATTACAGTGAGCAGAAACAGGCCAGAACACTGCTCTGAAGTGGTGTGTGCTGCTCGGCTTCTCTGGCTCCTTCAGAGGACATGGCAAGGTTTCCCAGAGGTGCTGCTTCCCTTGGTCTCTGCCCTCCAGGCTTGGATGTGGCCTGTGCTGCTTTTCTGTCTGCTGAAGGTGGCACATGAGCCAGCACAGTGATTTGAGAGAGCATTCCTTGTGGAAATCCATCTTGAATCAAATAAAAGAGGATTCTGTCTTGGAAAAGCCGTTCTACTTTCAGCTGCAGAGTTGTGCACCTCCTTTGAATGAGCTTTGGTGTAGATGTGTGGGGAATGTGCGCTCAGTGGGACTCAGGGGTTTGCTCCCCTCTGTTGCATTTCTTTCAAGATTCAGGTCACTCCTGGGAGATGGGAGGAGTGAGGGTTGAGAGCAGGAACCTTTAAAGCCAAAATCCTTAGGAATACATCATATTTGTGGGGTGGAAATCTAGCACAGCCTGGAAATGGAGGGGAGGCAGGAGAGCAGAGCTGAACTGGGTTGGCTGTCTCACCTTGGAGCACTGGAGGCTGACAGGAACAAAGCAGAAGTTCTCAGGGTGTGTCGTGTCACTAGCTGTGAGTGAGAGGGTGACAAATGTGGTGATGGTGTAACAGAACCCAGTGGGTGCCAACTGTGAGCATCCATCTGCTGGCATGACCTGCTGATAGTGGGGCACTGGTTTTGGCTGTGATGTCACAGGCTCTGTTTCTGAAACACGGCTGTATCTGTTTGAAAAAGATTCCTTCCTTCATCAGTAACAATAAATATTATCAGTCTCTATTAACTAATTTCCATCTGCTTGTTCTTGGGTAGGGTTTTTCTGTATTACGATATTTTAGGAGTCCAATTTGTCTTTCTGTGCACATAACCATCTAATTACTTCTCTTTTAGCAAAATTGTAAGATATTTTCAAACACCTGTTGCATGCAGAAACATGATCATTTCCTATTTGGAGAGATCCAGTAAAAACAGGTTTTGAGAAACTGTCAATCATGGTTCTTGTAGTTCTGGGTGCAGGCAGGATTCTAAAGTATGTGAATGAATCCTGGACAGATCAGTTCTGACTTTGACACAAACGTGCTCCTGTCATGTTGGGCTGACTGGATTCTGCTTTCTAATTCTGCTTTTGTCACTGTCTCTTGCAGGGATTTACCTCAGTATGGGCAGAAGCAGTGGCAATCCTATTTTGGGCGAACATTTGATGTTTACACCAAACTCTGGAAGTTCCAACAGCAGCACCGGTAAGGAAATGTTGTAGGCAGATGTGTTGTGTGGGTTTGAGTGCAGCTTTAATCTCTGGAATGCCCAGAGCCCCAGCTAAGATTGAGATTTCACTGTGTCGTTCAAGCATGAAGGGAGGGAACAGCAGCTTCCTGCAGTGCTCACAGTCTATTGAATTAAAATGCTGCAGAGTGTTCGGTGGGACTTTTTAACAAACCCTTTTGCTCTACCTGAGTGTGTGGTGCTTTAATTTCTTACTGAGGAGGTGATGGATTCTGCAGAGCAGGATCTGGAATGGTGTGAAGTCTCTTGCTGCAGCGTGGGCTCTGATCCTTCACACCTTCCTCTGGCTGCATAGTCTGAATGTTCTCCTGGGAAGTGGTGACCTTTTGTTGTGTGTATTTTGTGCAACACACTTATGTCTGGCTCTGGCAAGTTTATGCAAGATAAACGGCCCTTCTTGTGGGGTGTGTGTGCTGCTGGCTCTGTGAGGGGCTGCTGCTGGCAATGCTGCACCAGTAATGAAAGCTGAATTTGGCCCTGCAATGGCTCTTTGTCTTGTCTGGTGGGATGTTCTGGGAAATTTGGGAATCCTTTTAATCTTTCTTTTCTCTCTTGCGACATAGACAAGTATTGGACAATCGGTATGGGTTGAAGAGGTGGCAAATTGGGGAAATTGCTTCCAAGATTGGGCAGCTCTATTACCATTATTAGTAAGTAAGCACAGAAGAGGATTCAGTGGGCAATGCAGGGTTAGTGGCAGCTGCATGCCAAATGTCTGGATGCTCAGTCAGGAGGAATCAGTGGTTGGGCTGGTCATGATGCCTGTTTGTGAATGAGGGCCCTGGGGACTGCATGGGGGGCTGCAGGGAAGGGCTCCTGTGAGCCTGGTGCCACACTGCTGGTCACACTGCTACTGCCCAAGGACTTCTCTCCTGCCTCCAAAGGGTCTTCCACGTGTGCTGCGTTGGAATGTTGTGGGAAAATGTGATTTACAAGTTTGGGAACTTAGTGTTCCTTTACACCATTCAGTGACCCCAGCACCCGTACGTGTGGAGCAGGATGGGCAGCTCTGATTGATTCTGAAACGGGATCCGAGCTCTGGCACATCCCAGAGCAAGTCTGGCTCTCCTGGGCTGGCACTTGAGGAGGGAGCTGTGCAGGGAGGCACAGGCTGGCTGAGGGGCAGGAAGGGAGCTTTGCTGTGGTTTCTTTGCTGTGAGCAGTGAGCTGATGGCCTGTTCCCCGCAGCCTGCGCACCTCTGAGACCAGCTATCTCAACGAGGCGTTCTCCTTCTACTCAGCCATCAGGCAGAGGTCCTACTACTCCCAAGTCAACAAAGAAGACAGGTATGTCCGAATGGAGGCCCTTGTTTTTTCAAGACTAGAGAGGTGTGTGGAAGCAGCAAGGAGCTGTAAAGTGTAGGAGCATAACTAGGATAAAATCCATGTTGTTGAAGGAAGTTTTTTTTAATCCTTCTGCCGCTATTGAAAAATTCAGGATAAATAAGAGCTTTGCTGTATGACTGGAAGAATACTTTGTTACCTGGTCCTAGATAGAAAGCCATTAGCCCCAAAATTTTGTAATTTTAAATCCTGAGTGGTACCAGTGCTGGGAGCTAGAATGCTGTGGGTGGAAGATGGGTCAGCTGGGCTGGAGCAGAGGAATCTGTGTGATTCTCATCAGGCCTTTCAGGGGAGCAGCAGCTCATGCTGCAGTACAGCAAGGTTTGAACAGCCAGCCATGATATCTGACTCCCATGCTCCTGTCAAGTAGGGAGGCTGTTGCTTTCTTAAATTATTTTTTATGTCACTGTACTCAATTTTAACTAAACCTCCAAGCAGCCAGGTGGCTATTCATCACCACATGAGTTCACTCAGAACTCTTAATCTGCAACTCTTCAGCCCTGCTGTGGTCTTAAACTCCTTCTCTCCCTTACCCTGCTACCTGCCTCTGTTCTATTTTAATCTCAGTTTTGGCTGTGGTGTTTTTGTTGTTGTGTCTAGGCCTGAGCTAGTGGTTAAGAAGCTGCGTTACTATGCAAGGTTCATAGTGGTTTGTCTCCTGCTCAACAAGATGGATGTTGTAAAGGACCTTGTGAAGGTATGCTGGAATCAGGACAAAGGTGCTGAGGGGTGGGAGGCTGCTGATCCTTGCTTCTCTAGTCTGTCTGACAGCCAACACAGGGAATACCTTCTGTCATTCAGACATTTAATAATGACATTTCAGGATCAAATGATTTGGTTGCATTGTTTGAATGAACAGCAAGTAACAATGTTCCAGAAGCTGCAGCCCAGACAGGGAGGTGCCCTGGAAGTGCAGCAGAGGAACAGCAGGCTGCTCCCCACAGCATATGCTTCCCAGCCCTGTGACAACCTCGCTTCAAGCAGTTCCTGGGCCTGACAGCTTTGTGTAGGTTGCATTGCTGTGTGTGTCACAGCTCCCCTGAACTGCAGGCTTCGCTTAGCACAGCTAAACCAGCCACACCATCCCCTTCCTCAAGGTATTTAAAGTTACTTGCGGGCTGAAATCTGAGTCCCTGGTATCCATAGCGTATGGTAATAACCGGTGACATAGCTGTGAGTGGGATAATTATACTTAACTCCAGATATTCTTTGCATTTGGACCTACATAAAAGATAATTTGCATTGCCAGAACTCAGTGTAGCATTGGCATTCTGTCTGCTGAACGAGCGCGTTTTGGCTGGCATGTTAGTCAGGGGTGTGCTGCATATGTTCTCAAGGAATTTATTTATTTATTATTCTTAAAGGCCACACAGCTAACCAAATACAAGGTTACTGACTGCCTGGTAAAGTCTGGTTTTAGGACTGACTGTGTCTGTCTCTGAACTGTTTACATCAGGAGCTGTCAGATGAAATTGAAGACTACACGCATCGTTTCAATACTGAGGATCAGGTGGAGTGGAACCTGGTTCTTCAGGAAGTGGCAGCATTTATTGAGGTGAGAATAGCATCCCCTCTAGTTGTTTCAGAGTTTCTGTCTTGTTGATGGAAGTGTTGTGTATCACCACATTTATGAGGGAAGCAGGTGTGCCAGTGCAGGGGCAGTGTGCCTGTCCCATGAATCACTGACACGTGTTCATAGGAATATTTAAATATTGCCAGAATGGGTGGCACCATTATCATTCACTCTCCTCCTTAGCTATTCTTTTCTACAAAGGGAAAGCAAGCTAAAATAGGCAAACTAAAACTATTATGACTGTAGGAATATGTAGTTTATTCTGCATGAATTTGTAAGGCTGTTGATGACATTTGACTCCTCAGATACAGCAAAGCTGAAGCAGAGTCCATGTCATTGGAGGCAGTACGCTTTTCTCACTGCTGTACCTTCATGTGCTTGTCCCATGTATTTCTTGCAGTCCCTAAGAACCTTGCTTTTCCAGCTGGGAAGGCTTTACTCTCTAGCCTGCATACAAATATACAAATACATGTGTGGCAAAGTAATTTAAAAAATCTGCCTCATTTGTGAGATGTTTATTGTAAGTGCCGAGACCTGCGGACTTCTCTCTGACTGCAAATCTCTATGCTTTCCTGAATTCTTGATTTATTCTGGTTGCTTTTTTTAGGCAGACCCTGTCATGGTTTTAAATGATGACAACACCATTGTAATCACCTCTAACAGGCTTTCTGAGACGGGAGCTCCGTTGCTGGAGCAGGGGATGATAGTGGGACAGCTTGCTCTTGCAGATGCGCTCATTATTGGGAACTGCAACAACCAGGTAAAGGAAATTCTGGGCACCTGGCTTTGCATCTTTGGAGTCCCCCCTGTGACATCCCTTCTGATCATACAACAGAGATTCCAACAGAGGAGAACACTGAAATATTTTATTGTGATGGTTGCAGTGGTAGCAAGAGGAAGAGGGTTCACAGAAATAAGACCTAAAAATGAAATGTTAGATATTAGATCTATGGTACTGACCTCTTATTGTTTATATTCAACTTGTCAGTTAAGTAGACACAGTTGATTTTCATATACTGGATTATTTGTAACAACATTTGAGCATGGGAGACCTCTAAGATACCTCTAGAAAAAGCTTGACTTGAACTTTCATATGACTCACTCCAGTTTGTTGCAACTTCAGTGGCAACAGGAAGAGGTTTTCAAAAGACATTCTAGGTTCTGTTTTTAGATGATAATGATAGTGAAGTTGTACAAATTTCTTGGCTTCTCTCTGAGCTCTTTTCAGGTAAGCAAGGGAGTTATTTTTAAACTACAGCTTCATCTATCTTTGTCAGATTTTGTCTGAATTCATAGTACATAGCTATTTCAGCACTTGATTAGTCCACATCGCAGGGAAGCTTGTAATTTGGAAGAAGGGGGTCTGCAGTGCAGTGGTAGATCAGTAACAAATAGACTTTGTCTTCTGTGAGCTCTTGTAGAAGTCATTCACAGCTCTTCAGAGATTCAAAGATGACACTGACAGATCCCTGAGAGAGAATGGCCTCTCTGGTGTGCAGTGGAGTCTCTCAGCTGCATAATTCCAGAGCAATTCTGTTTAATGTGTGTCTGGCAGAATAAACTGTGTGCCTCTCCTGCAGGTCAAGTTCAGTGAACTGACAATCGACATGTTCCGGATGCTGCAGGCTCTGGAGAGGGAACCCATGAACTTGGCATCTCAAATGAACAAGCCTGGAATGCAGGTCAGTTCCACTTCAAACAAACCTGGCAGCACATCTTAACTGGGTGCTTTGTTGGCTGATTGCTTTTAAGTAGTCTACTCCTTCAGTATTGCCACTGTGCAGAGCAGGTTAGTAAAGGTGGTGTAACTTCCACTAGAAATTAGTGCAGAGTAGCTAAAACCCATGGATTCATCAGATTACTGAGTCCTCTGAAAGTTAATGTCCCCTTCAGAGAAAGTATCAAGTCTTCTATCTGGGGCCGAAAGAAAATATGGAGATTTTTCATTTATTTAATTGAGATGAAGTGTGAATTTTGTCACTCATTTCTTGGGTGATACTTGAGACAGTAAGAAAGATTTAGTTCACAAGTTTCAGTGAGGGATAATACAAAGTTTTAGTTTGAATACTGTGCATCCTGCTTTACTATGTAGTAGGAAATGCAGGATGGGCAGACCATTTGTGTGGGTAGTGTGTTGGAACATTCTAATAAATAGAAATTTAGAGGGTTATGAGACTGCTTTGATAATATCTGGTTGTTGGTTTTTTTTTGAGTAGGATTTTGTTTCTTTCTTTTAACAGGAGTCAACAGAGAAACCAGCCAGGCGGGAAAACCCCCATAAATACCTACTTTATAAACCAACTTTTAGCCAGCTATATACATTTTTAGCAGCATCATTTAAGGTTTGTGAAATCACTGAATTTATTTGTAATCAAAAATATCCAGGAGTCTTTGTGACACTGAATGAAATGTGGATCTCCACTGATCTGGAGAATAGAAAAATCTTTAGAGTATTCTTTCATTTTATATCATGCCAAGCACAAACCAAAATGGGGGAGGTGTATCAGGAGATTGCTGCTCTCGAGCACTGTACAGCTGCTGAATCTCCAGTCCTGTATCCCACTCAAACTGTAAACAAAGCTTCCCTTGTGCATTGTTTGGGAGTTGGGCTCTGCGTGGATCTTGGCAGCTTTTGGGTTCCATATCTTGGAGAGCCTCAGATCTGCATAGACAGTGAAGGAGTCTGTGTGGAGCAGATGCTTTGTCGGCGCTGCTGGAGCTCTGATACCAGCCTCGAGGTTTGTGTGGAGACAAGTTCAGACATTTCATCAGGACACTTTTGGTCTGTTGGAAGGGGTGTCTGTGCTGGGGCAGGGCCAGTCCGTGCACCAAGAGCAGGATGGAGGGGAGCCAGAGCAGGAGCAGCACAATTGTAATGACAGTGTGTTTATGGAGGTGGTGATTGAGTACTAAAATGAACTTGTCCCTTTCTCCCCTGGCCCTGGGCCCCTGTTTGCATTGCAGGAGCTGCCTGCCAACAGCGTGCTGCTGATTTACCTGTCTGCCACGGGCGTGTTCCCATCAGGTCGTTCGGATAGTGAAGGTACAATAAAGGAATGCTCCCTGTCATGAACAGGGCTTGAATTCTCCTGATGTTCCAGGACAAGTGACCAAGAAAGATGTCACAAAGCTCCTTTAAAAAGACAAGTCAATTCGATTCTCCTGTCTGCTTAGTAAGATAGCCTTTATTTTCCACAAACAATAATTAAACCTTTGTGTTTTAATTAGTGTGCGTTAGCCTGAGAACTTTTCAAGGACACATCCAGTTTTTGATGCATCTGAAGTATTAAAAGCCTCCCAATTTTGAAGACCACGTGGCTCAGTTGATGCATCAGCACAAAGTTCATAAAATGGCTCCATGGCACTCTGATCTTTCCAATGCCCAGCACAGGAGAACGTGTGGCCAGGACGTGGGTGGTGGAAGGACTCAAGCAGCTGCAGGGACTGGTCTATTTGCACGCTCATTAACCTGACAATTCAAGCCCTTCTCATGATTTTTAACAATTCCCCTCACCTCACCCTCCTGTTCTTTTCAATCTAGCAGAATATTTGGATGCAGCTGCAATATAAAAGCTGAAAACTGGTTGGCTGAAGTAAACACGGTCCAAAGATCTGTTTATATAATTCCAGAAAAAAATCAAAATAATTTTTTAACATCCTAAATATTATAAAAAACCTCATCTGTTTGAGACTTGCATTCCTTTATAAGATGCATGCTTTGTCCACCCCTGTGCATGATTTATAGAGCTCTCAAAATGTTAAAAGAAAAAGGAAAATCCCTGTCAGCTTTGGACAGTGGCAGTGATTTTTTAAAAATGCTTTTAACATTTTACTTCTTGCTGCAGCTTGGTGATAGGTCCTAACTGCAGTGTGTCCTCTGAGGCCTGTGGTGTGTGCCCCTCTCTGCATGTGTTGTTTCAGCTTGAGAGCTTGTGGCAGAGGCATCCAGGCTCAGCCAGCTGAGGAGCTGCACCCAGCGTGCAGCCTCACCACGGACCCCATCACAGCTGCATTCCTTTCATAAGGTGGTGTGGCCTGCTCACAGTTCTGCCTTATTAAAGGGGAGAGCAGCTGCAAGTTGCACTGTGCATTGCCTGCAGGCCGTGTGTTTGGCAGACCATGTGAGGTGTTTGTAACAGTGCTAAATTAATGTTTGTCCTGTTCCTGATTTTGTGTCCCCAAAGCTTCCCTTAAATGGAAAGGTGCCTTGTATCCAAACCTGAAAAAATTGCATTTGGTGGCCAAATGTGGGTCAGCCAAGTCTGCAAATGTATGACAGAATGAGGAAACCCTAATACTTTATTTTGCTAAAGTTAGTGACATTTCATTCCCATACCAATGGCAGAAATATTTCTTGGTATCTTGTGGGATTTGATATTTTTTTATAGCCATTGCTTTTGTGTTTGCTCTCCATCAGACATTCAGGGGGTAGCTCAGTTTTGCAAATTTAACAGAATATTCAGCTTACAGTGGGAACACATGTCCAGGGCGTGTGTATGTGAAAATTGTGAATTCTGACTTTGAAATCTTGAAATACCTTTGATACAGATTTGAAATCTGGTTAAAGCTGTTTTGTCCCTTTGTCATTCTCTGAGTTCTCTCTTCTCCCCCTTTGCAGTATTAGAACTGCAAATGATATTAGTATTTGTAGTCTTTTTGATTCATTTAACCTTATTCTTTGATCAAATTGTGAATCTGGAAACTCATGCAGTAATTCTACAAAGGTATTGATTTTCCTGTATCAGCCATGTAATGGGTTTTAATCTTTTATCTCTATGGTGTAACAAGAGCCAATATTGGGATAATTTGCATTAATTTATGGGTGAATAGTGAATAATTAAATTACAAGTTAAGAAATGGCATTCCTTGCTTCTCTTTGATAGATGCTGAAATTTCTAAAAAAGCATGAAAAGGAATATGCAGTTAGGGAAGTCTCCACATTCCTCTCTCCCCTCCTCACAGCTGCAGCAGTTCAGATTCCCTTAGTTTTCTGGGGTTTGTTGTTGCTTCCTCCCTGTGCTGTAGCCAGTAGATGTCCAGCAGGGTGGGTTGCCCCTGCTGATTTGAGCTCCCTTTCCCCGGGCAGGTCCCTACGATTTCGGGGGAGTGCTGACCAACAGCAACCGCGACATCATCAACGGGGACGCGCTGCACAAGCGCAGCCAGGCCTACAAGGAGATGCACTGGTGAGTGCTGCAGCCTGCAAGGCCACAGCAGCTTGTCTGCAACAGGGAAAAATGCGTTAGCACCTCAGGAGTTCAGACTGCTCAGTGTGGGACATCATAGTGGGGATTGGCTTGAACACTCAGAAGTGAATGAGCAGCTTTAATTGATCATTTAAACACTTCCACCTTACTTAGGTAAGCTGGTATGAGTTCTTAATTACTGACAAACTTCAGATCAGTGGTGGATGACTTCTGAAGAAGTTAACCCTCTCTTGAACTAATGAGAAGTCCCACAGCCCGTGTTATAGACAAATATAGACAATAGTGCAGCTGCTCTCTGAGGATGAATCTGGGGACTGCAGCATGGGAAATCTGTCTGCTTTTTATCTGGCTCTGGGCAGCTGTGTGGCTGAGACCCTTGTGCAGTGTCAGCTGTGCAGCTGTTGTGGTGCTCTGAGGGGTCCCTTTCCTTTGCAGCCTTCACCCTGGAGATCTGTACCCTTTCACCAGAAAGCCCCTGTTCATCATCGTGGATTCTTCCAACAGCGTCGCCTACAAGGTAAGGCCCTTGGAGGCTGCTCCTCCTGTGGTAGGATACAGTGCCAACCCCTAGTTAGCTTACACTTTTAACAGGCTATTTTTTTAAACAGTTTGTATTCAGTCTTTCTTTTCTTTTGAGGTTGTGCATGCTAGTCAGGATCTGACCCTATGAATAGGAACAAGAAGGAGAAGCACATGAACAGCCGCTCATTGGAAAATAATAAATCCTCCTGGAGGGAAAAAAGGTTCAAGATTTCCAAGGTCTCTGGTGGGAGGTTTACTTTTGTTTTATACCAAAGACAAATCTCGGTGTGTGTGCATGGGGGAGGGAGATAACTAATGTGCTTTTCTTTTTTCCAGTCATCCAACATTCAGTTGCTTTTAAGCAACAGAAAGGAGTCAAAGCATTGAGCCTGATCTTAAAAAACACGGGGTGTCTGTATCTGAAAAGTGTCTGAACCAAGGAAGTAACAAGCCTCAAATTAGCATCCAGTGTTACTGTAGAGTGGTGTTTGCTTGGACACTGAGCCTCCTTCCTAGGGTGTTCTGGACTTACAGTAGAATTGCTCCATGCCAAATCACCTCTGGGAATCTGCAGTTGGGGTAATGCAGAAGCAGGCATTGCACTCGTGGTGGCCAGCTGAATCTGGAGAGCATTACACATGTATTTCATTCATGAATGGGGTAATAAGAATGTGCTATATCTGGGGAAAGTGCCACTTCTTCTGTGTGCCTTTTTATAGCTCCATTATGTGCAGGGAGGGAGGGAACATCCACAGCTGCCTTTCGGAGGAGGAACAGGGACGTCTAGTGGCCAGAGGAGCTTGTGCCTTGCTCAGTGTCCACAGGCTGTGCTGCTTGTTTTGAAGGCATGTGCTGGCCAAGGAGAGGTACTAAATCAGTGGTCAGTGTGAGTCAGGGTAGTTCTGAATTGAGCCAGGGAACTCCTGCCTGACAGCCAGATAATGATCTGACCTCTCTGTTGGCTCTTTGGTTTGTTGTAGCGTAAATGTATCTCAGAGGGCTTTTTAAACACCACTTTATTTAAATTCACTGCACTGGTTTCAGAACAAATCTGCTTTTTTCTTGAATTCCCTTCCCCATTTAAATGGAGGGAAACACAATTAGAGTGATTTACTTGTCTTTCTGAGAAAGTGAGCATTTGGAAAGGATTTATTTCCCTATGCTCTTTCCTGGCATTCATTCCAGTATAACATCAGGAGGATTGGTTTTCTTTCAGGGATAAAAGGTATGGCTTGTGTTGGGTTCTTGGTTTGGTTTTGGTTTTTGTACCACCTTCCTCTCTAGTAGAATTGTTAGAAGATGTCAAATGGATCAGCTCTGTAAGAGAGCAAAGGATTCCAGCTCTGGACAGATTGGGGTTCTGTGTAAAGCTTAGAACAATGAACCTGTTTGGGGCAATGGATTTCCACACGTAGATTTGTAGGTCTGTGAGAATAATCCCAAATGTTTACAGTAGAATTTGCTTTTTGTATTGCATTTAAATTTGATAATTCTGTTTTCTTTGTTCTTTGGGTGCACAGTAAGCAACTCCATTGAGTTTCTTTTCATTGTTCTGCAGTGAGCTGGCAGGGGTGTAAAACCCAGCAGTCTGTTCAGCACAGCTGGTGGAGAGCATCCAGCTCTGTCTGTGTGGAAGGAGCACAGAAATGTGAGCTTGGGATTGATTTCAGGGCAGGATTATAGAAGTGGCTGCTAGGAGTACTGACCCAGATCAGAACAGTGTGGGCACAAATGCAAGGAACCTAAAAAGAAATAAGTTCAGCATTTCAGAAGTGACATTCATCTTGCCCATCTCTTGCCGCTGAGCACAGGCAGGCGTGTCAGGGCACTGGTTTAGGTGTTGTTTTCCAGTGAAGGTTCATGGCAGAGCTCTCAAGGTCAGTGTTCCAGCCCTGGCACACTCCTGCCTGTGGTTGTGCTGGGGTCCTTGTCCCCAGAGAGCCCTGGCAGAGCTGTCCTGGGACTGTCCCCGTGGGCTGGGAGGGGTCTGGGGGCTCGAGTGCTGCATGAACAAAGAGCAGCCGTGTGAGGAACTGAAGTCAATGCTGGCTTTTTTCCCCGTGGCTGCTCTGATCCTCCCTGATAGGACAGGAGCTATCCTGACATTTAAATGTCACTGCCAGCAGTAGCAGCAGGAACAGCAAATGCTCACACATCCTTTTCTGCAGCCCGTCCCTGCTCTCCTGCACGCATCCCTGTCCTCTCCCTCTCTCTGCAGGACCTAAATGGTGATGACTGAAAGTAAGTCCTGCCAGGAAGTGACTTGCCAGTTTGTCAAATCAGCAGCACTTGAACAGCTTCCTCCCCTGTATATTTAGCTGAAAGTGGAAGATAACTGCAAATCGAGCATATCTACTGAAAGCCGTGAATTTTTTTTTAACACTTCCATTTAAATATAGCTGTCTGTGTGTTCTTGAAGGTTACCACTGCATATGTGGATGAAATAATATTTTTAAATCAATATCTTCCTGTAGCTGTAGTTGTCTAGGATCATGGTAAAATGCAAAGTTTTAAAACCAAACCAAACCAAAACCTCCAGCCAGTGGGAATGCAAGGCTTCTGTCAGTGATGTGGTATAAATACTCAGCTTAGCAAAGCTTAAATGTGATGTGACTTCTTTTGGAAATGATGGGCAGTTCTTTCTTGGAAGGAGATGTACATGACATGCATTGTAAAAATCAGCAATACTTCTGTTGGAAACCTTGAGCACTGAAGTAAAAATCCAGTCAAATTTGAAACAAAACGGGGTTTATCCTTTTTGGAGTTGTCCATGCACTGAGGGGTAGGGCATTCCATACCCAGACCTCCTGTCAGTGTCTGGGTTGCAGGGCAGGTTCTCCTGGCCCAACCCCTGCTGGGGCAGAGTGCAGAGTGCTCTCAGCCAGAGCCTGGCACCCACAGGTGACCCAGGTGCTCTGGGGGGCTGTTCCCACTGCTGGCCTGGCTGCTCTGCTCTGGAGCTGAGTGACCCACGGTGGAGTTCATCAAACTGGTCAGCCTGCTCATGGTACTGAGAACATGAGTTACTGGAGAAGGCAAAACCTTGCCAGTGTGTACACTTCAAACCAGCCGTGTCTGGGGTGGCTCCTGGAGGCTGAAATGTTTCCTTCACCAGTTCTGGGCTGATCTCTTGTTCCTGTCTGCAAGGGAGTTGTCTTTGTTTCTTCCTTAGAGACCAAACCTTAGTATCCAGCTAGAAGGGTTTCTAGCACTACTCAGCACTCTGTCAGAGATGGGAAATGTTTTATTTCGATTAGACTAGATTTCTGTCTCTAGTATTTAGCAGATTTAGATCAAATTAACTGTAAAACTAATATAACTGAAATATACTGCCTGGAAGGGAAAGTTCATTTGAATTATGCAGATGCCAAAAGGAATCCTCAAAAATGACTTTTTGAGGGTTCTTCACAAGCAAATACTTGTGGTATTGTATGTCTAACACTTGTAAACTGCAGTTTTAAGAATCTGATCTGCAGATGTGTCTGGCACTCGTATGCTCTGGAGGCAGGGTTTGAGTCTGTGCTCTGAAAGCATGCAGGCACAATCACATTTTCTATAGCTTTGCAACCCTTCAGCTTAAGAAAGCTCTTCTGGTGACAGCTAATGAGGTTGTGTGCATGATTTTTGGCTTTTTTTCCCAGGTTGTGACATACTTGCTTTAAAGGAAACTTACTTTAAAACTTTTCTCTGGGCCCTCCTGTTTCATCAGACATAGCTTTTCCTGCTAGAAGGAAAAGGGCAAAGAAATGTTTTGACTGGGCAGTTCAGCTGGTGTTGAGGGAAGATGCTAAACCAAATTGCTTTCACTTTTACTGCAGAACACGATTTTTTTTTTCAAGTAATGTGTTACTACTGAAAGCCATATTTCCATGAAATTAGTGTCTGCCATCAGTAGCAATGAAATGAGAGAATTGTAATTAATTTAAAATGTAGTTGGTTATATTCCTTGTGTGCTGTGATCTCTGAGTAAGTGAATTTGTCAGGCTCATTGCCAATGCTGAGCTGTGTGAGGGGCATTAGTGTCTTCTGTCATTAATATGATTTGTACCCTTGACTTGCTGAATATTCAAGGCAAGCAAAGTGACCATCAATACTTCAAAATTCTTATCTGTTACAGAATTTCACAAACTTATTTGGACAGCCATTGGTGTGCTTGCTTTCTCCAACAGCATATCCAAAAGCCTTGCAAGGTATGTGCAGTATTGCATTTCCCAACAAGCTGCAGTTCCTGTATCTGTCCCAAACAGAACGTGGATTCCTCAGGAAAAGGCAGCTTTCCACTACTGTGTAACCCCTGAATCAGGTTGCCAGTCCCTGAAGTAGTATGGTAAAGTTTAGCTAGTGTCTGTGGTAAATGCCTTGTTCCCATGCTGGTGACATTTCTGCAGATGGCTCCCACAAGGGCTGGAGCAAAGGCTGTCCTGCAGGGACACTGAGGCATGGCCAGCCCAGCGTGGGTGACGGTGCTTGTTACAGCTCTGGGCAGCATTATTGCTCCCAGAAAGGGAGCAGAGCCAGTTTAGGTGCCTTGGTGTTAATGCATGTCTCCAGCAAGCCTTTATTGCCAGCCAAGGATCAGGCCTGCACGAGGGAAGGTGTAACTAACACCCAGGAGTAGCTCCTCTGTGACGGAATTTAGCGGGCGAGCGACTTCGTTGTGTGGCAGGGACGGCGTTTCTGTTTCATGTGCCAAATGTATCCCTTTGTCTATTGATTTATTTTTCCTTTTAGATCAGTCTCAGCGGGGTAGCCTCTTCACACTCTTTCTGAACAATCCCTTAATGGCATTCCTGTTTGTCTCTGGATTATCAAGCATGCGCCGAGGATTGTGGGAGAAGTGTCAGGATTACCTCCGGAAAATCAACCGGGACATTGCCCAGCTGCTGACCCACTCCCGCTCCATAGGTACGGCCTGGCCAGGCCCAGCCCAGCCTCTCGGGGGCTCTGAGCCCTTCTAAATGGGCTTTCTTTGCCTTCTCTGCAGATCAGTCCTTCCTTCAGTTTTTTGGGGATGAGTTCCTTCGCTTGCTTCTCACAAGATTTATCTTCTGTTCGGCTACGATGAGGATGCACAAAATCTTCCGGGTACGCAGGGATGTGTGTGCCTTTGTGGGAGCTGCAGAGCTGCCCTGGTCAGGTGGGAGGGCCAGGGTGACCTCAGAAAGGGGCTGATGCTCGCATGCTGCTCCTGCAGCTTGCACCGAGGCTGTGCCTTCGTTGGCTTGCAGGAGCCCCATCCTGCACCTAACACAGCAGGCGCACTCCAGTTCAATTATGTCACTCTGGACAGCCTTGTCTGCTAGAAAAATTCCTCTTTATAACTTGAGATTATTATTTCTACACAACCAAATAGGTATAGAGCAAGAATATAAGGGGAAGTGGAGAGGAGTGGGTCATTATTTCTGGAATGTGTTCATGTGAATGGGTTTTGAAAGGTCTTTGAAGTGTAAATGAATACACTAAATGGGAAGATGGTATTTTTGCCTCCCTGTTGGTTAAAGCTGTGCCAGCAGAGAAGTCTGCTGTGCATCTACACCATTTTATGTGAGTGTTGGCATATAAACTGCCTGCTCCATTTTAAGTACTGCAGGGAAACATGGGACTGGAGCATTGAAAGGTGCAGTATTCAGTTGTGGAACTGCAGATGTCCTGCAGCTCTCCAGGCCAAAGTCAGCTACCTGGGCTGCTCTGATACCAGGGAAAAGAAGCAGGTCTGTGTCAGTGAGGAGAGTTTTGCCCCCAGTGTCTTAGATATTTGTTTTAGGATGAGATGAATCTCCCACTGGAGATGCTTACATGTCTGTAATTTCAAGAAATGAACTCCAGCCTAGTGGGTAAGTACAGGTGAATATTTTTTGTCTCTTTTAGTGGTTTAATTTTTTTTCCTGCAAAGCCTCAGTGAACATACCAATAACTATCTGAGATGAACAGGCATTTGTATTGCCACTGTGACCATCTCTGAATCAATGGAAAGAGAAAACTGAAAATTCTAGAATGTTTGCTGTCTCTCTGCCATACTGAATAGATTAGGGTGAAATTGGCCTTTTGCAGTCTTCTTCCTAGAGCGTGTGAAAGAAGTGAGTGTCTGATTCTCTTTGTTTTCACTGTCATCTAGCAGGAGACTCGAAATTATCCCGAATCTTATCCTCAGCTGCCAAGAGATGAAACGGTGGAGAACCCTCACCTCCAAAAGCACATTTTGGAGCTGGCTTCCATTCTGGATGTTAGGAATGTTTTCCTGGAAAACACACTCGATGACTATTAAAAGAAACTGTCTTATTGCAAAGGGGATTCCCTGGCCACAGATTTTGAATGGTGCAGTTTTATAATGTGAAAATCATAAAAGGAAGTACTTGATTTTATTTTTAAATTTAGGACCATTATTTTAAAAAGTAATAATAAACAGCTGTTAGTTGAGCTGTTCCATTCTGTATGGGGTCAATTTTATAAGCAGAAGTTTTCATGTCTTTTAAATGTTAAACTAAAGAATCACAAGAGGTTTATTTCTGGTCTTGTGGCTGTCAACCACATTTCCAACAGCTGATCCTAAGCATAGAAGTATTATTGGTTACCTTTAGCCCACATTTGTGGAAATCCTTTATTTTTATACAATTTTAAGAAATTGGAAAGAAAAAAAACAACAGAAAAAACCCAATATTTTATCCCCAAAGAGTATGGATTTGAAATGGTAAAGATGGAACCACACAGTGCAAACCAACAATAGCAATAACACAGATTCCTTCATAACAAATATATTTTTTCAGTCTTAGGCAAGCGAGGAAACAAAACTGTGGGCAATTAAGTTGCATTTGGAGCAGTGTTTTGAAGTGAATTTGTAAAGATACTTAATGCTCCCTATGAGTTTGATGCAGCAGTTTTCTGTTTGAGCTGTGTACTGCTGGCCAAGGACCTGGCTGGGCAGGGGGGTCAATGGTGAACCAACTGCGAACCCCGAAGGTCAGCCCCCACCTCTCCCTGGCATGTGGGGCATCCTGCCACAGCAGGAGGGGGCATTCTTCAGTTTGAGGCACTGTTAGGAATTCCAGCATTTCCAGCAGGTGTGTGGATGGAACGTGTGGCTCCCACAGCACGAGCAGTCCCTGGCAGAGCTGAGAGGATGTCCTGCACAGTGCTGTGCCTGTCCCTCGTGTGTCTGACCCTGCTGTGCACAGCCCCAGAGAGGTGCTGACGTTCCCTTGCAGGTGAGGCCAGCTGGGAGCTGCCAGAGCCCCCCCACGCTCAGTCCTGCCCTCAGGAGCTGCCAGGGGCTGGAACTTGGCAGCACCATCACTCCCCAGCCAGGAGCTGGATGGGTGTCTGCAGGAGGACCGTGGCCTTTGGGAAGGGGCTGGCTGGAGAAGGCTCTTGTGGCTGCTGGGAGAGGGCTGGCTGCCTCATTTGGGACTGCTCTGGCAGCTCCTGGCAGTGCAGGGGGAGCAAGGATGAGGGAATGGAGATACTTTAAACTATTAAATGGAAAAGTCAGTTGTCACTGTTGTTCTGTGGGCTGATAGAAGTGAGAGGACAAGTCCAATCAGTGCTTTTGGTTTAACCCCAGCCATGCCTCTGGGCTTAGGTGGAAACAGTGCAGAACTTGGTGACTGTTGCAGGGTCGTGGCAGTCCTGGGTGCAGAGCATCACCCAGGGTGTGATGTGGTCAGCCAGAGCAGCCTGGCGGATCCATTCAGCTGAGGGAGCACAGTGTGGAACAGCAGGAACGCTGCAGTGTAGCTGGGCAGTTTGCATGAAGGTTCTTTATAGCTGGGCTGAAGCTTGCACCATCCATTCTTTATTTCCCAAGTGTACAAAATCCTGTGAATGCTGTGTTTGTCCTAAGCAGTTGTGAAGCTGGTACATTGAGACCCCCCTTGGTGCTGCTCTTTGGACTCTGGCAGGACTTCCTTTGCCAGGCTGTGGAGTCTGTTGTGACGAGTGTGTGTTGGTGTGTGCATGTGTGTGCTCGGCGTTTGTGTGTGTGTGTGCAGTACACACGCATCTACTGCCTGGTGTAAATTGTAAATATGTATTTATGTACAGGTACTTGTATATGTATTAAAAAGAATGAACCACTACGATGTCTATATACAAAATTTATATATACACACATACGCCATGTTGGGTGGAATCCACAAGGTGCTGCAGATCATTTGTGGTTGTACTAAAGGTCATGGCTCTTCTGCCACTGTAATTTGCTGTTTCCAGGGACTTACCCTTGGGCCTTGAAGTAATTGATAACTGATTCCAGGTGCAGGAGCCCCCAGTTAGCCAAGGGAATGGGTATCCCTGTATGTTACAGTGATAAGATCCATGTATTACTGTGAAGCTGATCCTGCCTGGTAGGAGGCCCCCAGTTGCTAAAACGTGGGATTGTATGTGGAGGCTAAAGATGCAGGAAGCCTTTGATGCAGCAGCAAGTGAGGCAGGTTATCTGTTGCCCTGCCTGCTGTTCCTCTACCAGCAGCGTTCAGCTTGCATGGAAAAAGGGAATTGAGTTTTCCCCAGCTCACTGCCTTCCAACCAAATGCTTTTGCTTTGCTTTAGCTTTTGCTTTGATGAAGCTATTCCTTTTTTGGTTCCATCTCTATGGAAAAGAAAAGAGTATGCTGTTTCCAAGCATAGGAGTGATGATGATGATGATTCCACTCGTGTGGGCTGGTGAAGCTCTGGGACATTGCTCGTGAACTGACTGGGAAAGCCTTGGTGGTCCTCACCTTTGTTTAGGCTGAAGTGGGGAGTCCCTGCTTGTGACCTGAGGGGCTTCTACCATTTGCAGCCCTTCGAGGAAGTTCTGTTTGTTTTTTGCCAAGGTAGATCTCATCAGAGAAGAATGCACTTTTTAAAAGAAGAAGCTGGAATGTAGGAGGAGAATATAGGCCTTAAAAATTAGTTCAGAAGCTGAATTTAGCAGCAATGACTGTTCTAGTGAAAAATTAGTTTTTGAGGTTCCTAATTCTCCTCTTGCCCGCTGATCTTTGTTAGAAGGTCCGGTGCTGGGACGTTCAAAGATAAAGATTTCACTCCTGTTGTGTTGGGAGGAGTGTGGAATTGTACTGTGGAAGCAGAGGGCTCATACCCTCTGTCTGCTCTAGCTGTAGCTAGGATGAGTGTCTGCTCTTGGATTTTGAGCCAGCCCCTTCTTTCCCACCCAAAGAACTGCATTCAATATGAAAATGTTGATATTTTCCCCTCCAAGTAAAAGCTTGTCTTGTTTGAACTAAGTCATTCTGAACTTGTGCTACTGTGTGCTCTGTGCTATGGTCGTAGGTACCTCTCGGTGTATGCTTGTGTGTACTGAAGAAAATCTGGTTTTGTATCTCGCAGTCCTCAGTGTGGAAGCCAAGCAAAGACTGAACCATTTTTAAGTGAGAAGAGAACAAATCCTTTTCTTCTCAGGCCTGATGCCTTCCCTCTTGTCTCGCTCTCCCTTTCTCCATGTATCTTTATTGCTTATGTTAGCAGAGAAGACTTGCCAGCACCAGGCAATGCCAAATTAAAGGGGTGAATTCTGCATGTGAAACATTGAGAGGACAAGGTGAACTGGACCAGCCGTGTCCTCACAGGACTGCTCCTGCCTGGCTCCCTACTCCCTGCATGTGGTGTGCTCAGATGAATCCTGCTCCCACAGTAGGTTTGTGCTCCTGCTCAAATTGGCTTTGGAACATCTTGCCAAAGTTACTGCTGTTGCCTTTTTTTCCCCTTTGACTTCTCAAAATAAGAGTGTCAGGGCAATGCAGGGTTATGAGTCTTTAATGCTTTGGTTTTTCATTCCTCTTGGGATGTGATGTGTCATTTTGCTTTGTGCACCAGCTAAATGGAGCACTGACTTCTGTGAGCTGCACAAACAGGACTTGCTCCCTGGAGTGCTTTCTTGAGAAGTTTCAGGATCTTTCTTTGAGTAGTTCATCAAAATAATGTCTGTCAAGTCATGACTGACTAAACCCCTCAAGACTGTTCCCCAGGGGGATGTGCAGAGATGTCTTTAAAGGATCGTAGGAAATAGATGGGGGCAACAGGAAATCTGGCTTCAATTAATCATCTTCAGAAGTTACAATTTGAGTATCTCTGGTCAGGCTTCTCCCCTCGGGATGGGATGGAAGTGCTGTTCCATAGCCCACCCCTGGCTCGAGTTAGGAAGCACCTCCCCTGCCTCACTGCCTCCCGTGTCCTGTAACCATGCTGTGCTGCAAGTCTGCTCTTCCCAAAGCTAAAAATCTTGGAATCTGTCTGAACAAGTGTTTTGTCTTGAGGTTTCTTTTGTAAAAGCTTTACGTGTGTTCAGTTCCTCAGTAACTGTCGGCGAGTGCAGCTCAGTCAGTGGTGCAGCAGCGGCCGAGCCTCACTCACTCCTGGTGGTGTTGGGGGCTGCTCCTGGGGCTGAGGGAGCTCTGCAGGCAGGAACACGTACATGAACAAGGGAAAACAATTAATACAGAGAGCTGAAAACTGCTCTGTGCACCTCGTAAGGTCAGACTGGACAGAGCAGCCGGGCAGAGCTCTGCAGAGCAGATGAACACTGCTGAAGAGGCTCTCCCGTATTTGTAACGATGGACTTTAGAGCAATACTGATCTGTGACCAAATGTATTCAGGTGCTTTGAAGATCAATAGGGATCTGCTCACTAGAGCAGAGCATACACATAACTGCTTCAGATTTAGGAGTGACAGCCACTTTTTGTTTTCCTGTCTAAACCATTGCCAAGACTGAGGAGAGTTAGTTCAGGATTTCTGAATCTGACATTTTTTGGGGTTAAGGACTGTCTCTGTATTGTGCCCAGAGGCACGCACAGATGTTTTGTTCCTGGTTTGATTTCTGCTGGGAGCAGACCCCAGCACAGCTGGCTGACCTGCAGGAGCCCCCGAGCAGAACAGATCTCACCAGCCCTCCTTCCAGAGCAAACCCTGCTGGGAGGATCTGCCCCCTCACGGATGGCTTTGGCACGTGTTGGTGATGGTTCTGCCATTGAACTGGTTTGTTGGGAGCAGGATTCTGCCTCATGCAGGCTGAAAAGCACAAGTGGCTTCTGCCCTGGGCCCGGCCCAGCGAGAAGAGGAGGGGAGCGCAGGTGGGAGCGTTCTGGGAATGCAGAGGGACCGTGCCTCGGGCAGCCCAGCTGCGGAGGCACACGGAGCGTTTAGCCTCTCTGAGAATCAAATTATTTATTACCGAAAGTAATTTTATAGTGAATTGGTTTAAAGTTATTTTACAGCTGTGTGCCTGTATATCGTATTTTGGTAAAAACGGATATTTTCCTTAAAATATATAGAGATATATAAATAAACTTTTTTTGGAGCAAATGGACTTTTTTGCAAGGGATGTGTAATCGCCAAAGCTGTGTGATGCCAGAAGCGACTCTGCCGTTGTTCGGGGAGGGAAGGAGCGTGTTTGTTACTGCTGGACACTGCGGGGAGGAGCGAACCGCGATGGAGCCGGGCCCTGCCGCCTGTCCCGCTCCGGCCGGGCACCACCGACCGGCGCCAGCCCCGCGTCCCGCCCGTCACCGCCTTTCCAGAGACTTTGGAGCAGATTTCCGTTCGCTTTTGTCCCCGCCGCGCCGGGGCCGCTCCCGCCCGGTGTTCGCGGTTGTGCCGTGTCCGAGCCGTTCTCTGTCCCTGTCCCGGCCGCCGCCCCGGCCCCGCCGGCGGACTGTGCTGTCAATAAACTGTGATAAACGCTCGTACCGAGGCGCCTGCTCCGCTCCGGGCGGGGACTGCGGGAGGGAGGAGCGGGGCTGAGGGACCAGCCGGGCCGGGAGAGGAGCGGGAGGAGCGGGGGCGGAGCTCGGTCAGGGGGCGGGGCTCGGGCTGAGGGCGGAGCGGCGCTGAGGGAGGAGCTCGGTCGGAGGGCGGAGCGGGGCCGGGGCCGGGGCCGGAGCTCGGTCGGAGGGCGGAGCGGGGCCGGGGCCGGGGGCGGAGCTCGGTCGGAGGGCGGAGCGGGGCCGGGGCCGGGGGCGGAGCGGGGCCGGGGGCGGGGCCGGGGGCGGAGCGGGACCGGCGCCGCTTCCGCCCCGCGCGGCGCTTCCGGGTCGGCGGTGTCCGGGGAAGCGGCGGCGGCCGCGGGACCGGCGAGGCTCGGCCGGGCATGGGCGGTGAGGAGCGAGGGGACGGGGGACCGGGGACTGGGAGAGGAGGGGGCAGCCGGGCCGGGGCCGCGGGGGAGCGGCGGTGACAGGCCCTCGGTGCCTCGGAGCAGAGCAACCTCCGCGGGCCGGGCCGGGCCGGGCCGGGCTGAGGGGACCCGCCCGCTTCCCGGGCCCCGGCCCCGCCGCCGTTTGGGGCCGTTGGTTTGGGGCTTTAACGGATTCTGCTCCGGGAGACCCGATTTTTAACGTGCTGTAACAGATGCGATGTTAAAAGGCTTTCTGTTCCCTTTAAATGATCCATGCCGGTGGGTTTTTTTGGTGTGGAACCCATTTCTGTCTGATTTGTAGGTACTGCCAGGCCTTGAGGGCTTCAGTGGCGCTGGAGATGCAGTAAACCAGTGCATGAGGCTCAGAATTCAGTCTCAGCGTTTGGAAGCTTAGACCAGAGTGTCAGCGTATTGAACGTTGGCGGTCGTGGCTTTCCAAAGGCCCTGGATATTTCAGGGCTGTAGAGCAGTAAAATGTTTGCCAAATTGAAGAAGAAGATCGCGGAGGAGGCGGCGGTGGCTCCCCGGCCCGGAGGAAATGCCCGCATGCCCAGGTCTGTCAGCAAGGAATCGATCACGTCTGTGGGAGCAGACTCCGGAGACGACTTTGTGAGTTACACCTTGCTTTGAAATCTCCTTTTTCTGACAGTACTTTTATTACGGTTTTGCAGACAACCATTTAAAGTCTAGTGTGTGATTTGAAAACGTGATGTGGTGTCTTTGTAAGTGTATCTCCTAATGCATAAATGTATCATTAGCTTGAGTGAAATTAAATATTGAAGAGAAAAGGTTTGTTAAGCGTAGTCGTTGCCAGGAGTCTTTCATTCCCACGTAAACAGTTTTCATTTTACCTCTGGGCTTCCTAGTAGTCTTCCTACCTGAGACATTGTATATGTCTCTGCTGAAAACGTGTGCAGTGTTGTTGCACTCAAAACCACTTTAGTTCCTCTCTTTCCGGATAAAACATTGTTTAAACCAGTGGTGAAGTTCCAGGAGTGCATGGGTTAAGTGAGACCCTGGAATGCTCTGGCACCTCTGCCCTGCATGGCTGGCTGTCACATTTCTGAAAGCCTGGATTAGGGCAGTGTCACCCCGCTGCTGGAGCCAGCAGGACCCACAGCATAGCCAGCAGCAAGTCTCTGCTGTCTGCAGAGTGAAGAGCTTGTTTACACAGTTGGGCTTAAAGTAATTTATTTTGAAGCTCAGCTGAAATTTCAGTTGTGTTAAGCAGGAGGTTGGAGCTCCTAATGTTTAAATACATGTTATAGTGAAAATATATTAGTCTTGTGTTTTTCTGAGGCTGTTTTTTCTTTTGCACTTAGGAAAGTCTCATGTAGAAATTCTTTTTGCCGTCTTGCAAGTTTGTGGAGCAGCAAACAAGTAATGAATTGGCAAAACAACATAATGAAATAATGAAATGGCAAAACAAGTGGTCTTCAGAAAACCTCCAAGAGTTTATCAATATTCATTTAACTGCTATTGACTTTTATGGAGCAAAACTCACCAGAGGACTCATAAGTCATAAGTCAGTTATGCAGCAGATTTTGTGTGGACAAATTGCTGCATCAGGGCTTCAGTGAGTTTATCCCACATGAAAAGCGTTACTGCTTCTCTTGTAATTACTTTGATTTTCAGGACTCTCTGTTTGACCTTTGCTGGTGCCTGTGCTGTGGAGCCTGATTTCCTGCCCCTCAGTGATTCCTCTGCCCCATCTCCTCAGCGGAGGTTTGGGCACACAGGTGCCAGCCCCAGCTCCTTCCCAAGCTCTGTGCTCTGGGGAGCAGGCAGCCTGGCACTATTGAGCCTTGCTGGTTTTCTCCTTCAGCATTTTTATCACATTCTGCTGTGCTAGTACAATTTTCCCCTCTATGGGAAAAACAAGTGCTGTCCCTAGGCAGGAGAGTGTTTTATCCCAGACTTAATGTATGGCAGGATCACTTTTTCTGAATTTTGTAAGTTATAGAGTGTTGCTCTTCTCCCAAGGCTTCTGATGGAAGCAGCTCCAGAGAGGATCTTTCATCCCAGTTGTTAAGAAGAAATGAACAAATAAGAAAACTGGAGGTGAAGCTATCTGGTATGTGCCCTGATACATATAAAACTTGTTACTATAGGAAATGTTTTCCCTTGAATTTACATGGTTTAATTTATTAAAAGTCCATGGCGTTAGGGTCTTTTGAAGATTGATTTGTAGCAGCCCTGTTGATTGACAAGAAGGGATCATCCAGCATCATTAATTTTTTATGAAGGCAACTGATTTGCTGATTTCAACAATACATTTAGGTGATTGCTTGGAACAGCTGGGGTAGGTTTCTGTCCCATGTTTCAAGCAGCATCTGTCCCCACTTGTGTGGATGGTTTGTTTCTGATAGGGTCTGAGCTTTCTGACAGTAACACAGTACCATCCTTAAAGAAGTGGGCTTGGAAATGAAGAGGAAACAAAGAATTCAACATAAAACAGTCCTGAGGGTTTTTTCTTTCTAATTCCTTGTTCTGTAAAGCTGTAGTGAAGGCTGGCACTGCTCCCTATCCCTGTTGTAGGGAAGGGACCAGGACTGGGCTGAACTGTGTTACACTGCTGCTTCCCAAAGCTCATGGGAGGCTTGGGAAATTGGGGAAGGTTACAGCCAGATAAAGACTATTTTGATTATTTTATTTTGGAGACTTATCGGGCTTCAGTTCAAGAAAATATAGGCTTCAAAAATTATTTCACATGGAATTCAAAAGGCCCAAATGCTCATCTGCTTGCACAAGGTAAACTTAAAAGTGCTGGCTGGGACTTAACACAAGAGAGGGAGGCTCTGGGTATCAGGAGTCTCGTGCAGGCAACCAGCCAGTGAGTAAATCCTCTTCTCCATTGTACAGGAACCTCTCCAGGGTGTGTGCACACTCTGTTTTGGTTCATATTCCCTCCTGTGGCAGTTCTGCTGAGCGAGGGTGAGGGCAGTGCTGTGGGACTGCAGATGGATGCAGTGGCCATGAGTTAACCCTTCCCTGCAGCCTGCAGTGCCAGACACCTTTCCTGAGCAGAGGGAAATGTGTCACTGTTCTGGGATGAAGTAAAAAAGGAGGGACAGTTGTTGATTCTCTGGTTCTGCTCTTGTCTGTGTGACTGACACCCCTGGGACAGGCCCTTCTGTTTGTGCCAACCCTGTGGACAGTACAGAGCTATTTGCTTGTGTTCATTGTTGTGGTCACCCAGTTCCTTAGCAGGAATGATTTTCTGATTGAGAAAATCATTGTCATTTGCCGCTCATCCTTTTTTCTTTTCTTTTTTTTTTTTTTCTTTTCTTTTTTATTTTTGTGTTACCCTAAAAATGTCCTTCCCCAATGTCTGTCCATTCCTGGTCTGTTCTTCTCCCTCCTCACACAAGATTATGCTGATCAGATCCGAAATCTGCAGAAGATAAAAGAGAAGCTTGAAAATGCATTAGAAAAGCATCAGGATTGTACGTATTTTTCTTTTTTTCCTTTTTCTTCAGTTCAGTTGAAAATTGTGGTTGGAAGGAAAGAGGTTTGGTGTGCAGGTGTGCTAATGATTCCCTTTCAAACTGTGCACCTCTGTAGTGTGAACAATTAGAACACAAGTTGTTACCTTATTTACAGCATAAAAAGCAGCAGCGCTGTGTTGAATGAAGTTGTTATTGCACTCCTTCTGCCAAATTTGGGGCTCACATGCAGGAAAGACCTTTTGGAAACCTGCAGCTTTGTTCTGATCCTGCAAGGAGCAGTATCCCTGTCTGCTGTTAGCTTTGGCCCTTTGCCAGCCTGCAAGCAGCGTGAGGGAATGAGTAGCACAGCGCTAGTGCTGCAGTCAAGATGGGGCTAATTACTTGCACAAGAAGCTCTTTAAAGTTATAAATAACTTACAGGAAAGTGAGAAGTAATTTTAAAAGATGAGTTTTTAATATAGCTGGTGGTTCTCTGTTGGTAGCCTCCATGAGGAAGTTTCAGGAGCAGAATGAAGCTCATCAGGCCAGTCGAGCCAAGATGGCTGAAGGAATGGCTTTGGCCTTGGAAAAAAAGGACAAGGTAAGAAAACTTGAGCAGGATCTTAGACTCTCATGAGCCTGGTATTTTAAGTAGGTGTTACTATTAATTAAAATAATTGTTCAGCCCTGTGTGTGAGCGTGCCAGCGCTGAGGGAAGGAGGGAGTGCTGAGCTCAGTGCCAGGAATGGTGCAGGACTTGTCACTGCTCAGACTGGTTTTAACAAGAGCCCACAGAAATTCCTAATGAAAGGTTAAGCTTGTGCTTGGATAAGATTCAATGGCAGTAGGCCTGTTGTCACATTTATTTCACTTGCATAAAACTTATGTATTCAGCTAGCATGAATGATTCCTCAGCCTTTATTCAAGCACTGGCTGTTACTGTGCTGCTGATGATTATTTTTTAATCATTACCAAAGCTTAGTATCTGCTAGCAGTACAAATTCTTTTTCTTTTTTTTTTAACCATAATTGCTGTCCTTGAAAGTCTGCAAATAGATTTTGATATCTTTTTTTCTCCTTTCTTTCTTTCTTGTTCAGGAGTGGATGGAAAAACTCACTCAAGTTGAAAAGGTAATTAACCTTGGATGTTTTTCTCAGGGGGTGTAGTGTAGCTCTGTGTGTATTTGCAACCACCATCCTGCACACTTGCAGCTCTATCAGAACTTGACTCTGTTCAGCCCTTTTTATTATTTGGTCTTTGTTCAGTGGGAGAGGCCAATCATATGCCTTTTGTTACCAGCCCAAATGCCTGGGGAGGTCTTTCTGGATTTATTTGATTTATTTTTCAGCAGGGAAGTAAAGAACGATGGGTTGTGATGGGAAAGTTGTTCTTCTGTAAGGTGAAACATAGTCCATTTTTAAGAGTTCCGTTTAGATGGTCACTGGTGGCATTGTAATGAATTCAGATTTCTTTTTTTTTTTTTTGGAGTTTGGTAATTTTCACTGTGACATGAATCTGAAAGGATTTCTAGTTCTGCATGGAGCACCATTGGGAGCTGTATAGCTGCAAGACAAGATTTCTTTCTCAGAGAGTTTACCTGATCTCCCATTAACTTGACATGAACATACGGATATCCTTTGGTTCTGTTCATTTATCAGGAAAAAAAAGTGCTTCAAACACAGTTACAAGAAATGAGGGAGCAGAGTTTGAACCTTTTCCAAAAACGAGATGAAATCGATGAACTGGAGGGCTTTCAACAGCAGGAAATTGCCAAAGTTAAACACATGGTAAGAATATTTTCAACTTTTTATTTCCTAAATTTTTTACCAGGATATTAAGTTAGTGGTAGCCCAGCATACATTTTGTCAGCCTTTGTGCTTGTACACCGGTTCGGTTAGTGTCAAAATCCTAACAGTAGGTACTGAACACAGTATTACATAGTCTATTATCTCACTTAATTCAGCCCCAGGCAGGTTTCAGTGAAAAGGTTTGTCAGTGTTACTGGTGACCTGTAATGCCCAAGATGATGCTCTAATGTTCAGCTTTTGACAAAGGAAGAGTGTCTGAGCAGAGCGGAGCAGGAGCTGGAGGCGCGGGCGCAGGAGCTGAGCCGGGCGCGGGCGGAGCTGCAGGAGGCCAGGGCCGGGGCCTCGGCGCTCAGCAGGGACCTGCAGGACGTGCAGCAGCAGCTGCTGCAGCTGCAGGCTCACAGGTACGGAGCTGGGCCTCTCACAGGAGCAGTGCTTGTGTTTGCCCTGTAGTTTTACTTCATGCTCGCTTTGTGTCTTTGGAAGAGTTTGTATATGTAGTGAGCTGACTGAATTTTTGCCTCTGCTATGGCTGTGGGGATGTAAATGCCAAGCCAATGATAGTAATACTTTTTTTGTAAATTATTTCTTTTTTTCATAGTTTGAATGCTTAACTGTCACTTTTTTTGAAAATGTATAATCAAGCAGTGATTTATGATGGTGACTGGTTTTAGGACAAGAAAATTTTGTTGATGTCCATTTTCATAAGCAGCAGAATTATCTGCTAAAGATTATTTTCCTGGAATGGTATGTCACTTGTTTTTATTCTCTTTCTATGAAGAGATGAACTAATGACAGCTGAGACAAATGCAGAAAATAAGATCACTGCTCTGGAGTTAAGAGAACAGGAGCTACAAAATGTCATTCAGCAGCTTTCTGTAGACTTGCAAAATGTAAGTTTGAGCCAAGTGAGATTTGATTCAAAGAGCTCCATGTCTGCAGAAGTTAGATTAGATATCAGTTATGTGGTGTTGGAAATTTAAGTTCCAAAGTAAGTAATTTCTCAATATGTTTAGGCTCGAGTGGCTGGTTCTGGTTGTGAGAAGAGACTGGAAATGTTACAAGTGGAGCATGAATCTCTGAAGGTGGAATATGAGCAGCAGAAGCAAAAGGTGAGGTGCTTTCAGATGCACGTGCTGCTCCTGGTGTGCACATTTGGGTAATGTACACCTTTGTGTAGTTGGAACTTTGGTGTCCAGAAAGTGTTCCAGGGTCAAATTGTCTTTTTAAACAGGACTTTCCTTTCTATTGGCATTTCCAAAAGTCAAACCGCAACAGATCAGCTGGAAGCTTCATTACAAAAAAGATTCTGTGATTTCTCATTCTCACAGATGACTTTTGAACTTGCTGAGAGAGATAGACATACAGAACAGCTGCAGGAAAAGCTGTCTTCCCTGGAAAAAAAGCTAGAAAGAAATCTCTCAGGAGATGAACATGTGCAGGAGCTGCTCAAAGAGGTAATTACACAGTTAAAGGCTGCTTAGAGGTACAGTATTAGTGAGTTTGTTTTGGGTTTTTAGGTCTTACATTACATCTCACCCATGCAGAGAAAGCTGCTGATGTCACACAGCACATTTGTCCTGGCAGCGTGTTTTGGCACACTGTGCTGGGCAGGACATGGGGGTGGCTGCACTGAGCCTGTTTGTGTAGGTCCTGCACAGATGTCTGTGCTGGCCTTTCTGCATTGTCTGTTTGGGCACTGCATCTGAGTGCTTAGAAGGAGGAGAGCAGCTTTCTGCCATCCCCACAGGAGGTGGGACAATTTGGGGGTTTTTCTAATTAATCGTCACAAGCACAGTGAATGCTTTTCCTTGTTCTTTGGCAAGGCACGGGGCAGGGAGGGGAACTGTTTGCACACAGGTGTGCAAACAGAATGTTGTATGCTCAAAACCTCAGCCTCGGGAGTGCTAAAGAACAGCTGGAAACAGAAACTTAGCTGTGGTTAATCCCCTTTCTCTCATTGCTTCTGATCTCTTTCTCAAGCACTGATGCTCCTGCTCGGAATCAGCCTGGAGCAATGTTTTCCCAGCTGGGTCTTGGGGATGTTTGCTTTTCTCTGGTCAAGGTGCCTACAGTCACATCACCCCTGAGTTGCTGTGACAAAAAGACATGGCTTAGTAAACTCAAGACAGTTTAAAGTTATCTAGAGATAATAAAACATTGTTCCATTTTGACCTTATAAATTAAATAAAAAGGAAAATTTTTATTACCCCCCACCAACTTATGTCTTTGTCCATCCTTGCTCATGTTCTTCACCTCAATGGAACCTTCAGAAAGCTGCTCTTGAGCAGAGGCTGGAGGAGAGCAGGCAGCAGGTACTGACAGACAGGACACAGCACAGCCAGGCTCTGAAGCAGCTGGAAACACAGGTGAGCAGTTTCTAATTTCACCACAGATTCCCACTCTTTTCATCCTCTATGCCCTACTCCCCTCACTGCACTCCCTGCCCAAGGTGAGACTGCACATTTAATCACATTTAGTCTTGAAAGGATAATAATTGATCAGTGTCTCTGGGTGTCTCCCCACTTCATGGGTGGAGGAAGGCCTAGAGGTGAATGCAGAGGTTTTGTGCAGATCCTCCCTGTAGTAAGAAACAAATAACTCAGGTGCAAGCAGTGCTGTGGTGAAAAATTTCTAAAACCTGCATGTGTCAAATAGGCAGCCTCTCTGTCTCTGTGGCTTCAGGGATTTAATGTTTACCTTCCCCTCCTGGGCCACTCTGTACTATGCAAACTTTTAAAATAACATAGGTGCCAGTGGATAAGGAATTTAATTAATGGTGTAATTTTAGAATAAAGAACTGGAAGAGAAACTACGTATCGCAACAGAAACACTGAAAAAGAGCAAAGAAGCAGCTGCAGACCAGGATCTGAAGATCCAGAAGCTGGTGAGTATCCAGAAGCTGGTGAGTATCCTGCATGTTTCACTGACCAGTAACAGATCAGTCTGCAGCATCCCCAGAGACAATCACTTCCCTGTTTTGTTATTCAAGTGTTTGTTTTCTTGCTGTTTGTCTGCTGAACTCTGGTCTGTGAGTACATGACACTGCTGCCAAAGGAATAGTGTTCCTCAGTTTGAGAGTGTCTCATGGAATGGTGTCTCATCTTGTCAGAATGATGTCAAAATACCTTTCTGTTAATGTGGTTTTCTTTATTCTCTTAAGCAAACTGATCTAGAGGAGGAAAGAAAACAACTTCAGCAACAGATTTTAAGTGAAAAACATCAGCATGATGAGAAAGTTACTGGGCTGGAGTCTCAGATTGCTGCTCTTGAAAAAGCTTGGGAATTGGATAAAACAACAACTCAGCACAGGATTGTAAGTACAGAAACTGTGGTGGGTTGTGAGAGTCTTCACAACATGATTTTAACACAGCTTGTAGAGCTTGCTTGTTGTCTGAATGTTTTTATTCAGCACTCCTGGCATTATAATAGAAGATATCATACTTTGAGGCACTAAATATGAGCAAAACATTAGATGTGTTTAATTGTTTAAACAAAGCATTAGAATAATTGTACTGTGTATTTAAACACTCTTTATTTTACAGAGCCAATTGGAAAAGGAAAATGAAAACCTCAAGGGAAGCAAAGAAGAGTATGAGAGTTCATTAAAACAACAAGAGTGTGAACTGAGCAGGCTAAAGGTAAGGGCTGGACTGGTACTGGCATTGTCTTGGGACAGAGCTGAGGCTGGGGAGCAGCAAACACCACTGTGGGTTACATTGAGTGCTTGGAGGCCTGTTCTGTTCAGGTTGCAGGTCCTTGGAGCTGTAAATCATCTCTGGTACTCAGCAGAAATGTGTTTGAGAAGCATTACAAAGGGCTGACCCTTTTCTGAACCAGAATGCTTGGGTCTGCCTAAATCAGGCAGAAATAATACGTTCCCGTATCGTCAGGGATGTGAAGAGCTTGGAAATCCTGTTAGCAGTGGTGAATACAGAATGGCTCAACATCAGATTCCACTCAGAGTGTTCAAACCAAAAAGTTAAAACTTACATTAGTTGGGTGTTTACAGTTTATCTAATTTTGACTGTGATTTAGATTAGTTGAATTTTTTTTCATAGCTACTCCTGGATGCACAATTGGAATAAAGATCTGTTGTAGCAGGGAGCTACTTCTTTGTAATAGATACTTCAAGCTGAAAGATCTTGTAAGCATTGGGTTTGTTTGGGTTCTTACATCAGTTCTGTGCTGCTCTTGCATATGCAGAGAGCAGCAGTCAGTAAAACAAACCTAACTCATTTGGAAAATATAGTGTGTCAGAACACTTTAATTGTAGTCCTAGTAGACTTGGGTTAAAGATGAGAGACTGACTTGATTTAATTGTCTCACATAACCTCTCAATTAATTCTGGTTTGCAGAATGAGATGAGCAGCAGAGAAACTGTCAGTGTGGAAATTGCCAAAGCCTTGGAAGAAACAAGGAAACAGAGAGAGGAATTACAACAGCAGGTTGGTTAATAATGACTGTTTTCAAATGTATTTGAGACATCCCAACCTTTCAAAGAGCAGACTAGGTTTGGATTTATTTATCCTAACATGCAAGACTGTTGGTCAGAATCATATTCACAGCATGTGAGGCAGCAGTGGTTCTGGGTTCCTCTGGAGCAGAGCAGTGGTAAAATTGTACATTTCCTTACAGGGAGGAGCTTGTGTCCAGTACCAAATGTCAGTTCTAGGAAGTCTTGTTTTGCTCTTCCTGTATAAAAAATAGTGGATGATGTGATGGATGATGGATGGTGGATGATGTCTTTTGGTTTCTTTATTCTTCTGGGACTGCTGGAGATCTGTGCTTGCTGGGCCAGATCTGTGTAGAAGGGGTTTAAGGCCATCTCCTGTTTTGCTCAGGGACCTTGCAGCTGCCACATTCTGGCTGTGACAATCTGGTGGTGGCACAGAAGCCAGGTGGGGTTTAGCTCTCCCAGCAATGACTTCAGTGCTTGTTCCTGAGGGCAGCATTGTGGAGGTGATGCCTGCTGGGCCTCTGAAGGATGTTGGATCTTTCAACACCCTCTTCCTGTTTTATATCTTTAATGACTTCTCTTCATTGTTTTCCTGCTTTGAAGGTTTCAGATCTGAATACCCTAATAAAGGAGAAAGACCAGCTGATTGATGAAAAATGTGATCTGCTGCTAAAACAGAAGGAAGAACTGAATCAACTCAGTCAAGGTTAGACCAAAGGAGTCTACTGCATCCCAAACAATTTAAGTAGAGCCTCTAGTTCTGGCCTTGCCTGGTAGATTGTAATTTTTCTAGATTTCTCTTTCATATTTAATCTTTTTGTACTTTCAGAATGGTTTATTGTTCACTAACAATTGGACAGTCTCTCTTCTGTCTTTCTGTCTGTCCCCTGGCTTTCTGTCTTCGTGACAGACCAAATGGATTAGAATCTCCCATCTGATGTGCAGCACTGATACTAAGCAGGTCTCTCCTTTCCCAGACCATGAAGCTGTCTTGCTGCAGGTGCATCAGCTACAGCTGGACATAGAGGCAAGGCAGAGCCAAGCAGTGGAGATAGAGGAAACAGCAAGAAAAGAAATTGATGAGCTGAAGCTGCAGGTACAGGAGTGCCTGTTGGCCAGAGAGCATGAGAAAAACGTGAGTGCAGTTCAAATCCATTCTCTCAGGAAAAGAGGGAGGTGTGCAGGAGCCCCCCAGTTCTGTCCTGCCTGGACAACCAAAAAGAAGTCTGGCTTTCTCCCTGGGGAGTGTTCTTGGGGTGCAAATGTCATGATATCTCTCCATGTTTATTTTTGTAGGTTTTAGAACTGGAGGAGTCGACGAGGGCCTTGAACAATGAGCATTTGCCTTCTCCAGAAAACTCTGTGGTGGAACAGAACGGAGAGGTGGCAGCTGCAGATGTTGTTCAACTTCAGAAGGATAACAGAGAGCTGGAACAGCAAATTGCTGAGAAAAACAAGGTGAACAGAAACAGCTGGTAGTCTTTCCCCTTTTAATTAGGAAGCCAAGTAGTTGGTGCTGCCCGTGCTGCAGCCTCAAAAGGACAGGCCTGTTGCATTTGAATCCAGTATGCTGTGAGTAAATGCTTTTCTCTGCATTGCACAAGTATCTCCCAACCATGAATAAAAACCGCAGCGAGAGCTGCCTGAATCCTGATGTGTTTGGGCAGAAAGGTGCCCCCAGTGATGCTATTTACAGCTTTCCTCAGAGCCCTCTGAGTGAGTTGGGTTCAGTTGCACAGTGCTGTCACATGAAAGCCCAGGTGTCCTGTCACATGGCTGCTGCTGTGTGCAGCTGGCAAGCCAAGGCTCTCAGGTTGCTTCTTCACAGCTGTCAGTGTTGGATAATTATCATTTCATTCAGTACTTGTTTATCATGGGTTTTTCCAGATACCTGGGGGTCCTGACAATGAGTACTGTGTTAAACTCTCCTTTGCTGTGCTTACAGATGATAAAGCAACTTCAGCAAAGAATGACAGAACTGAAGAAAACTCTGCAGAAAGAGCTGGTAAGGGTTGTGTGTTTTCAGTCTCTTCAGATGGCACTTGCTGGCAGGTACTTGCACTGTTATTCCAAAAGCTTGACTGCCAACTCCCATTGCATCCCTCTGCAATGGTTTATCTCTCCAAGAAAAAAAAAAATCGATTTAAAAGAAAATTAACAGAGGTTTTAAAATTGTTGGTTTTGCTCTGATGTTGAAAATTATCCTGAAGAAAGCCCATGTTTGAAAGGCTGAGAGCAGGTTAGTGATAGGAGAAAATTACCTAGGGATAGCTTCCACCATGGAGCCAATTCTGTGCTGGTTTGGGTAATGTACACAGAATGCTGACATCAGCCAGCTCCTGTCCTGGGGTGTAGGGAGAGCTGGAGACACTTCTCTGCTGTGACCCCATGAAGGATGAGGAGCTGTTGATGCCCAGTTTGTGGGTACAGCCCTCTTTAGATATCCTGAACCCAGACCCCTCTCAGTGTCAAGCTAACAGCATCTGCAATGTATTTCTCTTTTTCTACTGTGGGTTTTTTATTTTTCTGTAGAAAATAAGGCCTGACAGTGAGGTACCTGAGCTACGTGCAAATTCTGAAGTGCCTAATGCTTCTGTGACCGTCACCAACAACTCTGACTTGAACGACTCCAGGGAGATAAACTTCGAGTACCTTAAACATGTTGTACTAAAGTTCATGTCCTGCAGGGAGTCTGAGGTAAAGGTGCCACTTACCTTCTCTTTCTACATCTGTCTTTCTCTAGAAATTGCCACCTGTCACCTCCTAAGGACGTTTCATGCCAATTCCATAATTTTACAATTAAAAAATGTACAGTGGGGGCAATAAAACAAAATAGCTGACAGCAATGTGTTTGGAACACAACTCTGTGGTTTCTTTCAGGCATTCCATCTCATTAAAGCTGTGTCTGTGTTACTGAATTTTTCACAAGAGGAAGAAAACATGCTCAAAGAAACTCTGGAGTACAAGGTAAGGTGCCATTAGGTGCCATATGTGGTCTCTAATGAGACAATTAAAATTCCTAGATGCTGGGAGATTAGGAGAAGTGTCTTTTTTCCAAATGTTAGGTAGAATAATAAATGTAATTTATTATTAAAATGTTAGCTGACCGTATGCATGCCAGGAATTGTCCCTTTCAGTGAGGGACATAGCAGCTTTCTGGTGCTCAGAGGAGTTGGAGCACAGCTTTGCCCAGTGGACTTGATCTGAGGGGAGAAGTTGGGAGCTCCTTGCCCAAACAGAGTCAGTGTTTAACAGCAGAGCCTAACTCTGGGTTTGTCCTTTTGGCACTGGGCTCACACACCAAGATCTGTGTCTCCTTTCCACGGGCTGAGATCTGCCTGGCCCTGGCTGTGTGGTGGTTAGGGAATGTTCAACAGTGAGTGCTGCCTCAGCTCCAGGTCCTGCATCATCCCTGCCCACCCAGGGAGTTGGGATGCTCAGTCTGCAGATGAAGAGATTTCCTCACCATCTGGTTCAGGGAACACTGATGCTGCATTGACTAAAGGCACCGTGTTTAAATGACTAGAGTTCTAATTTGAAATTACTTTAAAGGAATATATGTAAGTATAATCTTCAGACATTTTCACCTGTGGCCAGTGGGTGCTGTTCCTTTCAGATCTCATTGTGTGAAGCTGCCTCCCTTTCTTCAGTATGGAGTCTGGAGCATTCTGAGTTATAAATAGGGCTTTCCATCAAATGATGAGAACATGGCTGTGTTCCATGTTGTTTCTTTTTCACACCTCGGAGGTGTGAGCCCTGTGTGATGTGTGCTGTGCTGTTGTGTCCTAGATGTCCTGGTTTGGGTCAAAGCCATCCCCCAAAGGCAGCATCCGCCCGTCTATCTCGAGCCCAAGGACTCTGTGGCCTTAAGGGAACCCGAAGGTGGCAGGCAGTATCCAGGCACTTCTTTCTGTGAAAAGAATGCTGAACACACTGCTCCAGGTGTGTCTTAATCACTGTCATTGCAGTATTTTGTACAAGAACTTCTGGCTCTGTTTACAAGATTAATGCTGTGCAAGGAGACATTTTCACTACAGCCTGGAACGGCTCTGGGTGTCTGTGCTGCGAGCAGCTCCTCGTGCTCAGCACTCCTCGTGCTCAGCACTCTGGCTCCTGGCACCAGAGGGTTCTGAGCACCTCCAGGGCAGCAGGGCTGCCAGCTCAGGCCCTTGGGATGCTGATTCCAGCTGCTGTTCCAGGGTGCTGCAGTCCAGTGACTCTGGGCACAGAAAAGCTGCTTGTCTGGCTGTGGGAAGCCAGCGATGGAAAATGTGTTGGCAGAAGAGTGTTGAGAGTGGGATGGTTTGCAAAGCCTTTCACAGGACAGGAGCAGGAGCTTTAACCAAAAAAGAACTCTGCCTTGCCTTCTAATACTGACATTAACTAATGGTTGGCATTTTTTCATATCACTGTGTAATTTAAGGTGCATTTATCCTGGCCTGCAGCCCTCAAGGCTGCATGTTGATTATTTAATTTGAGAGCACAACTTTAGAGTTGTCTGATTTTACTTTTCTTAAAGAAAAATAATATTTAAAATGGTCTTAATTATAGTACCTAATCCTCAGTCGCCTTTAAAACTAATCCATTAGCCTGTTCCATGGGTTGTTAGCAGTGGGAAAAGGGGTAGGAAACCATTTTAAATTTTTAAAGCTGAGTTCCAGGTATTGTAAATCCACACTGAAAAATACCTTTTATTTAAAAAAAAAAAAATCTAGTTACAAAGGGTGAAGAATGCTGGTACTAAACATTTTGATTAATTTTTTTTCTTCCAAGTCTGCTAGCAACAAATCCTTATAACCAGGATCTGCCTCTTTGGTTGTGGTTTTCTGTACTTCAAATACTGATGCTTAAAAACTGTTATGACTATGTTAACTGTTAACTCCTGACTATTACAGTAAAAGAAATGCTGCTCATGAGGGGTTTGAGGGCAAAATTCAACTCTTAGTGAACAAGTTATGGTTCCAGCAGCTTGTTTTCCTAATACAATAAGGACAGGGGACCAAGGTGGCACTTCCTCCCTGAAGCACACTTTTGCCCAGAGTTATTAACACCACTGCAAAATCTGGATCCAAATGGGAAGCAGCACTAAGTCTGATTCCTGAAAACTGAGACCTGTTTCCAAAAATCCACACATGTATGGAATTCAGTGAGCATGCTGCAGGTCTGGGAATTCTCTTAAAGTTGATGCTTCTGTTAAATATATTCAGGGCAATTCAAGCTTTCTCCAGTGGAGCTCCAGCAGGAGGTGAATGTGCAGATCCAGAGGATCCAGAGCCTGCTGGTCTCCCAGACAGGAACTCCCAGGGGCTGTCACAGGGCACAGGTGCTGCTTCTCACTTAGAGACAGGTTGGATTTGTCTGAAGTTAAGAAAACCAACAGAATTTTTTGGTACACTAAAGCTTGTCCAAACAGTCTTTAGTAACCAGATTCATGGCACTTCCAGACAGGACAGAGCATGGGACGGTTCAGCCCTGCTCTGCTGTGAAAATAGACAATCAAAAAGTACATTTATTTCAGTTGTTTCTCTGCTGAGATACAGCAGGGTGGAATAACCCTGGGAAGATTTTATTCTCTGAGATCTTTTCCCTTCTGATGTCCCTTTGCCCTGCCCTGTTTCTGTGGGACCAGGGGTCAGGACTCCCTCACCCCCCTGCTCCCTGCTGAATGACTGCTGGGTTTATGCTGATCCTGGCTTCAAAGGTTACTGCTGAACAGCAAGGAAAGCAGGACAGGCAGCCTGGAACGGAGTGACAAAGTAAAATCTTTTGTTATATATTCACTAACAACTTCAGTTTCAGATCCCAAAGCTCATAAAGGATCAACTTACCATAAGCTAGTTCTTAAGTGTTGAATTTTCGTTAGGTATCAGAGCAAGACTGGTGTGTATACATGTATTAAAAAGCTAATGCACTTTCCCTTGTCTCAGAACAGTGGTTATACATAATCCTTTCTATCACCATTGGACTTCTTTCCTTCTATGCTGTAAATATGAACTGTATGATGAAACACTATGAAATTTGTGGTGCAATACATTTTGGATCAAACCCCTAATCTTGATTTCTTTCTTTTTATAGTTCTGGTTATCTCCCCTGGGATGCTATAGCTATTTAAAATTGACTTTTAAACCATGACCCAAACCCCACCTTTGCCCAGGGTGAGGATGGGTGTGCCAGCTGTGCCACCAAGGCCTCTCCCAGGGAGCTGTGTCACAGTGAGTTGTGCCACTGTGCTTCCAAAATCACCTCCCACCAGGAGCAGCTGCTGCTGCACTTTGAGCAGCTGATGGAAGCGAGGACTGGGTGGAGCTGGGGCTGCCCAGGCAGCTGCTCCTTGGTGCCAAAGGGCAGGGAGCCCTGCCAGAGGGGCCAGGGGACAGCCATGGATCCAGGAGTGTGTCCTGCCTGGCCAGAGGACACACTAATACTTAAATCATAAGTCCTGAAGCATCTGCTTGACTTTCTAGTGTGGACAAGAATATAAAAATCAAACTCGGGGTCCTTACTATGTGTACTATTCACTGCATCTTCTAAGTCTTGATTGGGACTGCTGAGCTTGGTCTCACTCCCTACAGGCAGGACAGAGCTGGATTTGAGGACAAATTCTCCAAGTTGCTGGAGTTAGGAGCAGTCCTAAAAGGTGGACACTGGCTTGGACTGGGTTATTGCAGGCCTGCTTTGGAATAAGTGTCAGACTTACAATTTAGCTGAAAATAAATTTAACTCACGTGATCCAAGACCTTTATTGATGCAGCAGGCACTTCACTTTACACGACCCCAAGCCCAGAGTCCAAGAGTCCTTCACCCACACATTGAGCCGCCATTCCCAGAGCCCTTCTCCCACCCTCAGCTGCAGGACTCAGCCTGGACACAGCTACCTTGGGACTAAGCAGGACACACGGGAGCTTGCACCACCACACCTGGCTAAAGCAGCATCTGAAATACCTGTTCACTTGCAGTGTAGGAGGCAGGAGTGTGCCTTCTCTCTGCCTGGTAAAGAAGGGAGCAGGAGAATGTCTTGGCTCCTATATGTGATAGTCGGAATATGCAGGAATACCTTTACTCTTCCCCCACCTTTAAGGTTAAAAGCATTCCAAGAGGAGGTTACTGTAGGATTTCAGTAGATTGCAATCTCTAATAAAGATGGACCAGTGTAATTTCAGCTCATTCCTTCTTCTGAGTCCAAACCTGACCGTCACCTCTGTCCAAGTTAACAGTCTTTACACAGTCTTTCTTGCTGTGAGAACTCTTATTATGGAGCCCAGGCCTCCTACTGCCAGTGCCTGTGGGAAAGGAGAGAGGTTACAGCGTCACCACGCCCCACACAGAGCAAACACCCAAGAGTTCGGCCACAGAAGGGACTATGGCTCTTCTCCAAAGCTAGAAACTGTCATTCTCCACAGTCTAAGCAGCTTTTGGATCTCGAGGGCTCCAGTGTTGCAAGTCACTGACAGAGCAGAATGCCCACCTCCCTTATCCCTGAGGAGAGGAGGATGAGGAAGGGCTTGCTTCAGTTTCATTTGTGTCCCTCAATGAGAACAGTGTTTCCTTCTGAAGTCTAGAAGATGGAGGTGATTATGAAAAAAATATTTAAGCTGACTGCTGGAAGTGGGGCATTTACTTTGCAGCCACAGTCCAGCAGAGCACAGGGTATGAGAGCAGAGCGAGACGTGGCACTGGGGAACACGGCTGGACAAAGGCACAGCACCCACCTGGAGCAGGACTGGCAGGTAAACGCTGCTGAGCTCCCAGACCTGCCACAGAGGACAGACTGGTACTACCACTGAGCTGACTCTGCTCTGAGCAAGCCACATATCCTACCCGACTGCCACAAAGCAGAACACCAGGCTTTAAACCCTGCCTACCCAGACCCGCCTTGTTCCTTTCACAACAGAGAGGACGAGATGCCTTTCATGTCCCTGCACGCTCTGAGGACCAGTCAGGGTGGTGGTGTGTCACCTCCCACGCTGGGAGCACCACCCACGCTCACCTGAAAGCACCCTAATGGAAACAACAGGAAAAAAAGAGAAAAAAACCAAGCAGAAACATGTTCTTTGCTGTCTCAAGCAATTGCCTCCTCCTTGTCAAGGCTTGGCAAAGCTGGTGACAGCAGCAGTAGCTGGAGTCATGGTACACCAGCTTTATGTAGAGCAGGAAAAGCTCTGCACGTTGGGAAAAGGACAGCAGCTGCCCTGCACAGGGAGCTGCAGCATTCCCAGGGATCAGTTTTCCTTGGAGCACTGACAGCCAGGGCTCCAGCTGAAACCCCTGCAGTGGGGGCACATCTCACTGGGATTGCTGCCCGGGGGCAGGGGCACCCAGCAGCTGCTTCAGGGATGTGCCTCAGCCACCACAGACAGGGAGGGAGGCCCACAGGCAGCTGCTGAACACACCCCACGGTCCCTGTTTCACAGCTGACATTGCACAGAAACAAGAGGCCCCTGCTGGTCCCCAATGGAATCTCTGGAGACCTCAAAATCCTCTCCTGGGCGAACCAAACAGGTTTGCTGAAGCCTGTGACTCAGCTGACGCAAACTGCCAGCCTGAGCCCCCTGAGCTGGGCCCAGAGGAGGCTGCAGCTGCCCTGTCCCTCCCAGGACATCTCAAGGGCAGCTCGAGGCTTTCCCCTGCAGGGAGATCTCCCTGCCCTGTCCCCTCTCCCCACGGCAGAGGGTGAGGTTTGAAATACAGGCAAAGGCTTTGTGAACGCAGGCTCAGAGACCAAAGATGAAAGGAAACACCGAGCTCCTCAGGGATGAGGCCCTGCCACCACCTGCTTCTCTTCTCTCCTGAAAGCACTGGCCAGGACCCTGCGAGCGTGGCTGAGCCAAGAGTGCCCCCAGCACGTACCTTTTCATGCCACTGAAGTAATATTGCACTGCTGTTTTCTGTTGGCTTTTCAAATCCTTTATAAATGTACTTCATTAACAAATCAACACCGTTTCTGTCTAAGGAATTCACCGCTTGTTCTATTTCGCTGCTTTTAAAAGATGTGAGGACTTTAAGCATCGTTCCCTGGGCCTGCTCCTGGGAAGACAAGGCAAAGGGAGAAATGTGAGAACGAGAACAGCTGGGAACGATCCAAGACTCGTGTCTGGCAAGAGCCGGGCGCGCTCCAGGCTGGGTTATGTCTGTAAGGAGGTGAGCAGAGCTGGGGTCAGAGGAGGAAGGGGCAGGCGCGGGGGATGCCGGTGCCAGCCCGGGCTCACGGAGCGCAGCGGCGCCGCTCGGGCGCGTGCCCGCAGCCCTGCCCGGCCCTACCTTCATGGCCTGGCTCCTGGTGTTGCCCGGGGAGCTGCGGATGGCCGTGTGGAAGGCCCGCAGCGCCTCGCCTGTGCGGCGGCGGTCAAGGACTCAAACCGGGACGTGCGGGACGCGCAGCGCGGCCCCGGCCCGAGCGCGATCGCGGCCGCTGCCCGGCGCTCCCGGCCCCCCCGGCCCAAAGGATATTGCCTGAGCAGCGCTTCCACCTCGGGGCTGGCATCGGGCTCGGCCGCCGCCGCCTCCTCGGGCTCCTCCACGAAGCGGTTCTCGTCGTACTGGTCGATGTCGAGGCGGCGGAAGCGGGACGAGAGCGTGCTCCGCGCCATCCCCGCGCCCGGCCCGGCCCGCCGGAAACGGCGCCGGCCCCGCCGGAAGCGGAACCCGCGCGGCCGCCGCGCCCCGCCCCGCCCCGGCCCGCGCGCCCCGCCACAAAAACACAACAGAGCCTGGGAAAAATCCGAACAATGACTTTAATGTACAAATCCCGTCGCTGCGGCAGTTCGCGGGTTTAATCGGGGTCCCGAGGCAAACGGAACGAACCGGGGACGGGGAACGGCCCTTGGACCGCTTTACTGGGATCCACGGAACGCTCGGAAAAGGCTGGCTCGGTCCTGCGCCGTGAGCGCAGCACGGGCAGCCCCGGCCCCGCCGCGCACCGGGCACTGACTTTGCTGCTGAAATCTCTTTAAACTTACCAAAAACAAAAAGCTGAACAAGAGGGCGGCCCGAGCGGCTCCCGCAGCGTGGTGGTTAAAGGAATCGGTTCATCTAACCCAGGACTAGGCGAGGACTACATGCAGTAGTACAAATCTCAAGGACATATTACAAATACTCTGAAATTAATCTAGGGCTGGGGAAAAAAACTTGCTACAGACACCATAATACACAATAAATTTAGATAATTTAAAAATAAAAAAGGCAAGAGGCAGCATTTCAGCAGCAAAGTGCTCAATAAAAAGTATATTGTAAAGGGGCAGGACAGGGAGAGGTGACAGCAGGCGGGCAGGGCTCAGAGGAAGTACGGCGTGGTTGTCCTGGGAGGAATGACACGCTCTGAGTCTGGAACTGCGCGGAATAACTTTGGTTCTCTTGTATTTACATCTTTAAAGACCATGATGGACGCGATGTTCCCGCAGCGGTAGCAGTAGTTGGGAGCTGACCATACCGTTACCAACTTCTCATCAAACATGAATTTGTATCCTTCGTGGACGAGCTGGTGCGCTCTGCAGATCAGCTTCAGGTTGTTGATGTGAACAAACTGCAAGGGAAGGGGGAAGGTGAGCTCAGCGTGGCCCCAGCACGTGCTGCTCCTGGGCTGGCCCCACAGCAGGACAGAGAGCACAGCAGGGCTGGGGACCCAGCACTGAGACACCCTGGGGCGTACAGGTGGGACCACCCGAGCACTGGGAACAGCTGACACCCAGGCAGCAGGGCTGGGCTGTCCCTGGCTGAGCCCTTCCTGACCGTGCTGTGCCAGGGCCACAGGACAGCACAGGCTGAGCCTGGCCAGGCCACTGTGTAGAGCCCTGAGGAGTCTGCTCAGTGCAGACACAACAAAATTAACTCAAAAATTGCTTTAAAAAGGGTTTTTTTCTCCTAGATCCTTAGGAAACCATTCCACGCAGAGCCCAGGGACACTAGTGAGTCCCACCACATCACACTTTTCAAAAGCAAGATGGGTATTAGTGCATCTGGCAGTTACATTTGTGCTTTTAGGTTCAAGTGGCTCATTTTTCCAGCTGGCACAAGCCAAGCTTCTCCACCAGACCACCACGAGTTACTGGCAGAGGTGTGACAGGGCAGTTCAGTGCCCTGCACTGCCCTTGCTCCACCCAAACCCCACGCTGGGCTGCGTGGCCCTGAGCAGAGTTACCTCGTTGGTGACCTTGGCCCCGAAGAGCCAGCCTGCCCCACGGGGGCTGATGGCCCACGTGTCCACGTCCTCGGGGTCTGACCACACCAGGTCGCAGAAGGCGCCTTTGTGAGGGATCTCCTGGTTGCGCTCGATGGTCCGGATCTGGTCCAGGGTCTTGATGTCTGGGGAGAGGCCCCCATGCACACACAGGATCTGCTCGTCTATCAACTGCAGGGGAAGGACACGAGCACCTCAGCATGGCTGCCAGGGGAGCCCCAGCCCACAGCTCCCACCAGGACAATGTGTGAGCGTGGTGTTTGCACTTACAGCTGCTATTGTGAGCATGTCAAACACTTTGGTGCAGTATCTCCAGGCGTTTGCGTTCCCGTATTTGGTTTGGCACTCGTCTGTTGGAGAGAACAGTTTTATCCCTTGTGGATCAGAGGAAACAGGAAGAGCAAACACTGACAGCAGAAGCTGCACACCCAGGTGTGCCACACGAGCCCTTCCAGGAGCCCTGTGCTGGGTCCTGCTGCTGGCCAGGACCAGCTCCAGCAGCAGGAGGGACCGAGCACCTCCTGCTCTGCCTGTGCCTGAACGTGGCACCAGAGCACAAGCAGGAACCCCAGGTGCCAGAGGAAACGAGCAGCAAGATCTGCCTTAAACACATTCCATTTCAGAAACACAGTGACCTTGTTACCAAAGGACAGCCCTGGAACCCGTGTGCCCCCCACCCCCCTGGGCACCTTTGCCAGGGTTTCCCGAGGCAGAGGAGCTGCAGGCACAGGCAGCACTCACCATAGAACCCGTACACCTGGGTGATCTGCCTGCTCTCGTGGTTGCCTCGCAGCAGCGTGATACGGTCAGGCCATTTGGCTTTTAGTGCAAGGAGGTACGTGAACGTCTCGAGGCTGTAATACCCCCGGTCTACAAAGTCCCCCTGAAGGCAGAGACAGCCGCACATGGAGAAAGGGCACAGTGACACATCCGCTCCCCATCCTCCCTGCCGCAAAGGAACCCAGCGCTGGAGGGCACCGGCACCTGCTGGGACCCGCGGCGGCTCCGGGCACTGGAGTGTCAGCTGTGGGCCGGGCACTCCCCTCTCCGCTGTCCTGACATGACCCCGGGACACGCGGGCAGGGCAGGGCAGGGCAGGGCAGGGCGCTCTGCCTCACCCCGCGGGGCTCCCGGCAGTACAACCGGCGGGCAGGAGCCAACACCGGCGCCGGGCGGGGCCCGGGGCTCGGGAGCCCCTCGGGGTTTCAGCCCCTGTCAAACCCGGCGGGGCCGCGCCCGGCGCACCTACCATGAAGATGTAGTTGGTGTCGGGGACCTGCCCGCCGGTCCGGAACAGCTCGCACAGGTCATAGAACTGCGGGGGGAGAGAGGCGTGAGAGGCACCGGGCATCGGCACCGACCCCGGCCCGGGGCTGCACCGGGAGCGGCCCGGCCCGGCCTTACCTGCCCGTGGATGTCCCCGCAGACGGTGACGGGCGTAGACACGGGCTGGACGTTGGACTCCTCCAGCAGCAGGTCACAGACGTAGTCACAGAGGCGCTGCGGGACGGAGCGGGGCAGGGTCGGGGTCAGCGCCGGGACCACCGGCACCGCCCGCTCCGGCCCGCCCGGCAGCGCCCACCCCGGCCCCGGCCCGCCCCGGCCGGTCCCGGCCCCGCCGCCGCGGCCGCACCTTGAGGTCGTTCTCGGGCAGGTACTTGCAGAGCCGCGCGATCTCCACGTACTTGTCCAGGTCCAGCGGCGCCATCTTGGCACGGGTCGGGCAGAAGCGGGCCCCCCCCCGCCACTTCCGGGCGGCGGAGCGCGCCGCCGGCGCGGGCGGAAGCGCAGGGCACTTCCGGCGGCACTTCCGGCCGGCCGGCCCGGCAGCGGCCCCGCCGCCATGGCGCCGCGGGCGCTGCCGCTGCTGCAGCCGGGGCGGCGGCCGCGCCCGGGACGGTGGTGAGCGCGGCGGGGGCGCCGGCGGCACGGCGCCGGGCGGGCGGGGGCGGTGGGGGGATAGCGATGAGCGGGGCGGCGGGACCGGCGGGAGCCCGGGCCGGCCCAGCCCGCGCTGAGCGCCGCCCTCGCCCCGCAGGTACCGGCTGAGCCCGCGCGGGGAGCGGCCCCGCGGCCGCGTGGGACTCGGCTGCCTCCTCCTGCCCGGCCGCGTCCTGCTGCTGGGCGGTGCCGACCCCGCCGGGGCCTTCGCGGACGCGCATTTCGTGGAGCTGGGTGAGGGCCGGGGCGGGGCGGGGACCGGGACCGGGACCGGGACACCGGGACCGATCGCCTGTCCCCGTCCACAGCCCCGCTGCGCTGGATCCCCGCCGGCTGGCGCGGACTGAGGCCGCGCTACGAGCACGCCACCGTGCTGCCCGCCGCTGGCCCCCCGCGCCTCTGGGTGTTCGGCGGAGCGCACCCCGCCGGGAACCGCGGCTGCGTTCAGGTGCTGGACCCCGGTGAGTGCCCCGGGCCGCGGGACGGGCCCGGCCTCCGTGCCCGTGTTGGTTGCTCGGTTAATCGACTGTCTTAACCAGAAATAGGAACGTGGGAGAGCCCTGCGGTGAGGGGGGAGCAGCCGCAGCCTCGGACATTCCACACGTCCTCGGCGGCCATCGGGGCCCGGCTCTTCGTGTTCGGGGGTGGGGACAAGGGAGCGGAGCCGGTGAAGGACCAGCGGCTGCACGTGTTCGACACAGGTACCTCCCGCTGGGGCACGGGGGCGCTGCCTTGGGGTGTAGCCAGAGGGCTGGAATTGCTGAGCTCTGCTTGGAGTTCAGACATGGGATGGGTGGCTGTTCCTCTCTTGACAGGCCCTTGTGTTCGTGTGCTCACTGGGAATTCAGACCCCGGCTTGGATGGGAAGCCTCGGCAGGGCTCTGGGGTTGTTGGTCTGTAGAATTTCCAGAGTTTTGTTCCTAATGCCCATGTGCTCCCATTTTTAGCCACCCTGGCCTGGTCCCAGCCAGAGACTCATGGTGATCCCCCTTCCCCTCGGCACGGACACGCCGTGGTTGCAGTTGGGACCAAACTCTTCATCCACGGAGGTTTAGCTGGAGATGTTTTTTACAATGACCTGTTCTGCATCGACACAAGTAAGTGTGGATGGAGGTACAGCAGGGCAGTACCTGTGAGCTGTGCTTTGACTGGGGGGACGTTTTTTCTGAAATACTAGTTCTTAAGTGCTTAAAGCATTACCTTGTTTAAATCAACAAACTGCATGGGGTTTGTGTAATGCATAACCCTGGAAATGTTGTTTCCTGCACCAGATGACATGAGATGGGAGAAGATCCCAGCCACTGGGGACGTCCCTGGAGGAAGGGCATCCCACTCCTCGGCAGCATTCCAGGAGCACTTGTACATTTTTGGTGGAATAGGTCCAGATGGGACACTGGATACTACGTACAAGTATCACACAGGTAGGGAGCTGCTCTCAGGGTGCCAGGGAAGATGCCAGGCAGCTGGGGAACACGTTACCTGCTCAAGCCCTGGAGTTGCAGCACTGCAGGACTGAATGCATGGTGTCACTGCCTGGTGTGTGATGTTTAAGCTGTGACTGTATCTTTGCACTGCAGGAAGGCAGCACTGGACACTCCTGCAGTTTGAGTCTCCCCTGCCCAGCGGGAGGCTGGACCACGCCATGTGTGTCATTCCCTGGCAGGCTGGGGCACACGGGGACACAGGAGGGTCCCCGGCTGGGACAGAGCCCCCTGTGGCAGCAGCTGACAGAGCTGAGCCCCTGCAGCGGGGCCTGCGAGAGGGCTGTGCTGCAGACGCCTCTGTCCATCTGCTGTTCGTGTTTGGGGGCATGGACACCCAGGGGCACATACACAGGGACTGCCTGGTCACCCTCATTGAGTAGAGTCCCCACAGCCCCAGCCTCATCCCCTGGGGCTACTTGTGCCCCCTAAACGTGTCCTTACCCTTGGGGACAGGGGCTCTGCCTGAGCAGGGTCCTGCTGCAGCCCCAGCCCAGGGAACATGGCAGGAGCCAGCTCTGCTCTGCTGGAGCTGGCACCAGACAAGGTCATTCTGGACTCAACTAATCCCATGGATTGGATAAGGATCAGTTAAATAAAGAGACCAAATTTCAATTAGGCTTCTTTTTTTCTAAGAACCTTTATTAGGTGTAAACTACTTTTCACTGTTGAGAAAACTGGTCTGTTTCATATGACGCTTTATTAAAAGCTCTTAAGTTTTAATACTGCAGGAAAACATAATTAAGCCAAGCTCCTCCCTCACTGCTGGGCACCACCACTAGAGCCTGCAATGTGCTCTGGTGGCTAACCTCCCTCTCTCAGCTCAATAAAAGCTGCCCCTTCAGCAGTTACTCAGGCTTGATCCCCCCTTCCTTATCAGGATCTGTTGTGAAACTGAAGTGAGGTCCAAGTCCACCCTCTCCCGTCAGAAACTGAACCCCAGTTCACCTCAAGGCAACAGAGGCCCAGCTCCTGCTTTCAAACCTCCCACTCTCCAGGAGCACATGAAAGGTGACCTTGAGAAAGTGAGCTGCACTCCATCCTTCAGGGTTAATCCAGATCCTGGCTGGAGCTGGGTCACGGACATCACAGAACCAGAACAGAGTCCAGTGTAAATAACAAATTTATTGTGGTCACTCCAGGTAGAAAAGCTCTACACCAAGTTCACATGACCAGGTTGTTAAATAGAATGTTCCACTGCCAATACTTCTAAACCCACATTTACACTCCCACCCCGCTCCCCTCCCCAGACATCGAGCAACTGCTAACGAAAAGCAGGATACAGCCACGTCGGGCTAGCGGTTCCAGCTCCACTCACGAGTGAAGATTCAAAGTTACATTCCAAATTAAGAGTTCAATATTTTAAACAAGTGTTCCTGAGTCCAATATATACACACACCACATTCGGGGACACCGGTATCTACAACTCGTCCTTCTCTGCCGCCTCCTCCTCGCCGGGCGGGGGGCCAGCGCTGCCGTACAGCTTGCTCACAATGGGCTGAACCACCTCCTCCAGCTCCTTCTTTTGTGCTTTGAAGTCTTCTATGTCCCCATCCTGATGGCTTTCCAGCCACTCGATCTTTTCCTCCACTGCTTTCTCTATTGTTTCCTTGTCCTCAGAGGACAGCTTCCCACCCAGCTTCTCCTTGTCCCCAATCTGGTTCTTCAGGGAATAGGCGTAGCTTTCCAGCTCATTCCGGGCATCGATGCGCTCCTTCAGCTTCTTGTCTTCCTCGGCAAACTTCTCAGCATCGTTGACCATCCTCTCGATCTCCTCTGGTGTCAGCCTGTTCTGGTCGTTGGTGATGGTGATCTTGTTCTTGTTGCCGGTGCCCTTGTCCTCGGCCGTGACACGGAGGATCCCGTTCACGTCGATCTCAAAGGTGACCTCGATCTGGGGCACACCACGAGGGGCAGGAGGGATTCCCGTCAGATCAAAGGTGCCCAGGAGATGGTTGTCCTTGGTCAGGGGACGCTCACCTGCAACACACAATGACACAGGGTTACTGTCTTGCCTAGCTGTGGCCTGTACTTTGTGAAACCGTGAGCGACACAGTTCCGTGAACAAAGTACCTACAGCCTTTGTGACAATCAGGAACAAGAATGAAAACCCTACAGCAGATTCCAGCTGTCACATGGGCCACCACAGCTGACACCCACCTTCATAGACCTTGATGGTCACAGTTGGCTGGTTGTCAGAAGCTGTGGAGAAGATCTGAGACTTCTTGGTGGGAACAACGGTGTTTCTTGGGATCAGCTTGGTCATGACACCTCCAACGGTCTCAATGCCAAGAGTCAGGGGACAGACATCGAGCAAGACCAAGTCACCTGGAACAGATCAAAGGCAAGACTGTGACACAACTTCAACACGAATCACAATGCTGCAGACAGGATCCTGAGGCCTCAGGGGCACAGAACTCCAAGGACTGGAAGAGATCCAAGTTTGTCTGCATTTGCTTGTCAATGCCCAACATCCACTGTTGAGTCAACTCTTGGGTGGCAGTGAAGGTGCCATTACCTGTATCCTGGTCCCCAGAGAGCACTCCAGCCTGCACAGCTGCGCCGTAGGCCACAGCCTCGTCTGGGTTAATGCCACGAGAAGGCTCCTTCCCATTGAAGAACTCTTTAACGAGCTGCTGGATCTTGGGGATGCGAGTTGATCCACCAACCAAGACAATCTCATCAATATCAGACTTCTTCAGGTCAGAATCTTCCAGGACTTTCTGAACAGGCTTCATAGTGGAACGGAACAGGTCCTGCAGAGACAAAACCCCAAGGATTGTGAGACTGTATTCCCAGCACGCCCCATTGTGCAGCCCCAGGGGTACAAGGTACAACCACTACAGAGCAGAGATGCCAAACTGAGGCCCAACTCCCTGGCAGGAACAGCTGCCTGCTTACACAGAGTTATTTATACTCCAAAGTGCAGTGTCACAGCATGAGATGCTGCACATTCTCCAGTCCCAATCCAAAGCTGAGGCTCTGTAACTTTACCTTTCTAAACTTACCATGTTCAGCTCCTCAAACTTGGCTCGAGTGAGTGTCTCCGAAAAATCCTCTCCTTCAAAGAAGGACTCTATTTCAATCCTGGCCTGGTGCTGAGATGACAAAGCTCTCTTGGCCTTCTCCACCTCCCGTCTCAGCTTCTGCACAGCTCTGTTGTCCTTCCTAACATCCTTGCCAGTTTTCTTCTTGTAGAGCTTGATGAAGTGCTCCATAACACGCTGGTCAAAGTCTTCTCCACCCAGGTGAGTGTCTCCATTAGTAGCCACAACTTCAAAGACTCCGTTGTCAATTGTGAGGAGGGACACATCAAAAGTTCCACCGCCCAGGTCGAATACAAGGATGTTCTTCTCTCCCTCTCTCTTGTCCAGTCCATAAGCAATGGCAGCAGCTGTTCTGTAGAGGGAACAGGCTGTCAGGGCTGGGGGTGGCAGCCCACAGCTCCCCTGGGGCAGGACAAGGTGGGCTACTCACGGCTCGTTGATGATGCGCATCACGTTGAGCCCCGCGATGGTGCCCGCGTCCTTGGTGGCCTGGCGCTGGGCATCGTTGAAGTAGGCTGGCACCGTGACAACAGCGTGGGTCACCTGAGCAGGGAGGGACAGCTTTGTTACAGTCTGTGAGCAGTACCAGCCACTCTGAGCACTGCTGGAACAAGCAGCCCGTCCTCAGAGATGAAGAGCCAGCAGCACGGACTGGTTTGGGATGGCAAGGTCAGTCCTGGCTCAGCCTACCCTTCTCCCATTTCCTAAAGCTGCTAATCCAAGTTGTTACCAGTGTTTCCTGTGCACTTACTTTCTTCCCCAAGTAAGCCTCTGCTGTTTCCTTCATCTTCGTCAGGACCATTGCAGAAATTTCTTCAGGAGCAAATGTTTTTGTCTGTCCACCTCCAACATCAACCTGAATGTGGGGCTTGGCTTTCTTCTCAACTACCTGAGGAGAACAAAGGATACTGTCTCATTCAACCGTTCTAAACTGTTCCTATGGTTCTTTCTAAAAATCAAGCCAAAGCCTATGACAGGCATAACTTTAGTGCAGCTAACTCCAGGAACGGTTTTTTACACACCAATCCTCCCATGGGGCACTGTGAGCAGATGCCTCTTCTGACCCGAATTGCAGTCCTCCCCTCCAGCCCCCCTGCCTCTGCACTCGGGGCCCACCTTGAAGGGCAGGTACTTGATGTCCTGCTGCACGGAGGGGTCATTCCACGTGCGGCCGATGAGCCGCTTGGCATCGAATACGGTGTTCTCCGGGTTGGACGTGAGCTGGTTCTTGGCAGCATCCCCGATCAGGCGCTCCCCCTCGGGGGTGAAGGCCACGTAGGACGGCGTGATGCGGTTCCCCTGGTCATTGGCGATGATTTCCACGCGCCCGTTCTTGAAGACGCCCACGCTGGGGTTGGGGGGGAACGGAACGGTCAGGCGGGGCCGCGGCCTGCACACATTCCCCCCCCCTCGCCTCCCCTTGTGCTCCTCCCCGCGCCCTCCCGGGCCCGCAGGCGCTTCCCGCGGCTCCTGCAGGCCCTGCCCGCCCAGAAGGGCCCGGCCGCCCCCCGTGCCCGTCCCCACGCACCAGGAGTAGGTGGTGCCCAGGTCGATGCCCACCACCGTGCCCACGTCCTCCTTCTTCTCCTCGTCGTCCGCCCAGACGGCGCCCAGCGCCAGCAGCGTCAGCAGCAGAAGCCTCATCGCGACCGCTCACCTGCGCCCACCTACCGAGAGGCCGCCGGTTACACAACGGAGGCGCCACGTGCGTGGCCGCCCCGCTCACCCCTCCCCGCGACCACCCAGCCCCCGCCGTGCGGAATCACCCCCGGTCCCCTCCCCATCTCTCCGTGTCCCCAACCGCCATCCCCCCCGCAGCGGCCCAGCCCCGTGCGGCCCTCACCGCGCCCGGCGCTCACCGTACAGAAACGCCGCGCCCCGATCTCCGCTGAGCCGCCAGGCCGCGCCGCCCGCCCTTTTATACCTTCCGTTACCCCTTCGTGGAGCCTCTCCATTGGCTGCCGCGCCCTCGCTGGAGCCTCTCCATTGGCCGGCTGCTACCAAGCTGGCCTCCCGCGATTGGCGAGCACCGCGCGGCCGCTCCGCCGCGCCCGGCGCGCCCCCCTCGCGCCGCCCTATTGGTTCCACCCGCCGGCCGCGGCCACAGAGAAGCGTGAGCCAAGCGGAGCGTCCCCATTGGCTGGGCGGGACCACGGCCGCGGAGTGGGGGGGCACTTCTGGAAGTTTCCATGGTTACCGGCCGGGGGAGATAACCCGCCGGTAGGGGTGGACGCCGACGCTCCCGGGGGCACCGGGGGTACGGGCGGCACCGGGGCACTGCCGGGAGGGAGGCGCGGGGAGGTTGGAGCCGAGCCGGCATCATGGCCGGGCCGTGCGGGGTCTCTAGGCACAGCCCCCCCCCGCCGGGGATGAGCTGACACGCGTGTGCCCAGCGCCCCGAGGCGACACCGGGACCCGTCCCCGGGCGGCCGCTGCCCGCCCCGCCGCTGCCAGCAGGTCGCGAGGCCCCGCCATGTCGCGACACCGAGTCCCGCACGCACAAGCCGGGGCCGGGCGGAGCCGGGGCTGACAGCGGAGCGAAGCTCCAGGAGCGGTCCCGGCTCCGCCCGGCCCTCGGCCCGCTCCGCCTCGCCCCGGCCCCGCTGCCGGTGCCGGCCCCGGGACTACAAGTCCCAGGAGCGCCGTCGCCGCCTGCGCAGTGCCGCGCCCGCCCGGGCCGCAGCGGGAGCCGCCGGGGCGCTGGCCGGGTAGGGACACGCTCGAATCCCGCGACAGCGCTCGGCTTCCTCCCCCGAGGAGGAGGAGGGAGAGGAGGAGGGAGCGGTGGGAGGAGGAGGAAGGCCCGGGGCCTGACAAAACGCTTTGGTTTTTCCAGGGCAGCGAGAGGGAAGGCGGGCAGCCGAGCAGAGACGGAGCCGCGGAGGGTATGTCGGGTGGGTCTATCGCGATAGGGCGCCGGGAGGCGGCGGAGCGGCGCGGGGCCGGCGGCAGAAGTTGTCGGTGCGGTTTGCCGGGGCTCCTCCGTGCCCTGCTCCCCGGGCCAGCCCTGCCCTGCCCGCCCGGCCGCTCCGGGCACCGCGCTCCGCCGCGGGGGCACTCGCGGGACCGGAGCCCTCGGAGCGGGGCCCTCGCGGCGCCGGGAGCCGCTCGCGCCGCCGCTCCTGCGGGGCTTTGTGTCGGGCAGGTTTAAAACTTGAAACTTGACCGGTGCCGTGACTTCCCCTTTTGGTCCCTCGCAGACCCCCGGGGCTGGAGAGCTCCGTGCGGGCTGTATCGGGGTTTTTCTTGCAAAGTCATGATACCGCGCTCTGAGAGCTGTTGGGATGGAGCTCTCGGAGCGGGCATGTGACACTTCACTCGCTGATAGGTAAAGTGCTGTTTTGGCGGACGATGCAGCTCACTCGCGAGCAGAAGCTGCAGTTTGGAGAGGATTGAGGGGAAATGGCAGGGGCAGTCCATGAAATCTGAAATATTCTGCAAAAGCAGCAGGATGGTGGCTTTAGGAAACACTTTCAACTGCTGCAGCTGAGGAGGGTTCAGAATTGTTTAAGGTGCTCAACGCCCGGATTTTGATGTGATATTTGTCAGATAATGGAGAATATACTCTCCTCAGTGGCATCTGCCCTTCCTTGCAGATGGGAAGGGAGCTGCTCTCAGGAGAACAGGTTGGTTTTGTCAGTTTGTGCATCTTCAAGTTCTGCACTTGTTCTGGCTGAAAGTTTATTAGTGTGATCCTCACCTGAAGGGAACTCCGCTTTCTGGCATCACAAGCAACTGGAAGAGATTTTAGCATGGTTATGTGCTTTTGCTGATTTTATTTAACATGGCAATGCCATAATAGATGGCATTGGCAGTGCCATAATTTATTAACCAGCTGATCCTGTCCTTTACTGATGAGTTCTGTTATGGGGCACGAGAAATAAGGTTCTCCTCACACGTGGATATGGACAGTGTGTCCAGGGTGACCTGAGAGCAGCCTCTGGGCAGAAACAAAGGGAGGGGATGAGTTTCTTATTAATGACAGTTAGACAGTGGACCTGCATTTTGTGTGTCACACACGTGTTTGAGCTGGTGGGTGCTGTAATGTGAGGGTTCAGCAGTGAGCCCTGGGTCGTGGTGAACCATGCTGCTGGAAAAGGGCTCTGCTAGGGGAGATGGGCAGTTAGCTTGTGTTGAGAAAAAAGGCTTGTGAGAAGCTACTGTAAGTATTAATGAGGAAGGGGGTACTTCATCTGGGCTGAATTAGCTTGGAAGCCATTCAGGCTTGCTTGGGAGTTATTTTTCAGCAGGATGGAGGGATTTTGCCTTGCCCTGCCCTGCCTATGTTAGATGTGCCCAAACTTGCTCTGGAAGTTGAGTTTGCATAGTGAGACTCAGGAGGAGCAAGTAACCCTGAGCAGGAAACGCAGGAGGAGGAAGGAGGATCTGGTGTACCAGCAGAGTTCACCACTTTACCTAATCTCTTTTCTGTCACTGAATCACAGAAACATGCAAGAGAGATGTGTGTTCCTGTATGCCACGGGACAAACCCATGACGTTGTGAGGTGGAGTTCAGCACCTGAAGATTCAATGTCATGAGTGGGAAACAATCTGTGTCCTGTGTTCATCAAAGGACAGGCTGCCTCGGGTTCTGAACAAATGTGTGCTGCCAGCAGGGCAAGGCATCTGGGATGCTGTCAGGTCATGCAGCCTTTGTTGTTGATATGTGGAGCATCATGAAGGGAAATTGTCTGAGTTGTTGTGCTAAGCTGCTCTTACTGTGTCACAGTTACTTGCAGGTTCCTGAGCGGTCTTGAAATAGCTGACAGAAAATGGAAATGTTTCCATATCAACATGAAATCCCAGGATTGAAAAGTAATCTACACATAGCACAATTTTACATATCTGTTGTTCCTTCAGCCACAGCAGGCTGTTGGATATCTAAATATCCTATAGTGACTCCTTTATATAGCTGTGTACAGATACCTGCTATTTCAGGTGTTGTGCATGGTATCATAAACCAGATTGCTGGGTAATTACAGGCACCTTTTTGTTTATGAGCAGCTGATAAGGTAATCTGGCAAAGGAGGAATCAGCAGAGGCTCTGCTCTGGAGCTGTTCCATGGTGTGTCACTGAGTGTGGCTGTGGCCAAGTGCTCTGGAGTGCACTTTGTGGAGCCTGGTCAGAGGATGCAGCTGCTGTCTTTGTTCTGCTGCAAAGGGAAGAGGTTTTGGGGAGGAGCAGTGTGTGTCAGGTAGGTGTGTTAGTGGTACAATAACTTGTTCTTTCAGGACAAGCTGTGTGGGTAATAGCAGTGTCTGAAGAGAGGAGTAGAGTGTGCATCTTGCCCAGCTGGGTTTTTGGGTGTTCTTCCCTGAGCCTTGCTGAAGTGCATTGTGTGTTAAACTGCTGCTTTACATCCCTGCTGTTCCCAGGTCTGCCAGGGACCTCAGGTGGAGACAGAGCTGTTTGTGCCCTTGCTTGCTGTGCATCTGTGGCTTCAGAACAATTCATTTAAAAGCTAGTGGAAGGCAGTGATGAGGTGCTTCTCTGCACAGAGCTGGATCTCAGCAACAACCCTTGCAGCTGAGCCACTTTGATTTTTATGGAGGTTCCCAGGCTGGGGAAGCTGCTGATCCACTTTTCTTGTACATAGGGTGAAAGCTGCTGTCATGCAGCTGTCCTGTGGACTGACACAAAATCCTGTGGATTTTCACAGCTCTTGACAAGGCAGTGGCACACAGTAACCTGCTGTGCTCAGTTCTGAATCAATTCTGCTCTGGCTTTCGTTATTTCTGCTGTTCTGCAGCAGAGGCAGATAAGACACACACGTGGGTAGTGGCCGACTGATGGGGTGTTATCAGGTAGTCACAGGACCAGTATATTTAGCAGCACAGATGCAGCTAAGGGCGCTCTCAGAGCCTTGTTTTGGGCCTGGAGTTCAGAGAGGCAATTAGTTTTAAAGGAGAAGTCAGAATGCACAGCAGTTGGCAACTTCCCACAGCCTCTCAGGGCCTCAGTGTCTGCTCTTCGTGAGGAGGTGCCCAAGTTGTTCCTCTGTGGGTGCTCACCTCACCTTCCAGCAGGGAGGGGTGTCTGCTGTCACTCTGTTTCAGCTGACATCACAAGCAGTACAGTGCAGGAGTCTGAGCTCTTTTTGCTGGGCAGGTGGGTTAATGTGTGTGTCCCATCTCTGCACTCTGTGGATCTGTGTGGACTTCTGCTGACAGGGCTTGTGGAGCTTGCTCTGACCCGTGGGCAGAGGAGGAAGGAGCACAGCATCTTCCTCAGAGGCTTCTTAGGGAGCTTTGCCCATCCCTGTGCTGGAAACATCTTCTCTAACAAACAAAACCAGAAAAAGACCCTAAGTGAAATCAGGAGAAATTGCTTGTTAGTGTAGGAAACACCTCAGGATTTGTTTAATCAGCTTGGCTGCTCTTAAATGGGTTTGTAACCAGTGACACAAAAATAGAGACTTGTTTTGAAATTTGGCAAAGCAAAGGACTGTAGGCAGGGGCTACAGGCTGCTCCTAGGGGTACTCCGTGTGGGTCTCCTCTTCCTTCCCAAACTTGCTTAGAAGCAGGAGATCCACTTGGAGTGACTTTCTGTCGAGGAAAGTGGGGACTGTGGGTTGACACCTGAAAGTGGAAAATGCCAACAAAAACTGTTCATTTTGATCAAATATGAGCAGCTCTTGAGCACAGCCCTACAGTGGGAAGCTCTGAAAAGGCAGAAGGCAGCTCTGCAGGTCTTGCTTGTGTGTGCTTTTATGGCTTCACCTTCTTTTTGCAGGCTGATAGCACTGTCTCACAGCCTAAAGACTGGTTTCTATTGTGTTTGCAGGCAGTAGCAAGTTTACTGCTGGTTTGTTGTTTTGTTTTTTTTTTTGCAAGCTCTTAAATTCTGAGACTAAAAATAAATTTGTTGCAAGAAGTTATTATTTGTTTCACAAAGAACTTTGGCAGCAACAGCAATGTTTCTTCTTCTAATCATTTCTCTGAGACTGTCCCAGTTAAAAACATCTGAATTAGCACATCTCTCAAGTTCCTGTCGTAATCTCATTTTTGGATGCATCAGCTGTAGCCTCTGGTTAGGGTTGCTGAATTTGGTTTGGGGTCTTTTTGAGTTTGGGGTTTTTTTAAAGAGCTTTATACCCAGTTTTCTGTGTTTGCTAGGAATGGCCTTTAAACCTTGGGGTGTAATAAAATTGCAATTTTTTTAACGCATTGTGACAGCTTCTCTGTTCATATCTGCCTGGCTTCTGGTTGTGAGGTTAAAACTATAGATGAAAGGACTTAATTACAGAAGGAGCAGTGATGGCTGTCAGTGCACCTGGTTGTCAGGCTGCAGAAACCCAGCAAATGGGACACCTGTGCCTAATGAGGGAGCTAATCTGCATTCTTCAGTGAGGATCACCTCCTGCTCTGCTGAGCAGTGAAACAGATCTTTAAAACACTGCCAGAGGAGAGCACTGGGCCAGCACGTGGTATTCCAGCACATTATTTGTAGTTTCTCAAGCATGGTCTGAAGGGGTTTGTGAAGCAAGGCTTGTCCAGAGTCACTGCAGGTTGTGGGAAATAAGTTTTTGTTTTGACTGTAGTATTGCTTTGAAGGGAGCCCTGTGACATCTCCATTACTGATACATGTAACATGTATATTGTGGTCTGTTACAGGTGAAATCTGTCTCAATCCCTGTCCTTCCCAAATTAGCTGCTGTGGCCGTTAGTTCTAGTGGGGAAGACATGAAGCAGTTATCATCAATTCTGAGATCCCAGCACCCAGGTCCTTGGGTAGTGCTGGGTTGTGTGGATGGGCTTTGGGGTGAAGGACAGTGAGTGGGAATGGGGGCTGGTCTCCATCTCCCTGAACTTGTGTCACCTGAGCTGTGGCCACGTGTCCCCAGGTAAGGCCAGGTGCACCTGAGGTGTGGTCAGGGCTGTGGCAGGGCTGTGCTCTGTTCCTGCTCACCAGGGCAAGCTGAAAATACCTTCAGCTTCTGTGCCGGTGTCCCTCCCTGCTGTGTGCCAGACAAGGGAGCAGCGCTTGGGAACCTCCATTGAGAGCATGCCTCAGCAGGGTGGGATTGAGGAGGGCACAGCAGCGTGCCCTGCCCCGGTGAGCCCGTGCCCACTGCAGGGCTGGCAGGGCTGACCCTCGCTGCTCTGTGTGCCAGGGCTGGGGCACCATGGTGAAGCTGGACATCCACACGCTGGCCCACCACCTGAAGCAGGAGCGGCTGTACGTGAGCTCGGAGAAGGCGCTGATCCAGCGCCTCAACGCCGACGTGCTGAAGACGGCGGAGCGGCTCTACCGCACGGCCTGGATCTCCAAACAGCAGCGCATCAACCTGGACAGGCTCATCATCACCAGGTACTGCCCACCCTCTGCCAGCCCTCGCAGCCTGCAGGCCCTGCTGTGCTGGCTAGCAAAGTGGGGCTGTAAGCCAAACCTCAGCTGGGGAATCTCACACCAAAAGGCACTTGTTGGCAGTTGAAGCAATTGGCTTTTTAATACCCGTCTTAGTTTTGCTTCTGTTCATGAGAGCAAGCTATCCAGAATTTGAAATCATTTGTAGTAACTATCTGGAAAGACTTTTTGCTCTGTGGCAGCCTGGTTTATAGACAGATCACATGGTGTCTCTTAGCAAGTTTGTTTACTTAAGAGTTACTTAAAGTGTTTCAATGTTTTTCTTTAAAGTGCTGAAGCTTCTCCCGCTGAATGTTGCCAGCACGCAAAAATCTTGGAGGACACGCAGTTTGTGGATGGGTACAAGCAGCTGGGATTCCAGGAGACTGCTTACGGAGAATTCCTGAACAGACTGAGAGAGAACCCCAGGCTGATTGCGTCCTGCCTGGTTGCTGGAGAGAAGCTCAACCAGGACAACACCCAGAGTGTCATTCACACAGTGTTCACCTCCATCTACGGCAACTGCATCATGCAGGAGGACGAGAGTTACCTGCTGCAGGTGCTGCGGTACCTGATCGAGTTTGAGCTGAAGGAAAGCGACAACCCCAGGCGGCTGCTGAGGCGGGGCACCTGTGCCTTCAGCATCCTGTTCAAGCTCTTCTCTGAAGGACTCTTTTCTGCAAAACTTTTTCTTACTGCTACCTTGCATGAGCCGATCATGCAGCTTCTGGTTGAGGATGAAGACCACCTGGAAACCGACGCAAACAAGTTAATTGAGAGATTCTCCCCGGTACAGCAGGAGAAGTTGTTTGGAGAGAAAGGCACAGAAAAGTTCAAGCAGAGAGTCCAAGAGATGGTTGACTCCAACGAGGCCAAGCTGGTGGCCCTGGTCAACAAATTCATCGGCTATCTCAAACAAAACACGTACTGTTTTCCCCACAGCTTGAGGTGGATTGTGTCGCAGATGTACAAAACGCTGTCGTGTGTGGACAGGCTGGAGGTTGGCGAGGTCAGAGCCATGTGCACAGATCTCCTTCTGGCCTGCTTCATCTGCCCTGCCATCGTCAACCCCGAGCAGTACGGCATCATTTCTGATGCTCCTATCAATGAGGTGGCAAGATTTAATCTGATGCAGGTATGATTCACAGCCAGGCAGTCTTAAAAATATATAAATGGCTTTTTTATTCTCTCTAGAACTGATGCTACTGCAGTACAAGTGAAGGTACTGTCTATCCTCCTTACAAAATGAATGCTAACGAAATATTTGTGTTAATTGCTGCTGGAAAGGCAGGCTGCAAAGTTTATCTGTTTGCTTAAAATACTGACTTGAAAAAATTGACAGCATGTTTTCCTGTATCCCTTAGAAGAGTTGCAAATATCCTTTGTAAAAGCTGTTTTAAGGGATGGAAGCTAAGACATAAAAATGACTAGAAGATGAATTCTGGAATGTGTGAAAAAGTATGTTATGCTGTTCTTGCAAATGTTAAATATTATACCAGGTATTGCAAAAAATAATGAAATACTTTGCTGAAAATCCCTTGTAATGTCCAGTGCTCTACTTGGAGCATTCCCCAGCCCTCATGACCAGCTTTTGTCATTATGCAAACACTTAGACAATTTAATGATGTTACATAGAGGAGTCATCTGAAGGTGTTGAGCAACACTTGTCTGACTGAGGATGTTTCTCCACGTGAAGAACAAAACCTGCTTTTTACTGTTGTCTGTGAAGTGGGCAGGGCGTGATCCTACAGTGCAGTCACGCTGGGGAGTTTGCTCAGTGTTCCTCTGAAATCCAGCAGCAATCCTCTCCTGTGTCACTGCTCACGTGCTGCAGCAGAGCAGTTGGCAGCTCTTTAAAGTGAGGGTTGCTTTGCAGTTGGAGATGAATAAGGGATATGTGCTCTGAAATAAGGGTTAGCCCTCCTGCTATTTCTCCTTAGTAAAATATATGCAGCCTTTTAAAATCTCTAGGTTTGGATGACCTAGATTCAACTCTCAATTCTGACGTGTTGCAAAAACAAAACATGCTTTGTTCCTGGGAGGGCGAAGTATGGATGGTCACAGCCTACTGTGTGCACATTTTCTTGTTAAAGGCAATGACTGCTTTTTTTTTTCCTAAAGCTTCTTGGATTTTTTTCTTCCCTGAAAGCAAGCACAAATCTCTGTCCACTCAATCAGAAATATTCCTTGGAGTATTAAATGAAAAAGGATTTAGAATGGCGGAGGTTTTTTGAATATTTTTTATAATCAGGTCCATCATGGTATGAAAGGCTTATTCTGTGTACTGCTTTTTGATTTCAGGTTGGGAGACTTTTGCAGCAGCTGGCAATGACAGGCTCTGAGGAGGGAGATCCACGTACGAAGAGCAGCCTCGCTAAATTTGACAAAGTAAGAATCCAGGCTTAAAAAATCCAAGATTTGGTGAATACGTCATCATCCTTCTGCAGCTCCTTTCTCAGACTTTGCAAAGGACTTACTAAGTATTAAATTTCCAAGTTACATATCATGAGAAGCAGATTAAATCCTGAATGAAGCTGGGGAAAAAAATCTTGAACACTAGAATTAAGGATTGAGGATTCTTGCTTCTACTCTGACCTGATATTTCTTAAAAGAAAATATTTTTAAAAATTAAATTAAATGGTATTTTCAACTGAGCATTGTAAATGTTCAAGACCAGATTGGACAGGGCTTGGAATAACCTGGTCTAGTGGAAAGTGTCCCTGCCCATGATGAGGGTTGGCACTGGATGGTGTTTAAGGTTTCTTCCAACCCAAACCACTCTGTGATTCTGTGAAACACTGAATTCCTGTCTGTGGTTTTTCAGCTGAACCTAACGAAGCACTTTGATCTGAAAACAGCCTCAGTATAATGCCTGTTTTAACACCAAGTAATTTCTTAGTGCAAGTAACTTTCTTTTTTTGCATAGTTTTCCTTTTTTTATTCAGCTTTTCCTGTTGGTATGAACCCATCCGTAGCCATAGAGCAGGTACCTTCCTCAGAGCAAGAGTGAAGCTGATGACCTGTGATAGATTGTCGAGTGTTTAAAAACCTGTTGGCATCCTTGGTAAACTTGTATCTGTCCAGGTTTTGATAATTCTAGTTGTTACACAGTCACCACACAAAGCTACAGATTTATTGTACAAGTAACATTTTCACTCAGATAAGAAAGTGATGTCGTTGTTGCTTCTTTGTTTCATTTTCAGTCTGTGCTCAGCAGATCCTTCAGGAAGGGCCTGTTTATTGCCATTGTTTTTTTCCTTTAAATTGTAAGAGGACGCTTAAGTAAGTAATACTTTGGAATGCAGGAAGGGAATGAAGGAAATGCTCAAAGTAACTGCACACTTTCCTTGCTTACTCTTCAGTGACCTTAAAATATCTGCTATTCTATCCCAAGATTTCAGAAACAGGAAGCGAAAATTGAATTATTCTGTAGGCTACTTAACTCCTGCCATAAGTTTCGTCCCAAACCCTAGGGATGGTGTGTGATTCACACTGTCTGCTGTGTCTCAGAGCTGCGTTGCTGCTTTCCTGGACGTGGTGATCGACGGGCGCGCGGTCGAGACGCCGCCGATGTCGGCCGTGAACCTGCTGGAGGGGCTGAGCCGCACCGTGGTGTACATGACCTACAGCCAGCTCACTGCCCTGGTAATGCCCCCTGCTCCTGGACAGGGCCCCTGGAGCCTGCTCCCTCCTGCCCCACCTTGGCCAAAGCAGGCTGGTTTGCACCGCAGCTCTCGCCAAAACCGGTGTCTGTGTTTAGGTTGGCTTCATGCGGAACGTGATGTCAAGCGATCAGCTCAAGGAAGATCGGATGGCTTTGGAAAACTTGCTGGCAAATTTACCCCAGAACAAGCCAGGGAAAAGCAGCAGCCTTGAAATGACTCCCTATAACACCCCCCAGCTTTCTCCTGCAACTACTCCAGCCAACAAAAAAAACCGACTGCCCATAGGTAAGGAGAGTGAGCGGAGCCCCCGCCTGGCTCCTGGCACCTCGGGCATTTCTGTGCCAATTTCTCACTCATCTCTTGGGCTTACTCTTCACCTGCACCTGCAGTTCCTACTTTTTCTGTGTAGATGGTGAAGAATTTTTCTTAAACCCAGGTAACCTCCTTAGTGTCTAGTGCAAGTGTGGTGAATGACCTTCGTCATTCCAGCCTGAACTGGAGAAAGTTTCTGGACTGGTTGGGAGTCATAATGGTGGTGATTGGCAGTGCCAATAAAGGGAAAGGTGGGAAGCAGATCTAGGGGGAAAATTGCTTAGGAAAGTAGTAAGGTGGAAGCAGAGGCATTTAATTAGTGATATAGAATAAGTTTAACATTTTTGTTAGAGAACAAATGGACAGCAGGGTGAACAGGCAGGAGGAGGACTTTCAGAGTATGTGCTGACAAGAGAAGGTTTGTCCTTTCTCCATTCCTTGCCTGCTCTAATTCCAACTGTCAGTATTCTGGAATGCAATTTTAGGTTGGTTGGGTTTTGTTTTTTGAATAGGATTTCTGGGTCTAGATTTTTTTCCATATTAATAATACTTTCTTTTAAACTAGGAAGTGTGGTACTCTTCTTCAGTATATACTTATGTGCATATGACCATGTGGAATATTTTTGTTTGAGAGATTTGGTGTTGATGTGCAAAAGGATGAAAATATACAGAGTCCAATAAGCGGCAAAAAACCACCCCAAAAACAAACCTGTCCCGTGTTGGTTTAACTCTGCTTTTGAATGCTTCTGGTCTTACACCTCTATAGTAGTGGCACTTTACAGCATTTATTTTATGGTATAAAATAGCTTTTGCTCTAAGTTTTTGTTTCTTTTGTTTCATTTTAATGCTTTCGAACTCCAGGACAGCAGTTGGCAGCGATTACTGCCTGGGATACCTCTGCTACCAATCTGTCAGCTCACATAACTCTAGTAACCCCTTTTGGTGGGTAATGCCCTCTTTCCATTCTTCTGTGCAACTCTGACTCGTGTCACATCACTCAGCATGCCTTTGGGCCACCCTGGCAGATTTCTGCAGTATATGAACTCATTTTGTGTGCATGTGGGTTATAAAAACCCCTCTGCCAGATAATCAGAATCTGGCTGCCACTTCTGCACACTTGCCTTGTTTTCCTTGGGTCAAATAAAGTAGCAATTGGTGTCATGCTGCCATTCTTAGAACCTTAATTTCATGTGGGTGTTTTTATTTCTGTGGAACCAAATGTGGGAATCTGAGGCCAGTTGAAAAGGGGACATAAGAGTGGAAAAGTAATCAGAGCAAACCACCTGATGTTGTATTGTGTGTCTGGGTTTGAGACACCTCTTAGAATAAGATTTCCTACTTCTGAGGAGAAAAAGCCTTTTAAACAAATTAATTAGAGCTTTAAACCACAGAAACCTAGACATTTTTTAAGTAGCGAACTTAATTTTCTCATATAATGGATGAAAGGTGTTTCTGTGGTTGGAATAGGCTGAATTGCTGTTGGCAAACAGGTCACAGTGCACCTTGTTTTTCTGCTTCTCAACTTTTATGTTGAGTTTCCTTTTCCACAGGGCAGTACTGAAGTTTAAACATCAGTTCCATCTCTCAAAAGTTTAATAATACTTTGATTTTGAGAATTTACTTAGTGTGTATTGCTAATTAAAACACTACAGTTCTGTATTCCATTGTATTGTTTTTTTTCCTCCTTAAACAAAAGAAAAAGCTTTCTGATGTGGATGTTTTGAAATATTTTCTTAGCCACTCGAAGCAGAAGTAGATCAAACATGCTAATGGACCAGCATGGAGATCATGAAGGATCCTCCCAGGAGACTATTCCAGAAGTGCAGCCAGAAGAAGTGCTGGTGATTTCTCTGGGGACAGGTCCACAGATTACTCCAGGAATGATGTCAGAAAATGAGGTATCCACAAACGATGACATCTCAGATGTTTTGAACCATGCAGCCTCTGTCTGCTCTAATAGCACAGCACACAGGGAGGGTGCAATGCTAAGTTTGGTAAAAAACTGGAATGGGAGTTTAAATCCTTACTGAGCTTGGGGGTTGTAGCTTCCAAACTGGCCTTTGGTAGAGGTGGGTTTGTTCCCTCACTTAAGGAGCTTAAGAGCGGCCTGGGCTCTTGGTCTGAGCATTAAGAAATTGCTGTGTCTCTGCACGCCCTGTCCTTTGGGTCCAGGGACACAGTGAATGGCAGAACTGGAGCCCTGATCCTGATGCTTTTGGCAGCTCCTGAAAGGCCCAGGTTCTCATGGGGGCAGAGCTGAGCTCACAGTGCCCTCAGTGCCTGCAGCCTGTTCCCGGGGCAGGGCTGGTGTTCAGCCTTTTCCTTCTCCAGCTGTAGCACAGCTGCTGCTTCCAGCTTTGCTGCCTGCCTGGTGGTTGGGATTATCTCCTCTGGCAGCCTGGTGCAGATCCTTTCCACACTGCTCTGCTCTGGGGGTGATGAGGGAGCTGTGGCTCCCTTGTTATCAGGACATTCCTAATGTCCATGGGGTGGTTCCTGACAGGCTCTGACTTGGGAGTTTGCTGTCTTTTTTTCTAACAGAATGTTAGAGATTTGATTGTTCCATTAACAACACAAAAACGTGTCTCCGATGTTTTGTTTGCTGTTTAATTACCTGAAAAAGAGGGGATTTGAATGAAGTCCTGTTTCTCTCTGCCACCCTGCAGGTGTTAAACATGCAGCTTGCAGATGGTGGGCAGGGAGATGTCCCCATCGACGAGAACAAGCTCCATGGCAAACCTGACAAAACCTTGCGCTTCTCCCTCTGCAGTGACAATCTGGAAGGAATATCTGAAGGTGAAGGGCTGCTTAAGTCGAAAAAGTTTTGTTGCTCTGTTGGGTTTTTTTCCCCCTTAACTGTAAAAGGAAGGTGTGTTAAATGCAGCCTCTTGGCTTTGCTGTTTTGAAGACTGTGCTATTTCACTCTGAGAGCCTGTCTTCTTTCTTAGTTGTTCAGAGAATAAAGCCTGGAGCTAAATTTTGACCTACAAAGGCATCACTGAATCTGAGTGCTGGGAAGAAAAAGACTAAGTGTGTTTAAAAAGAGAAAATAGAGGGTTTTTTGTTTTAAACTTATGTACAGTACTAGTTATTAAGATAATCTAACTTAGCTCTAAACTTGAATGTCTCAGACTTATTTTTCATCATGTTCTAATTAGCTGTTACATGTCTCAGAATAGTTTCTGCACAACTCCTTTATGTGAACCTCAGACATAACAAAGCACAGATGTCTGTGGGATGGAGGAGGTTTGGACACATCACTTTTGCATTATTTTGTATAACTTCCATAACTTCATTTTTGCTCTGTCTCCTCAAAATAAGAAAACAAATTCATGAGCAAGTAAATAAGTTAAAGACAAAGATTTTACTGGCTTTTAAGTTCCAGCTAAGTACACTAGTGGTGAGATCCAATATTTTGTGTTGGAACTGCTGCTTCATTTCATTTTTCTGGTGAGTTTTGTGTCCTGAATTGTTAATGCTGTGTATTTAGGAGCTGTTATTCAAGTGAATCTGTGTTCCAGGCCCTTCCAATCGCTCCAACTCGGTGTCCTCCCTGGACCTGGAGGGCGAGTCGGTGTCGGAGCTGGGCGCGGGCCCCTCGGGCAGCAACGGCGTGGAGGCTCTGCAGCTGCTGGAGCACGAGCAAGGCAGGTGCCACCCTCCTCCCAGGGCCTCGGCTGCTGCATGTGCTAAAGCCAAGGTCTTTGTGGAGAGAGGCTGCAAAACGGACAAATTCAAGGAAAAGAAGTAGACATTTCCCTTGTGCAATCGCTCTTGTATTTATTTGTGGTTTTGGTTTGGTTTGGTGTTTTTTTTCCCCCAAAAAAATATTCTTTGTAGTCTGTTGTTAGGAAAACAAAATTTCCTGGAATTTTGACACTTAAGTCCTTTATAGAAGACTGTAAAGTTTTGCTTGATATCAAGCTCTTCCATTCAGGAATAGGATGATCTGGATTGGAGTAGTTTGGAAGTATCTGGACAATTTTCTCTTCAATGTCCATTTGTCAAACACTGAACAGGTTGCCCAGAGGTTGTGGTGTCTCTAGCCTAGAGATGCTCAAAATATGACTGGACATGATCATGAGCAACCTGATGTCCTTGACCAGGGCAGGAAGTTTGGGCTGGAATGATCCCTGGAGCCCTCAGCTTTTCTGTGATCCTGTTCCTCTATGGGAATTGTATCAGTGTCTTTGTAGCACTACATTTCATTTATTTTTCCTGTCAATTTAATTGATAGATTACCATGTGTACTTCCAGATTTTTCTTCTTATGTCTCAATTTTTTTTTCAGGCAGCATTTCCTGAATTCTACTCAGGAAATAGTAATAGTGCTTTACAGGCCTTCCTTTAACCACTGCCTTACCTGGTAGAATTAGGGGGCTGTTTGTTTGGGATTTTTTTCCTAATGTACTCTTACAGGCTTTCAATCTGCAATAATTGGAGAAGCCTTTCAGAAAATCAAGAACTGTTTCTTTTTCCACAGCCACAACTCAGGATAACCTGGATGACAAGCTCCGTAAGTTTGAAATCCGTGACATGATGGGTTTGACTGATGACAGAGACATTTCAGAGACTGTGAGTGAGACCTGGAGCACAGATGTCCTGGGAAGTGACTTCGACCCCAACATCGACGAGGACCGGCTGCAGGAGATCGCAGGTAACGGCTGTGCTCTGGGTAGGTCCTGTGTGCTCTGGAACCCGAGGCTGCAGAGCCCTCCTCATCCTCCTCATCCTCCTCCTCATCCTCCTCCCTTCCTCAACAGGGGCATTTCCACAGATGCAACTGGAGATTTGCTCTAGGAGGATTTCTGTGTGCATGACCTGGACTGTGCTTAGTTACTGGTTTCTTTTCAACGTTGTGTTTGCTTTACCAAGGACACTTTCGAGGTGTTCTTCCTTTTGTCTCTAGAGCTGACTGCCCCAGCCCAGCTCTAGCCATACGCTCCGCCTTTACCTTTGCAGGTGCAGCTGCAGAGAACATGCTAGGCAGCTTGCTGTGTTTGCCAGGTTCAGGATCCGTGTTGCTTGATCCCTGCACAGGTTCAACCATATCAGAAACCACAAGTGAGGCGTGGAGTGTGGAAGTATTACCAAGTGATTCAGGTCAGAATCGGGCAGTCTTTGCGTATTTCTTTAGCATGATTCTAAGACTCTTCCAGAGGCATAGAATGCAAAACAACAGCCTCTTCCTCCTCCTCTTTCTTCAAGAAATTACTGTCCTAGGCTTAAGGTAGTTTTTGTGAATACTTCCAGGATTAAAAGGACAAAATGCTCCTAGGCAGAACGAAGATGGAAAGCATTGGGAGAGACTTCTGTTACCTAAGAAATTCTTAAGGTCTGAAGGGGAAGAGAAGGGTTTTCAGAGCAAACTTGTGCTTGCTTTCCTTCCCTGTGGTAGGAGCTATCCAGGACCATGGTTTACTTTGGTTAGTGAAGATGTGACTCTATCCTGTTGTCTAAGACATACAACAATTAAAACAGTAAACACTCCTTAGCATGCCTGTCCAGACAGAGCATTGCTGTCTGTGCAGAGTCTTGCCTTCTGTACCAAAGCATAAAAGAAAACACTTGCTGAAATGGTTGAGTTCCCTAAAAACTTGATGCACTAGATCACCCCCCACCCCTTCCTTCTGCTTGTGAATGTTTAGGGAGCGTGGAATTGAGCAATGATACCTTCTCTCTCTACTGTCCATTGTCTCCCTTTTGCAGAGGCTCCAGATTTAAAACAGGAGGAGAGGCTCCAGGAGCTGGAGAGCTGCTCTGGGCTGGGCAGCACGTCTGATGACACAGATGTGAGGGAGGTCAGCTCCCGGCCCAGCACCCCCGGCCTGAGCGTTGTGTCAGGTGTGTGAGCTGTCTGACAGTGCTGCTCCATCTCAGCATGGGCAGCACCCACTGTGCTGCTCATGCTTTATTTATACATCACTTCACTCATAAAACAATTTCCTGCCCTTGTTCTGGAATTTTCAAGGCTGTGATTCTTTGTTCGCCTCACAGAAGAAATAAAAAAGGCAGCAGAGAGATAAATGCCCTGTCCTGCAATAGCAGTGGTTAGCAGAGGAGTGTTGCTTTGGAAGAAACTCCAAACTTTCTTGCATTTAAAACAACTTGTTTTATTTAAATAAATCATAGCTCTAGTTCTTCATTTTCTGCAAAGTGTATAAGAATGGAGTATCTTTCTAATGCTTCTTGTCAGAGTGTATTCATGGCTATGGTAACACTTTTGAAGATGTAGAGCAAAAATAAGCTGTTGTTTTATGAATATAGAATTTTGTAATGTCTGTAGGTGCTACTGTGAGGTGGAACTTGATTACTCACTGTCCACCAAACATTTTAACAGCCTCAGGATTTTGCTTCCTTGCTCTTTGAAAGACTATTACAGATGCTTCTTTTGTTATGTTCAAGGTATTAGTGCAACATCTGAAGATATTCCTAACAAGATTGAGGATCTCAGGTCTGAATGTAGCTCTGACTTTGGGGGCAAAGATTCTGTAACCAGTCCTGACATGGATGAAACAGCCCATGGTAAGTAACTTATCTGGAATCTGATAAAAACAAGTGACATTTATGGAATCCTTGATTTTTACAATTTCTCCCCAATTTCAAAGTGCTAGTGACTAAGCTTAATATTTTCCTTATTTGCCAGTACTGTATTTGTTTGACAAAGAGGCTCCAGTGCTTTGCCGTACTAGAGCTTGAGTACTAGATCTAAAATCCCTAATTCAGTTTGATTACCTTGACTGTCCTCTTGCATTTTGGAACTGGGCTGCTCCTCAAGAATTCCCCATTTTTTGTGATGTAACTCTTGGTAATTTCAAGGTACTGCAGAGATCTTTCCATACAGAATATCTTTATAAATACCTTGCAGTATAAGTTTTGTAAACTTTTGTTGCTGAAGTCTGTTTTTCCAGTGTCTGTCATGTTGGAGGCAGTTTTGGCACTAACTTTGTTCTCTCTGCATTTCAGGAGCCAGTCAGTTGACATCTCCTCCTTCTCAGACAGATTCTTTGCTTGCATTGTTTGACCCTCTGTCCTCAAACGAGGGTGAGTTATAAAGGTGAAGCTTTGTTTTAAAAACAGGCATTTTCAGTGCTTCTATGTTAGTAGCAGGTAATCAGGTAATTTGGAATAATATTGAAAGAAATGCGCGTGGCTTCTTTCTGCTCGTGCCCGCAGGTGTGTCAGCCGTGGTAAGGCCCAAAGTGCACTATGCAAGGCCCTCTCACCCCCCTCCCGACCCCCCCATCCTGGAGGGGGCCGTGGGAGGCAACGAGGCGCGGCTGCCCAGCTTCGGGTGCCACGCGCTGGTGCCGGCGGAGCTGGAGGCCTTCAAGCAGCGGCACTCGTACCCCGAGAGGCTGGTGCGCAGCAGGAGCTCCGACATCGTGTCCGCGGGCAGGCGGCCCATGAGCGACCCTGGCTGGAACAGGCGGGCGGGCGCCGAGGACAGGGAGCTGCCCGTGGCCTCCGGCAGCGCCGCGCTGGCGGCCGCCTCCCAGTCCTCGTCCTCATCTCCCAGCAAGGACTCCTCCAGGGGAGAGGTGAGCCTTCCAGTCAGCATTTTGGTTTTGTCTCTCCTGCCCACTTTGACTGCACGTCTAATGCCAGAAAGTGGGAATTAGAGGTCTTTAGCTAAGGAATTACAACACGCTTTTGTTATCCTTTAAACGTTGGCCAGTAGTTTCATAAGATAAAGCTGCAGATGTTCAGAGTGGCTTAAATGGATCTGGCTTTTCTTAAATTTACTGGATGAAATTTACTGGTGGTACTTCAGAAACAGATTCATTGTAGTGTTAAACTGCTACAGCAGCCTGAAAATTAATTTTATTTAAAAAAGAAATAAGTGAAACTAAGGTTCTTTGTGTCTATGGGTTTGCATTTTCGGGATGTCTTCTTTAGGAAAGATATTTCTGACTTAATCTGCTCTTTGTGCTCTGCTGTAGTTCTGTTTTTACAGTCAGTGTAGCAAAGGCTGATGTGAAGGAGAAATTTTCTCTTTACACTTGATTTGGTAAATGCTCAAATGTAGACTCTGCCCTTCTGCAGATTGAGGAACGGAAAGACAGTGATGATGAGAAGTCTGACAGGAACAAGCCCTGGTGGAGGAAACGTTTTGTGTCTGCCATGCCCAAAGGTAGGATCATCTCTGTAGGTTTGGTGCTTCAGTCAGAGTTCACACTGCCTTTATGGTCTCTTTAGTCACCTTGATGGTTAAAGTATAGATAAATATGTAAATAAAAATGGGAAGCTACCTGACTCCCTTGGCTAGTAGCTCCCTAGAGTGTGCTGTACCTGGAAGGCAAAACTGTTCTGCCTGACCTCCTGTGTGTTAAAGGTGGAGCTGGCTGTAGGTGATGACAGTACAGTTCTGCTCTACCCCATGGATAAGCTTATGCTTTTCTGGAAGTTGATTTGATGAACATTTTCTGCATTAGCTTCTTCCTTGAAGTTTCTGCTATTTGGCCATTATCTCAGAGTAGTCTTTGATGAGGTACCTTGCATTTTCAGCTCCTATTCCATTTAGGAAGAAAGAAAAACAAGAAAAAGACAAAGATGACATGGTGCCTGACAGATACGCAACGCTTCAAGGTATGTGAATAACATCATCATAGTAATTTTCTCTCAGAGTGTGCCTCCTGGAGCTCCAGAGTGCCCACCAGGTAGCTATTGACAGACAGGTACATGCTGTTGTAGTTCGTGTTCAGAGCTGACATTTTGAATAAGAAAACGGATAAAGATTTCCTGCCTTGAAGGCTGTTTTTAAGTTGTCACATGTCTGTCTGGGCATGTAGGGGATTCTCAACTCAAGTCCTCACTTCTCCCCCGCCCTCATTATAGAGCTCCTGTCCTTGTCACAGCTGAGCTGTAAGGATAGCTGTACACACAGTCCTGTAATAGTTACTTGAGTGTTAAATTAAACATGGTTTGAACCTGGGTGTTTCGTTTTCTGTTTGCCTGATCCTTTCTAGAAGTCTTCAAATACCCAAGAGCCATTTGTGTATGCAGTATAAATGTGCTGAGGATCTGCTCAGGATCTGACTTCATTTGTTCACTTTGATCATACTGTTTGTTTTCTGATTTGCCTCAGACTTTATTAATACATTTGAATTTGGGCTGCATGGGACACGAGCACCTCTTTGTTTGATCTGGCTAAAAACAGAGTCCAAATGTGTAGGCTTAAGTTTTTGTATTTGCTTTCAGTTGGCCCAACACCAGGGTAACTCCTGTTGTTTTTTATGGTCCTTCCAGATGATCCCAGCCCGAGGCTCAGTGCACAGGCACAAGCTGCTGAGGACATTCTGGACAAGTACAGGAATGCAATCAAGAGAACGAGTCCCAGTGAAGGAGCCATCGTGAACTACGACAGTGCAGGTGAGAACCTGCCTTTTGTAATCACCACCAACATAGCTTCTGCTCCTTAAAGATAAAAACACTTCAGTATTCTAGACAATGTTAGTATAGAGCTCTGAACAAGGAATGTTTTGTCAAATAATCTGTGGGACAGTCCCTCAGAGGCTGGGAATTAAATCATTATTCCCAAGGACAGTTCTTTTGTATTGCCATTGAGGGAGCTGGCTGTTGATAGCACATCTCCTACCAGTTTTTTGTTTTGTTTTAAATGGCACTGAGGAAGTGCCTTCCAAAACTTTTGCAGTTTTTTCTTAGGAGTTTCTAGGTTGTATGTTTTAATGTGCAGTTTTTCATATATCCAGAACCAGGTGGTTTATTTGCTGTCCCCATTCTCTCCCTGACCTTAGAATAATGAGCAGAAAATTGGTCTGGTTTCTTCTTGACTCGTCTCTTGAGGTGCAGTGTGTTTTTGGTTTCCACAGAGGCGATTGGGGATGGTGAGAGCATGCACGACTCCCCGCGGGATGAGGCTTTGCAGAACATGTCTGCAGACGACCTCCCAGACTCTGCAAGCCAAGTAGCACAGCCACAAGGTTCTGCTTTCTCCTATAGGTAAAGACATTTCCAGGTTTCATCTTAACCACAAAGTAGAATTAAAAGCTGAAGCTGTGTGACTGATTCCCACAAGAATCTTAATGCAGATTCATTGTAAACTTTGGTGTGCTTTTAGTTTTAAATATCTCAAACTGTCACATTTCCACTGGTGGAGGGATGTTTGTAACCAGAGAGGACAGAGCAATTCAGTGTTTAGAAAATCCCTTTGAAACTGGTGCTGTATCAAAAAAACTGTTATTCTAAAGTCTTGACAATGCTGTATATTAAAATGATGTTAAATAACTTCTAGGCAGTATTAAATAATAAAGAAAGTAAAGATTTCTTATTGAAGAAGCAGACCTCTCATCAACTGTGTTAAGAAAATATTTTTCTTCTTTAAGGGATGCAAAGAAGAAATTGAGATTGGCTCTTTGTTCAGCAGATTCTGTTGCCCTCCCGATGCTGACACATTCAACAAGGAATGGTCTCCCAGACCACACAGACCCTGAAGGTACAGGCTGTTTGCACTGTGTGTGTCTCCTTGTCCCTGTGTAATAGCACTTGTACTGCACCATTTATGGTCCCTTCTCTTTGCCATAAATATTGAGGGCACAGGCTGCCTTTTGCCCCCAGAATGTTTTCATTCTTACTCCGCAGGCAAACTGCCATCTCAGCCTGCTCTAAGATTTTTTTGTAATGAAGTATCACAGATAGAGTGCAGGTTAGAGCCTGAAGCTATAGAATAGACTCTGAAAATACATGTGCTGTTGGAAGTCGTGCCACTTGAATGATTTACTGGGTCTTTATGTTGACTTAGTATAAATGTGTTGTGTTGTATCCTTTCATTCACTCTGGGTTTATTTGCAGACAGGTGAATGTGTCACCTTATGGGGTTCCTCTTCACATTTCAGAATGGTTCTAAAAGCTAGATAAGATAGTAATATGGAGGCTTATCCTCTGACAGCTGGAAAATTCAAAAAGGCTTCTTAAATTGTTCTAAAATAACATTTATTCCCTAATGTACAGAAGTTTTGTTTTAAACCATTAATGTGTTTCCCCTATTCAAAGATAGTTATTTTCACCGTGCCTACGTTTCCTTTCCTTAATGTTTTTCCTTTGTTCTTTGTTAGATAATGAAATTGTGTGCTTCTTGAAAGTCCAGCTGGCCGAGGCCATCAACCTGCAGGACAAGAACCTGATGGCGCAGCTGCAGGAGACGATGCGCTGCGTGAGCCGCTTCGACAACCGCACGTGCCGCAAGCTGCTGGCCTCCATCGCCGAGGACTACAGGTACCGTGCAGGGGCTGCTCAGCTGGGGCTCCCCCGCTCGTGTCTTTATTCACCAGCAGCTTGGGAAGCTTTTGGTTTCAATTGTATTTACCAAACCAGGTTGTTGCATCTCTGCTTCCCCACAAAAGGATGCAGTTGTGTCACCCATGTGAGGCAAACGTCCGAATTCAGGCAGTGTTTAGTTTTAAAAGGAACAAGTGGAAGAACCCTTTGCAGTCTGAGTCAGCAGTTTAGTTTATAAAGCTGTTAGCCTGTCTTTGCTGTGAGTGTGACACAGGGCTCTGTGCTTTAGGAAAAGAGCTCCATATATCGCTTATCTGACGCGCTGCCGCCAAGGCCTGCAGACCACACAGGCACACCTGGAGAGGCTCCTGCAGAGAGTCCTGAGGGATAAAGAGGTGGCCAACAGATACTTCACTACAGTCTGTGTGAGGCTACTGCTGGAGAGCAAGGAGAAGAAAATAAGGGAGTTCATTCAAGGTAAGATTAATGCAGACAGTTTTTATAATCCTTTACTCTGTATTTAGACGCTGACTTGGGTTAATGTTTTAAAATATGTCTTTTGATCTGAGGAGTAGATTCCTAAAATGATTTTAATTTCATGTGGTGAATTAATGGCTAAACAGACAGATTACTGTGACTTTAAAGTATGTTGTGGTCGCTAAGCTATGGTAATTGTCTGCATTTTTCATGGCCTGAGGGAATGAAGGTAATTTGACCTTACTTGGCCAAAAAAGTTGTGCTAAATCACATTATCTGCCCCATGGCAGAGGCATGAATACTATGAATTATTTTATATCTACTGATACATGAAAAATCAAGTTGCAGCATTCAGTTCTTAGTCTAGAACTGATGGCTGCACCTTAGAAGATATGGGGGATAGTAACAGTGTGAATCAAGTGAATCAAAGATTCAAAAATATCACAGCATAAGAGACAGTGGCACCAGGAAACTCAAAACAGCCACTTATACCAAACTGGTTCTATGTTCTCTGTGCACATATCTGACTAAATGGAGCACGTAAGGAATTTGGAGTCAGTTCTTGCTCCTGGAGCATGTAGTGCTGCACATTAAGTGTGCCTGAAAAACTTATCAGAAGTAACGTTTTTTTACTTAAGCAAATGTTCTTTCCCTTCCTCCCTTTTTATCAGATTTCCAGAAGCTCACGGCAGCAGACGACAAAACAGCCCAAGTGGAGGATTTTCTGCAGTTCCTGTACGGGGCCATGGCTCAGGATGCCATCTGGCAGAATGCCAGTGAGGAGCAGCTCCAGGATGCACAATTAGCCATCGAGCGCAGTGTGATGAATCGCATTTTCAAACTCGCCTTCTACCCTAATCAGGATGGAGATATTTTGCGTGACCAGTAAGTTAATGGAATTCAAAGGACTTGTTTTCTCTTTTGCACTTGGTGCAGTGGAAGCTGTGCAGCCCTCCTGCCACAGACTTGTCTGAGTCAGCCACACAAATTCATGTTTTCGTTCAGAACATTTTGTAAAAGAACGAGGAAGGGCTTTAGCATCATCTGCAAATGTGTTTGCAACAAACTGCTAGAACAGAAAAAAAAAGTTGTAAGTGTGATGATTTGGGGTACAGACTGTCAGGTCTGCAAGTGTGTGTGCTAAGAGAATGATCAAAACCTGGTTCAGGACTGGACCTGGTCCATTTTCTGGTTTCACTCATGCATTTGGGGTTCCTGTGGTTTAGAACAGATGCTGTTGGGATGCTCTAGAGGACGTGTGTTGTTCTTGGCTATGCAGAACAATTCTCTGCATCTTCACTGACCTGGTGTCCATCATCTGTAGAGCCACATTCCTGAAGATCTTTCTTGTCCTATCAAACATGAAGTTTCCTCAGCTGGCTGGCTGCTGCTTACTTTTCACTCTTGTTTTTTTGTGTTTCAGGGTCCTTCACGAGCACATACAGCGGTTATCCAAAGTAGTGACTGCAAACCACAAGGCACTTCAGATACCTGAGGTAACAACTCTCTTCCTTTGCTTCTGCATTATGCGTGTTGGGGATTGGGATGGGGAGAGGACTGTTCTGTTTTACACTTAGAAGGGTTGCTTTGCTGCCTGTGACAGCTGAAATATCCTTCAGGAAATTACACTGTACCCATGCTGTGGCTGTACCCAGCTGCAGCTTCTCTGGGCAACCTGTGCAAGGGCCTCACCATCCTCACAGGGAAGAATTTCCTCCATACCCGTAACTTAAATCTCCCCTCTTTCAGTTTGAATTCACCTTGCCTTACATATTCCCATTTCTCCACCACCTGTGAGCCCGTGGTGGCTGAGCTGCCCTGCTGCCCAGCAGAGCTTGCCCCAGCAGGGCTGGTTTGGCTGTTCCCAGGTGTACCTGCGCGAGGCGCCGTGGCCGTCGGCGCAGTCCGAGATCCGCACCATCAGCGCCTACAAAACGCCCCGGGACAAGGTGCAGTGCATCCTGAGGATGTGCTCCACCATCATGAACCTGCTCAGCCTGGCCAACGAGGACTCCGTGCCTGGGGCTGATGATTTTGTTCCTGTTCTGGTCTTTGTTCTCATAAAGGTGAGTTCTTTTGCAGAGATCACAAACCCCAGTTAATGCCCGTAATACACAAGCAAATTTAGGAAAGATAATGCCTGTGGTCACAGGGAGCTGCCCAGGCTCAAATCCAGATCTGATTTAGAAGGGTTTGAATAGGAATGTCAGAAATGTGGTCAGAGTTACGGTTTTTGAATCCAAGCAAACTTTGCGTTGGGAACCAAGAGAATTGGGGTGCAGATGGTGTGTGGAGAGTAGAGTTTGTTTGAGGCATGTCCACAGCATCTGTCACCGGTGCCTGCTTCATGCTGTTCTCAGGACCAAGATCCAGACCAGGACTAACTTGGGTTGTGTTGCTTTTTTGACATGAGTGGGGAATGATCTGATGTGTGAGAGGCTGGAACAACAGGCTTTACATGTGTGAGGTCCTGATGGCCTTCACAGATTGTGGCGTGTTCCCCCTCTTTCTCTTGGCCTGCTAGTCATTTTTCCTTGTTGGAAAAATGTTCCTTTCATCAAACCTGATGCCTTCTGAGCGTGTGAAGCGGGGCTGGCGAGGATAAACAGTCCCTACCCTGCAGGCAGGTTACACACTCTGTAGGATGAGGATCACTGCACAAAGGGAATTGTGCTTCTGTTCTGGACCTGGCGGTGTTTGTGGATGCTGGGCTTTGCAAACAAGCCGTATCTCTGTCTTCTCCCACCCCAGGCAAACCCCCCTTGCCTGCTGTCCACCGTGCAGTACATCAGCAGTTTCTATGCCAACTGTCTGTCTGGAGAGGAGTCCTACTGGTGGATGCAGTTCACGGCAGCCGTGGAGTTCATCAAAACTATCGATGACCGCAAGTAGCTCGCACAGCGCAGGCAGACTGAGCAGGAGAGGAGTTCCTAAGAATGTACAACAGCTGCAAAAGCTGAAGAAAAGACTTTCCTTGTAAAATACTGTACAGAATTGAGGCATTTTAAAACACACCTTTACTAATCTAATTAATTTAACAGATTTTCCTCTTCTCTTTGGGTTGCATTTTCCTCCCCTCTAGATACTGGCACTGCAAAAGGGACCACAGTTTTCAGGTATTTTGGAATCTCAAAACATTCAGAAAATTCTTCATGCTTTCTCCACCACCCCTCTTCCTGAATTCTTATTCACGTGAATAATTCCCTTCATTTAATTTCTAACGAAAAACTGAAACAAGAGGAAACGGGGCAGCCACGTAGTAAACTTTCTAGTTGAATACACCTTTTATTAAGAGAACACCAGCCACACTGAAAGTTTGTAGTAGCTGACATCAGTTATTGGTTATATTTCACCTAAATTTAAAATCTGAGAGGACAGTGTAAATATTATATAACTATATTTAATGCATTGCAAGTATCTTTGGACTTCCTATCCTTTGAATAAACAAGCAGAAGCCTCTCTGACCTCTAACAGGTTGTGACCTACCATGTTTTGGTGACAAAAGGACTTCCTCAAAAGGCTAAGATTTAAAAAGGGCAAACTGAACTATTTATTAAGATGTAATTACTGAAATTTCTAAAACTGGAATTTATAATAGGGCTTATTAGCTAGCTGAACACTTCTTGGCTAGGGCATTAGGGTGTTACAGAGGTTTGGATATATAGAGGAGAGGGACTGTAAGTTACAATAGAAAAGTCTAATATAAAAAGGAGAAATAAAATACCTTACTGTAATATTTTTTCTGAGCTATTGTGTATACTGTACAAACCCCAAACAGAGATCCTTAACAGAACCTTGGGCTGTAATATATATTTTGATTAGTGACATTAAATACATATGCCAGGGGGTTCAGTGAATGTTTTTACTAAATGTTCTTCGTGTTGTCTGCTATGCAGCAGTGCAAGTTTTACTGTTCATAAAAAATATTTTAAAATAATATAACACTGTTCTTTATGAAACATATCATGACATCAGTTCAGGGTGTTTTATAGATTTCTCACCCCGCCTTCCCCTTAAACTGACAGTTATCAATTTAAGGAGGTTTTTATGCACAACACCACATGGGTTTTTCATGAGTGAAGTGGTCTGGGGCATGTTGGCTGTATATAAGCACTCACTGCTCTTTTTCAGCTTCAATGCACTGAAAAAGGACAGCGAGCACTGAACTTTTTCATGTCAGTATTATTTCTTGCTCTTTCCAGAGTGTTCATTGCACTTCTGACAGAGGGACGTGGTAAGACTTGGTGTCTGTGATTGGTAAAGAAAACAAAATCTTTCTCACACTCTTTTCAAAACACGATTGGTTCATTTTTGTGTGTGTGTGCATTTTGATGATTAAAACCTGTAAGCAACTAGTACTTGGGAAAATCATGTGGTCAATTGGAATTAGAGCAATTTAAGTAAAGTATTGAGTGCTTGATTTGGCTGTGCTACTTGTCAAGGCATAATCAGGAAACTCACTTTTTAGGGCTCTCAGATATAACTCAATCGAGCAGTTTTGCCAAAACTGATCCCAGGTGAGAAGGTGGGATGGTAACCTTTTCCTTTTCTCTATAGTCTTTCTCCTCTATTAGAGACTCAGTTGTGTGGAGGAGCAATACTCAGTCAAAACAGAATTCTTCTGATCTGCCTTACTCGGTGTCTCAGTCTGTGTAGCATTGCAATATTCTGGTTATTCAGCCTTGATGGGGTTTTGGTGCTGAACATGTAATTCAATATTGCAAGCACAGCCCTGCAGCAAAGCACAAACATGCCCTTGAAGATATGGCCAGATCATATCAAAAAGCAATATAAATTCATTTCTATTGAAGTGTCCTGTAATATGTAATTATTACTTGAATATCCGAGATGTTAAGACTGATGTGTGAGAGTTCTGCAGTTTGGGTGTGGGTTGAGGAGAGCATTTGTGGGATCCCTGAAGAAGGCACAAGGACACAGGAGGTGGTGATCACCCCTGTGCTGCCCCTCTGTGCTGGCCTGGCTCTCCTGGTCAGCACCATCAGGGCTTTCAGCTTCACTCTCCTTTATGGAAGGGGCAAGAACCATTTCCTTCACAGCTTTTATCACTTGGTTTCTCTGCATAGAAAAATACTTAAAAGAACTGGAGTCTTTTTTTAAATGTTACTCAGTTATTTTAAAACCAGTAGGTGTTTCAGTGAGCCCCAGGTGAGCCGAGAGTTTTTGTAGCAAGATGGTCCTTTGCTTCTTTTTTCCAGCCTACTCTGAAGGTCCTTTATTAGTCTTGATAGGTGTAGTTAGAGAATTAGGCTTTCCAAAGAATTAAAAACCTGCCTGTAATGTCCTTTTACTGTTTTCCCCTGCGTCCCGTAATGTTTTGTTTTAAAATGCTGAATTCCGTGTCTAGGAAGTGATGTTGTTAGGTTTGATGTGCAATAGCCAAGGTGGAAAGACACTGCATAGAGGACCAAAAGTAGCAGAAGTGCTGCCAAAAGGTGCCAGCCACGGGCCTGTTGCTGTAATCTCGGTGCTTTCTGTGAATTTACCTACTTGAGCCACTGGAGGAGGAATGGGCAGGGTCCTTGCTACCAGGTCCCAGAGTGGATTTCAGGCTTGGCCGTTGTCTCAGCACTGATGTTGGCACGTTCTGAGGGGCTGCCACGTTAAACAGTGGCACATCTGTGCCTGGCAGTGCTGCAGAGGTGCTGGTTTCCTTTCTGGGCAGAGGAGGGAAGGGAAAGCGCTGGGGCTTTCATCTCTAGGAGATTCCTTTGTGCTCCTAAGTGCGATTTCTCTTTAAACCTTTTTAAAATCCTCTTTAAGGAGAATCAGAATGTGTCTGGCCTATCAAGGATTTGAGTTTAAAAGTTTTTGTTTTGAAGACCTTTTACTACCAAATGCTGAATGTAACTGCCATAAACTTCAGGAAAAAAAGCCACGAACATGATGCTGTTTCCTGTGGGTGAGTCTGGTGAGCACTGAGTTGGTTTGTATTGCTTGGAAATGTTCCTGTTCTGTCAAGCCAAATTCTCACGGAATTGGAGAGCTCGCTGCCGTGGGAATGGGGTGGGGAAGGGGTAGGAGAGGGGCAGAGCTGCTGGCAGCAGAGCTGAGCGTTGGCACGGGTGGGGCAGTGTGCCTGCAGAGCTGGAGCAGCACCGGCAGCGGGGACAGGGGAAGGATGCTCGTGTCTGGGTGCAGCTGGGGACGTGGTTGAGCCTGTACTACTTGAGAATTAACCTCTGCTCAGTTGGTAATGTGTGTTCTGTACCTTTTAATTGTGCTTTACCTCTATTGAAAAGCTTTGTACTGCCTCTCCTCTTTGGTAAAGCCTTTATAAATCTAAATTAACGAGCTTGCACAATCTTGTATACAGGAACCCCATCTTGTCTCTTAACGTGATTATTAATGTATTATTCTGTAAAAACTGATTAAAAGGAGAGCAGTTTAACCGCTTGGCTTTGACGTTTCTGCCTTGTTCCAGTGCCATCAGAGTTGTGCTGGGATGGCCGTGCAGGTGTGAGCACTTCCACTAACTCTGTGTGGTTTGCCCTGGGCATTGCTGCTCTGCTCCATCCTCACACACACAGGGAAGGGACTGGCAAAAAAGAGCCAAAATCCAGTAAAGGGGAGAGGAAGCTCCGCTGCACTGACTGCTTAACACAGAGCTCTTCAGTTATAATTTTGAATCTGCAGCTTGGCTGTTCTGGTAGCTTGGGACGAGAGAAATGGCTCTGCCTGCAGCAGGACTGCGCCTGTCCCTCTGCTGGCCGCTGCTTGATGCCTTGCTGAGAGTGGTCAAGTCCAGAAGTATTATGGTGCCCGTCTTTTTTCTTAGGGCATGCTGATTTTTCCTGACGAGACTGGAGGGGTTTCTTCAGCTGCCACAAACCCTCCCGGTGCCGGTACCGGTGCCGGGTGGGGCAGGGCGGGGCCGGGGCTGCCTGAGCTCGGTCCCCGCAGCGTTATTGACCTTGATTCTCTCTCATTTGCATCCAGCATTTTTCATCCTCTGGAATATGGTGTTTGGGGACCTTTCCATCATTAAGTGGATTTACAGCAATTTCCTTATGTGTTTTCTCCAAGGGATTCTGTTATGAGAGGCACATTAAATCTCCATTAATACCTCATTATCCGACTGATAAGATTACCATGATAATGAGGCAGAAATTCTAATTGTTTCACTTCTTATTGTGCCTTTCATTAAATCATATACCTGGAAGTTGCTGTCAGAGTGGGGATCTCCAGCCTGCAGAGCCTGGGAGGTGACCTGGTCCTGTGCATCCTGCTTCTGTCCCATGGTACTCAGGGGCTCCTGGGGTGTGCTGGCCTTTTCTCCCGGGCTCCTGGGCCTCCTGCCCCGGCCTCTCCTCCATGGCCATGGTGCCAGAAGGGTTCCCAGTGGCCCCAGGGCCCTTGGCAGCCTGCACCGGGGGCATGGGTTTGCAGAGGCTGTTCCACGCGGCCCCGTGAGCTGCCTGCTCCTGAGGCTGGTTAAGCGCAGGGGTGTGCAGCCTCTGTCGGAGCTGTTACAGCCCATCAGGTCAATGATCCATGAACTAAAAAGTCTCTAAGAAAGAGCAATTATTGTCTATCATGTGTCAAAGGCGCCCGTATTGACCCCGAGATGGAGCCATTATGGCCTGTGGAGGCAGCGATCCATGAAGGGTCCGTGGGAGCCGAGGTGAGGAGGCAGGGTGGGCAGGGGGACAGCCCTGGGGACGCTGCCATGGGCGGCCCGAGCCAGGCTGGGGCGGGGAATGGCTCTGCTGGGCTCCCCGGGGGATGTCCCCAGCGCCGGGTCCCCCGGGGCCCGCACAGAGATTGCCTCTGACCAGCGGCACAGCCACATCCTCACCGGGAAACACCGGAGAGCCCCGCTTGGCCCTGGGGGCAGCTTGGAGCCAGAGACACCCCTGCGCTCAGCCTGGAGCCAGAGACACCCCTGCGCTCAGCCTGGAGCCAGAGACACCTCTGCGCTCAGCCTGGAGCCAGAGACACCTCTGCGCTCAGCCTGGAGCCAGAGACACCCCTGCATTCAGCCTGGAGCCAGAGACACCCCTGCGCTCAGCCTGGTGCCCGTGGGCACCCCTGCGCTCAGCCTGGAGCCAGAGACACCCCTGCGCTCAGCCTGGAGCCAGAGACTCCCCTGCGCTCAGCCTGGAGCCAGAGACACCCCTGCGCTCAGCCTGGAGCCAGAGACACCTCTGCGCTCAGCCTGGAGCCAGAGACACCCCTGCGCTCAGCCTGGACCCTGCGGGCACCCCTGCGCTCAGCCTGGTGCCCGTGGGCACCTCTGCGCTCAGCCTGGAGCCAGAGACACCCCTGCGCTCAGCCTGGTGCCCGTGGGCACCTCTGCGCTCAGCCTGGAGCCAGAGACACCCCTGCGCTCAGCCTGGTGCCCGTGGGCACCCCTGCGCTCAGCCTGGTGCCCGTGGGCACAGGAGCCCGCGGGGGTGGTTGCTCTTGTCCCTGCCGGGGCTCCCGGCCAGCGCTGCCCGGTCGGGCGGTGAGCCCGGGGCTGGCCCTGGAGCGGGCAGGGCCGAGCGGTCCCGGTGCCAGCCCCGGTGCCAGCCCGGGTCCCCGCAGCCGAGCAGAGCAGAGCGTTTCCCTCTCGGGGGGCTCGGGCCCCTCCCGCGCACGGGAGGCGATGTCTCCATAGAAACTGGCACGTTCGGAGGGCAGCGGGAGCGGGGACCGAGACTGAGCGGGAGCGGCCCCGGCTCGGGGACCCTCGGGCAGGCGGCTCGGGCGATGCCAGCCCGGGGCCCGCTGTCCCCGCTGCCCCGGGAGGGCACTGGGGTGGCACTGCCATGGCAGCGTCCCCTGCCCGTGTGGCGGTGCCACCCGTGTGCCAGGGTGGCACTGCCATGGCAGCGTCCCCTGCCCGTGTGGCGGTGCCACCCGTGTGCCAGGGTGGCTTTTGGCACCAGCCTGCAGAGCCGGCTCCGGCTGCGCTGCGGCACCTGGGCCGGGCAGGTGCGGGAGGGCGGCGGGAGCGGGCACTGCCCACCCTGCTCATCATTGCCCATCCTGCCCAGCACTGCCCGGCACTGCCCACCCTGCCCAGCACTGCCCACCCTGCCCATCATTGCCCGCCCTTCTCACCCTGCCCAGCACTGCCCAGCCTGCCCATCATTGCCCACCCTGCCCAGCACTGCCCAGCCTGCCCATCATTGCCCACCCCTCTCACCCTGCCCAGCACTGCCCAGCCTGCCCATCATTGCCCACCCTGCCCAGCACTGCCCACCCTGCCCATCATTGCCCACCCCTCTCACCCTGCCCAGCACTGCCCAGCCTGCCCATCATTGCCCACCCTGCCCAGCACTGCCCACCCTGCCCATCATTGCCCACCCCTCTCACCCTGCCCAGCACTGCCCGCCCTGCCCGGCACTGCC